CCCCAACCTCACAATCAACGGCCTCCCGCTCCCCAACCCACCAACGCACCTCCTCACCCCGCCCACCACCACCAGCACCTCCCCTGGCGGCACCACCACCACCTCTACCACCCCCCAAGTCCGCTACGAATACGAGCCCTTCGACGCGCGCAAGCGCGACCGCATCGAGGCTTTAATCTCCGAGGAAGAAGACCTGCTGCGGTCCATCGCGCAGCTGAAGCGGCGGGCGCCGGCGGCGGCGGCCAGCCGGTGGGGGGAGGCGACGCGGGCGGGGATGGCGGCGGACGAGGCCGGGCTGGCGGTGGCGGGGCAGCGGGTTGCGGAGGAGGGGGCGGTTAGCGGGCGGAGGGCGTTGGAGGGGATGGCGCCGTTGGAGAGGCAGGACGGGGTGGAGGGGCGGTTTGGGGAGGCGGTGGCTGGGTTGGGGAGGTTGAAGAGGGATTTGCCGCCGGCGCTGACGAGGATGGAAAGGACGAGGGTGGCGCAGGTGTCCATAAAGGAGGGGGGACGTAGTGGTGGTGGGAAGTAAGGGGGATGGGGGATGGCGGAACAGGAAAGGGAATGGCGTTTTGTGTTTTTTTTTTTGGGAGTGTACCGGATGGACGAGCGATACGAATGATGCTAGCTAGAAGTCGGACAAAGCATCCAAGGAATCTATTGTGTATCCATATGAATGGTCAAGATATTACGGAGAATACAAGGGATCTGTCTACGCGTCCCCAGGACCGTCCACAGAAACTCTGCAAAGATGCTTCCCTTAGCCGCTTGTACATGTGGGGCCGCCGCGGAACTATATATTCAGGATGAACTAGGTCCGTTCGCTAACCAACTCCCGGGTCCAGCTCAAACGCACAATTCTCGCCTAGCTGTCAACACCTATGCGGCAGCCGGGGCAGCAGCACCAGCCTTGTCCGCATCAGCGGTCTCCGCAATAGGGAGCTGGGTACCTTCCGCGACCGCTGGGGGCGCTGTCTGGGCCGTGGTGTCAGCCTTCTCGGCCTTCTTCTCCCACTTCGCAGGCTTGGCCCACTCGGCCTCGCGCCACGGGCCCATGTCGCTGAGCTCGCAGCCGCCCTCGCACTGGCAGGTACCACCGAACTGCTGGGGCAAGTTCTCGGCGGGGATCTGCTTGAGCAGTTCCGACTTGTAGCCGCTACCAAGTACGTGGATCTTCTCCACCGTGACAGGGTCCAGCCAGCCCTTGACAACGCTCCAGACGGTGCTGAAGCCCCAGGGTGTGTTGATCAGGTACAAGTGACCGAGGCGCTCCGGGTAGTAGTTCTGGCTGAGGCCACTGGCCTGCTTGACGTAGTTGAACACCTGCGACGCCTTGCTCAGGCCCACGCCCTTGAAGTCCATGATGGTGCAGCACGTCTCAAGCAGGACCCCAGCCTTGCGGCTGCACGCCGGCAACCGCGGGTCCGACACGCGCTCGTATTCGACTGCCAGGTTCGTGAGCATGCGGCTTTCCGTTGTGATCTTGTACATGGCGGTCAGGTCGATACTGCCGAGCTGCTCGATATAGACGGGGCGACCATCCTAAACGGTAGAGGCCAAGGGTTAACGTGGGGTTAACAACGGAAGTGACTAGGCGAGGCGTACCTTGTCGGTCTTGTGGTAGTACTGCGGGTAGTACTTGAAGACCTCCTTCTTCTCAGGGTAGTCCCAGTTCGGCAGTTCCTCGTCCAGCTTGGTCTCTTTCCGCCACTTCTCGCACTCGACAAACCTAGAGTCGGTCAATACCCGCCGTGTTTGATCTCATCGCCTCTCAGGTTACTTACATCTTCTTAGTAAGCTCAACATCGAACTTGCGGGCGCGCAGGAATCGCAACTAGGTAATTCGTCTATCAGCAACCCTTTCTCCGGGCCGAGATTATTCAAGAATGTCTGGCGTACCAAGGTAAGAGTGTCCAGGCGTTCGGTGTAACCCTCGGACTCGAGCAGCAACCTCAGTTGGTGCACCTGGGCCTGCTGTTGAGCGGTCAGATAGCCGGGATGCCCATTTTGCGGTTTGGGCGGTGTGGTCGGGAAATCGTAGTTGTCGTACTTGGGATCGAGTTCCAGAGTCGAGGGGGCAGGCGCGGGCGCAGCCATCGTGTCTGATTATTCGCTGGGATAGAAGGACGGGTGATGCGAAGTTGTGATGTTGTGTTGCCGTCTTGGGCTTGTCGAAGTTCCCCGCTATTTAGATGCCGCCAGTGGAGGAGTTGCCAATGAGGGGGGAAAGAGACTGTGGTCGGGTTCCGAATCGGCGTGGAGAGTGTGGATACAGGCAGGGGAACCGGCGGTTTGTGGTGAAGAAAAAGGCCAAAGGACAAGAAAAGAATTCACAATGTTGACGGGGCCTGAAATAGTCAGTTGGGATGGCAAGGGGTGCTGCACCGTTGATTTTTCGTCCTGGGTGTCTGGGTGATGGCAACCGGGGGCCCATCGAATGTGCGGTCAAGTCAATCACTCCCCACCCTGAGCCACCCACTAGCGAGGATGCGCCCCGCACAAGGCCAGACCCCCTCGGGCCCCCCACCCGACTCTCCTGGAGCCCCTGAAAATACGGAAATACGTGTTGAGCTAACCTAGAACAGATAATATTGGGAGAGGGTTGGCGCACTGCGCATGCCAAAAGACTGCTTTCCAACTCCCTTAACGGGCAGTAACACAAGTCAGATGTCAAACTTGGGGCCGGCCAGCAAGCAGTTGGCCCGCCTCGATCACTTTGACTGGCTGCAGGCCGGCGCACAGCAAGACTCGGGGCTACGACTCTCGAACTCTGCCGCCCTCAGGTCCTCCAACTAACATGGCGCATCCATCATCTTGGGATACCTCGAGCACTCACAGCCATCGTTACCAGCTTTGAACTTCATAATGCGTCGTGGGTCTCTTGTTCCCACCACGACGCGGGACAAGCTCCTTGGATTGTCTTTGATCGGCGTCAAAGCATGGCCCCTATAACTAATATCATCGTCCGTGTTGATCTGTAGATCTCCCGAGTTCCCCTTTGACAGGAGGGCTTCGCGGGCTCGATAAATCGAAAGTAATTCGTTCCGACCATCTCTTCCAGAGGTGCTGTTCTCAGCTTTCGGCCGCCCCTTCTACACCTTTTCCTTTCCCCTTATCCTCATCCTCCTTTTCCTTGCGCTTTTGCACAACGTCCCAGTTATATACCCTAGCGACCGCCACTTCCATCGTCTGCCGAAGATTAGCAAGCCTCCCGAAGATGGCCGAGACAAGGCTGTGTTACCGTTACTTGCTCCCGCAAAAAGTCTAAATCTTCTTCACAGTTCGATAGGCTCTGCTTCGCAGCCTGGAGTTTCGAATCGAGGAGCGTCTCGGCCTCACCAATCGGGTATGACAACATGACGTTGGCCTTTCATGCGTTAGCCCTCACCGGCACAGCTTGATCGAACGGAAGGGATTCCCCCTACCCCAAGCCACAAGTAAACTTCGTCCGTGGGTGGTATTTCCGCCTTTGCGTAAAGAGTATCGTTTAACTCAAAGGTCGTCTCTATCGCATCCGAGTTGGGCTGTCGTAATCGACAATCAGCACCATCCATAACCGAACTTGTTTCTGCGTCGTACCGTCCTCGATTTTAGGAACCGGACAGTCTCTAACGTCTTCCGGATATCGGGCAGCTTTTCCTTCAACCCCACCACCCTCCGTTGTAGATTCTGTTCCATAAACTGGTATTTCCTGCATTCCCAGGCCACGTATCAGCCGGAGGCCGTCCGCCAGCGTCGCAGTGTGTCGAGATCAACTTACGCAATCATCTCCTGAAACCGCCGCAACGTCGGCTCAACATCCGCCCGTGACGTGACATAGTCTTCGACCTTATCGACGAACGGCGCATACGGAATTCCGCGGGGGTTGGAGGGTGTAGCATCCCTGTTTGCGCCGGTGGTGTCGGTCAGCAAGAGCTTCCGCGAGACTGGAGTTTTGGCGGGTCGAAGCCACCTGGAAAGTCACCTACTTCGACGCCACGTCCTGATCTGTGCTGGCCATCGTGGGCAGTTCTCTCACATGTTGTGGCGGAGAGAATAAGACGAGTGGCAATCAACCCGAGCCAAAGCAATGACGTCGGGAAGGTGGTTGGAATGGCCGTTGTGATGGACGAAGCTCACCAAAAATTCATGGCGGGGTTGCTGAGTGCTCGTGTGGGGTAGGAATACCAAAAGCAACAGGGGCCAGTGTTGTGCTTGACACCAGCGGTAAGGTATCGACTCTGAACAAGCACAAACATTTCCTCAGCTCAGCCTATTCGTGCAAACCAGGGACGACTTATCGCATCAACCACCTTATATCATAATGGCCTCAACGGCATCTCATCTGTATGTAGTAGGCTGACTTCGGTAGAAGAAAACAAGGACGACGAGACTCCGTCCCGTGTACGATTCACCGACGTTCAGAGTCCCTTCCGAACGATTGATACTGCACCCGGCGGTGTCCACATCGTCACATGGATTGCTGTCTTTTTCAGCGATTGGAAGCACAGAAAATGGGCGGTATCACCGTGCTTGCACAAGACGTAAACTCGATATTCTATACACCTCAGTCAATGAATCTGCTGTGCATAGATTCGGAACTTGGTGCCAAGTTTCGGCGCCGCACACGGTTTCATCCCACTGCACATGCCATCGCATGAATGAAGGGCACCGGAACCATGGGTAGGTACCTAGTTTAATACTTTCATGTTTCCTGTCGCCAGGTCATGGCAAGTGTAGATAAGAGGAGAGAAACGGGCAGTTACCGCCCACTGGCACCTCTCGTTGCCCCGATGATGGTGTCAAACAAACATCGAGGCGGCCAGCCTCGGAAACGGGGTTGATTGGCCGCCTTGGCAGTGTGTCATAACGTCACACCGTCGCTGTCTCTGAGCGCCTCGCACGTCTAACACGTGTAGAATCGGGGGGGCATTGCCAGTCTTGCCAGTCTCGCCAGTCATCCCATCTCATTTGTGAGGATATCGATTCACAATCTGGTGATGTGCGAATTGCCCCCCTGCAACAGTCGCCTTCCCAAGGCAAGCGGACTGCCTTGTTTTGGTGAAGTGCCGGGGGTTGCCAGGTTGCCTCGCTAACTGCAAACAGACGCCGAGTGGTGGCGATGATGCAGCCGAACCAGGTAGCCTAGCTTACCCCGGCCACTACGTAATCAGACGCAGGAACACCTCACACCTGACCCTCCCCGTGCGCCGCCTCCCCATCCATCACCTCCGCATCCGCCCCAAGCCGCTTCCCCAACCTCTTCCCATCAACAACGAAATACCGTCTTTCATCCACATACCTCGCCATCAGCCTCGTTGTTCATCGTCCGTCATCATCACCTACGGCGACGAATTCTGTTCGCCTCGATCGCTACAACTCTCATTATTATTCTCCCAGCAGATTGACCAAACCATCGCCCAACATGAAGGGTGCTCTGCTGACCGCAGCTGTGCTGCTCGGCTCTGCCCAGGGCGCAGTCCACAAGATGAAGCTGCAGAAGGTCCCTCTCTCGGAACAGCTTGTACGCATGCCTTTCTTCCCATATCCCCGTCTTCGCCAACGCCGTCGGCCAACTAACCCTCGTCGCGTGTAGGAGGCTGTTCCCCTCAACACCCAGCTCGAGCAGCTCGGCCAAAAATACATGGGCGTGCGCCCCCGACAGTCCCATGCCAATGCCGTGTTCAACGGCATGGTTGCCGAGGTCAAGGGCAACCATCCGGTGCCCATCTCCAACTTCATGAACGCACAGTGTATGTGAAGCCGACTGTCGCGTGCTCTACGGACCACTGGAATAGCAAAACTAACACGCCTAGACTTCTCCGAGATCACAATCGGGAGCCCCCCTCAGACCTTCAAGGTCGTCTTGGATACGGGCAGCTCCAACCTGTGGGTTCCGTCGGTCGAATGCGGCTCGATCGCGTGCTACCTCCACACCAAGTACGACTCGTCCGCCTCGTCCACCTACAAGAAGAACGGGACCAACTTCGAGATTCGGTACGGGTCCGGCAGCCTGAGCGGCTTTGTCTCTCAGGACACCATGACCATCGGCGACATCACAATTAAGGGCCAGGACTTCGCCGAGGCCACTAGCGAACCCGGTCTCGCCTTTGCCTTCGGTCGCTTCGATGGTATCTTGGGTCTCGGCTACGACACAATCTCGGTCAACGGCATTGTCCCGCCTTTCTACAAGATGCTTGAGCAGAAGCTCATCGACGAGCCTGTCTTCGCCTTTTACCTGGCGGACGAGAAGGGCCAATCCGAAGTGGTCTTCGGCGGCGTCGACAGTGACAAGTACAAGGGCAAGATCACCACCATCCCCCTGAGGCGCAAGGCCTACTGGGAGGTGGACTTCGATGCCATCTCGTACGGCGACGACACGGCCGAGCTGGAGAACACCGGCGTTATCCTGGATACCGGTACTTCTCTGATCGCTCTGCCCAGCCAGCTGGCCGAGATGCTCAACGCCCAGATCGGCGCCAAGAAGAATTACGCTGGTCAGTACGCCATCGACTGCAACAAGCGCGATTCTCTCAAGGACGTCACTTTCAACCTGGCCGGTTACAACTTCACCCTCGGCCCCTACGACTACATCCTCGAGGTCAGCGGCAGCTGCATCTCCACATTCATGGGCATGGACTTCCCGGAGCCGACCGGGCCGCTTGCCATCCTCGGTGATGCCTTCCTCCGGAGGTATTACTCCATCTACGACCTCGGCGCCAACACCGTGGGTTTGGCTGAGGCGAAGTAATTGGCGCATGGACGGCATGGACATGATGGGAGTTTGGGATTGGGTCTGGGACTGTAATCTGTATCTACTGGTTCTCCTCGTTTGATTTCCTAAGTACCGGTCAAGGAACCTCTGCAACACGACAGTTTTTTATATAGCGAAAGCACCGTCAGGACTTGGCTCGGGCTTTTAGTCTTGGTTATGCAACAGACATTTCAAGGCAACATTGATACCGGCCTGACGTATTCGTAACCCATTCCCTTTGTGTGTAGACGCTCTTTCTCTTTGCCTAACTTTGGTTTCCCCCACGGTATTTCCACATTGCATTCACCAAGTACACAATAGTCGTTCGTAGAAACTATGACACAAGGGCTAAGCTCCGTCGCCAAAGAATGTTAAGGAATGCAAGGAACAGTGTAAGACTCTTAAGTGTCTCTCGGTAGTATGGTTGGTGTTAGTGATGTAAATCAAGGCCAGGCGGGGACTCGAATGAAGTGAATAGTGGCGCATCCCGAAAGAGAGGCAAATTCATGGCCCTCCAGAATGGACATCTCGTTTGGGTCTTGATTCATGGCCACGTACACGTGCTCAGGTACTAAGAATTACATGTCACCCATCTCATCGCGAACAAGCTGACCAACCCAACCCAACAACCCAACCCCAACCATCCCGGGCATCCCCGTCTTTGAACCATGCCATCCCCACCAGCGGAGCCCACCCATCTTCACTTCTTAAACGTCGCCGTCCGCCCCGCCCTCTCATAATTCATCTTCCTCGCCCCCTGCGGCGCATCCCCCGATTTCTTCGCGTACGGATCGTACGGCACCTTGCCGCGCCTGCCACCACCCCTCCCGCTGCTGCCGTCGCCGTCACCGTTGCCGTTGGCGTGGGCCACCCTCGGCGCGCGCAGCACCGACGACGCCGCGCTGTAGTCGAACGGCTGCTCGTCGTCGTCCTGCTCCGACTCCGGCTGCGGTTCGGCTTCGGCTTCGGTGTTGGCGCCTTCTGAGGGTGTCTTCTTCTTCCCGGCTTGGGCGGCTTTGGCTTGCTTTGCTGCTGCGCGGCGGTTTTGGCGTCGGGTGGGCAGGGTTGTGGTTTTGCTGTTGGGCTCCTCTCCCTGGGCCTCGGCGTCGGGGTTTTCGGACTCGTCCGCTGCTGCCGCGGGGCTGTCGTTGCTCGTCTCTGCGTCGGAGGCAGAGGCGGAGGCGGACTCGGATTTGGGTGGTGGCGCCACTGCCGTGTCAGCGTCGGAAGCTTTGCGTTTCCGTCCCTTTTTGAGGGTGAAGTCCCCCTCTTCGGGAACGGGGGCGGGCTCGGCGTCTTGCTTGGCGGCGCGTTTGGGTGGCGGCGCTGTGACGGTTGGTGGGTTTTCGTCGAAGGGGACCGTGTAGAGTGGGATCATCTCCTGCTTGTCAACTGGGCGTGCCTTGGAAGTTCCGTCCAATACCGAGTTGAGTGCCACATTCCCCCATAATTGGGAACGGTCGCTCTTCAGTTCCTCGATCTCGAGCGGCTCGGTATCCTGTATTGCGGTGGCTGCCGCGGGCTGGTCCCCGAGCGAGGCTTGTACTCTATCAGACGATGATTGCCTGAAGAATTGCAGCATCGTGGGGCCATTCGCACCCTGCGCCTTGGCTTCGGTGATGATCTTGAACAGTTCGCCAAGACGAGACTTGAGCGCTCCGGTATTCGACTCCAGCAAGCTCCATAGAGCCTTCATGTCCGTGGGCATGATGCGAGCTATGTTACTGAGGACTTGTTGTGTCATTATGAAAAAGGGGCTTTCGTCCTCTTGGCGGGCAATATCATCCCGCCACTTGTGCACCGCTTTGTAGACGGCAAACTGCTCGCTGTCGTATAACGTGGACGATTTGGTCAAGGTGGCATGCCAACCCCGGTTGCCAGCGCCTGTTTCCGGGTCGCAGAAGGAGTTCTCGTACCGCTGTAAAGCCACTTCCTTAGACTTTTGAATGACACGGTCGGTGGGGTGTCCATCTGAGCCGTTTTGGGTGGCAAGTTGGGCGAGCTCGTTCCGCAGCATGTCGTAGATGTAGAGTAAGAAATGGGTATCGGATCGAGCGTAGTAAAACATCTCCTCCGGGAGAGGTCTGGCACACGGGTTAGTTGAGAAATAAGGAGGCACTGGATCAGGGCTTACCTTAACCGCCAATCCGCGAGCTGATACTTCTTGTCCGCGTCGAAGTCGACAAATTTCTTAAGTAGAAATGCCAGACTTTTGCCCGCATACTGGAGGGCGGTGCTAGCGTAGAAAGTATCGAATAACCCCACAACATAGAGACCGAGGTCCCGTTGAAGCCAGATAATGTCCATGAATGCGCCGTGGAGAACCTAGGCTAGTCAGCGATGCGCACCGTTGCTCGTTTCGATGTTCCTTACCTTGACAATCTTCGGGTCCGCAAAGACTTCATTAAGAACTTCGAGCTTGTGTCTCCAAGGTACCAGAGTGTCGATTATCCAATCCTTTTCCCTCGTGCTGATCTGCATCAACGACAAAAGTCCCGTGTATGACCTAAAGTCGTGGTGTTCCAAATCGATCGCAATCTCGGGTGCCTTCTTCAGCTCCTCCAGCATCTCCAAAACACCCTCGTAGGTGTCTACCCAAATTGCCGTTGTTTTCTCCAAGGGGGGGTATCCGATGGGCTCGCGGGACTTGAAGACGTGATCTGGATATTGCATATCTATGATTTCCTGTTTGTAGGGATGCTCATATCTTCAAAAGTCAGCATTCTGTTTCGAATAGAAGTGGGTGTGTTGCACGTACTGAGGACGGCCTTCGTCGTTAACGGAGATTGTCAAACTTGCGTCCAGTGGGGTCTGGGCATGGGGCTTGCTTGTGAGGAGAGGTTTCCATGGTCCCGACTCGAAGTTGTCTATCTTCTTCTCGAACGTATTCTGGGGCTTTAGGATGTTGGCGCGCTTCATCGACCAGTCGAGCCTGTCAGTGGTTGACTTTGGCCGCTTAGTATCCCGTCCCTGTGATGCGTTAGCAGAGGCGACACGGGGCTCGGGCGTGTTTGGGAAATCATACAGATTCGGGGGTCGGCGCATCTTTCCTCTTGACCAGGCCGGTGTACTCGTCCAGGCAGGTGTCGGACTTCTCCAAGAGCGAGTCAATCACATCTAGCACGCCCTTCCACTGGATCTCAACATCGTCCACATCTTCCAGTTGGGGTTCCCTCTGCGCGGTGAACTTGGAGGCGGATTTCAAAACGCCACGGGCCAGTTCGAGCAAGCGATCCGTGTTCTGGTCGAGGCGAGCCGCGACTGAGGGGTGGACAGTCCGCTGAAACTGGAGGTCCTCGTTCGCGAGCGTGTTCACCGAGCGTGTTACCGTGACGAGAGTGGAATGAACCCTGTCCCGGAGGGGTTTGAGGTTCTGCGATGAATCCATTATTCTACCAATGCCGATGAGGGGGTCTCTTATTTTGTGAAGGCAATCGGCGAGACCGGCGCGCATGTCCTGCTGCCCATTTTGACATCGGCGCAACCTCCAACTGTTTGGGACTTTTTCGGGCCCGCTTTGTCTTGGTTCCATCCGATAAGATGCCGCGTTCGTCGCGACCATCCGGTGGCTCCGCCGCGATAAGATAAGCACTGTTGCCAATTGGTGTGCCTTGCCGGCCGAGTCACCAGGTAAACCACTGTTCCGGCAGCATCATCAATTAAACCAATCTGGCTGGATATATCCTGGAACACCAATTGCGTGTGTGGTCCCTACATTTTGAGAGGTTCTCATTACATCCAATTACAAGAAACTATCTGTCTAAAAGGCTCAACGTAGGGATACATAATTTGCCACTGCCCACTGACGGCGATCCAACATCACATTGAGTCGTCAATCGACACTGGTCAGCCGATACTCTCGATAATATTGCGGTACAGGTTCCCATCCGACGCAGGGTTCAGGGAATATGTCGCAATCACTCGCGCCTGAGTGCAACGAGGTCAAGGAGTGAGCGAGCACATTCCACGAATCTGCCTAATGTCCTCTGAAGGAAAGCGACTGATTTGCAGATGAAGGCGCTATGACACGTGCTTTTTGAAGTGGTATAGCGAAAGTCAGTTCTTCTAGGAGGCTGCCGTTTCTCCCGTGTGTGTTACGTCCACGGATGCTGATGATTACGATAGAATATCTTCGTGGGATGGGCACAACCGATAACAACGAATGCGCTGCTTTATTCACGGAATATAATTCGTGTTTGAAAGTAAGCAAACTAATCTTTTAACGCAAAACACTCGAAACCAAGCGGTATATAACAGGGCTGATGAGGATTGATTCGTAGGGAGCGCTTAAGAAGCGTGGAATAGACAAGCTGCTGGACGAAGCTCGGGAAGATAACAGAGAAAACGATGCAACATTAATGGGGAAAAAAAAGTGTAAGTCATGGTCTGACACTCGTGCTATCAGATCTAACAAGGGTCCCTCTCAGAATACGAGGTGGTGATACCGGCCTACGACCAGTGGCATCATTTTCTATTCCTCAGCATTGTACCATTATTGTATAGTGTGTCACGCAGAACAAGCCTCTCCTTCAGTTAATTTCTTTTCTCCCCTTTCTATCACCTAGGTCTTCCGGCACAATACTATTATTTCAAGCCGCTCATTGGCTGTGGATTTCAGTCGTCAACCGTCATGAGTGATTAGGGGCGGCAATTTGTACTGGAGGCGCATACAAATGGTTCATTGTCTACATTCCCGAAATGTTTTACATTGTTTTGCCGAACTTGTTGCTGCGTCTGAATGGATGTTCTCGGGTTGAAGACGAACGTATGTACCACGAGAAGCCGGCGCGAGTCCTTTGGTGCATCATGAACTGGCGCATTCATCAATGGATTCGGGGTTTAGGAATTGGAACGGAGCTTTCATTTAATATCAGGGCTACAACATATGTCAGTATACCCCCCGTTGTCACAATTCCAGGATGCAAGCTGCAGCATCAGGGGCTCGTCGCCTAGGTCTTACGGTTGGGGGTTATGTATTAACAAACCACAATTCTGGAGCCCTGGTGACTAACTCTTCAAGCTGGCTAGTTGTTTTTTCTTAGAACTGCGATGGATGAGGACGCGGCGGCGCGGCGCTCAATGGCACACGAATTAGCGACAAGTTACAACCACGGCAGGATGAGCTTCCCAGCTAGCTAAGTCGACTGACTACCTTACCTAATACTAGTACCTCGTAGAATATGTCTCCACAACTTGGCCACAAGTTCGAGCCCATTTCCACGTTCTGTTACTGTTTATGGATGATACCCAAGGATACGGCGCATCCGGCAACGGTCAGGACGGACCTAATTCTGTGACATGTTCCATTCCTTGCCCATGTTAGATCGATGGAAGTGTGAGACACCGAAAGCCGCGAGGCCCACCGAATCCAACGGCAACGGGGTTCTAGGTTTTCGAGACATCTCGGGTTTCTTGACCGACAATGCTTCGTCCTCCACAATGAGGCATGTACCTTAGCCTTTAGGCAGCTAAGGTAGTGGTTTGGGCGCTCGGGCAGGTTATGACTTATGAACAGGTAACGTCGAGGTCCAGGAGTTGATTCTATTGACTTTCACTCACGACGAAGATTCAGATCTCGGCCATGGTACAGTCACCGGCTTGTAAAGTTCTAAGGGGAAAGGACACACATCCTCCCACTGTTATGGTCGCGCCTCCGCCGAGGTCAAATTTGCCGGCGCAGTCAGAAGCTTAAACCCAAAACCAGGTGGCATGTGTTGCTCCAATCCAAGCAACCGGAAGTCATCCGGGAATAAAACCAGAAGCAGCCGGGGGGTGGCCAGGGGTTTTCATGGATCGAATCCTCCACGTTAGTCCGCACTACGTACATGTATATAGTTTATATCCTTCGCCGTTGCGGCGCCGTTACGGCACATGCGGACTAGCTAGCAGCGACCCGCCGAAGGAATTTCCCTCCTTCCCACCCTTATCATGGAACTATCCCAGGACGGACAAACTTCGTAGTCCGCCGTGCCGTATTCCTTCTGTTTCCTCTCGGGTTACCGGATTTGGCCTTGGTGAGTTTTAGAACAGCCGGCGTCCTCAAAAATAGGGAAGAAACATGGGTCTTGTTATTCACTTGGTGTCTGTGCCCGACAATTCCGGCCTCATCGGCAGTCGTTTGGGAGCTTCAGAGGAACGAGTTCGCTGGCCTTCCAGTTTCACGCCAGCTGTGACGCCGTGACGTCGCGGCGGCGAACTGGATGGCCACCGGTACGAGACCTCGAGGTTAGGGGAGCGTGTTGGGTTTCGGTGGTGACCAACATGAAGCAAAATGGGGAAGAAGGGAGTATATAAAGCGAGGGAAACAACCTCCTGAAAGTGATATTTCTGCAGACACAAACACACAGCAATCAAAACATCAGCCTCATCAACCCATAACAAAACAACACGGAAACGATCGTTCCGACCAGCCTCTCAGCTTCTACTCTCCAGCCCCCACTGTCCAACTTTTCCAACCCTCCAATCAGTTGTCATGGGTACCCGGTGCACCGAGTGCGGCCTGCTTTGGAGCCAGCGGGTGCCCGAGCCCGTGAAGAAGCAGTGCACCAAGTGCAAGTGGGGCTACGTGAAATGCTCGGGCTGCGCGCGTTCCCCGCCGTGTAGGCAGCCGGGCTGCCTTCAGGGTCAGCGAAAGTGCACCGCGTGCAACGGCGTCGGCGAGACCCTGTCCGTCAGTTGCTCGAAGTATAAGACGCACAACAAGTCTTAGACGGGGACAATGGACAATTGGACAATTGGACATCTGGGGCGACCACAAATAGGCGGTTTGTTAGGGACGGCGGGCTGTTACGGCTACCGCCTATTTGTGGAATGGGTTCAAGATCCAACTGGGATTATTTGGGAGGGGAAGTTGGGTCTAGGGCAGGAGTCGAGGGAATCATTTCTAGCTGGACTCGGATTTGATAGGAGGTGTGCAGTAGTGTAGTAGCAGGGCTGAATTCGATGTGTATCATGGCAGGCCCATGGTTTGCTTTTTCAAACTACGCTCCAAGTACGTTCCAGTGAAAATGTGTTGGATGTTATCATGTTGCCTCCTTGAGTTGACTGAAATCAAAACCTAACTACCTAAATAAAGTAGTTATTTGGTTTGAACGGCTCAACTGATTCAAATTCCATTAACACTCTAAATGGTAACCTGATGAAGTCCTGCCATGTGGGACGAGACCGTGGAGTCAGAGCATATCCCTGATTCTTGTCGCCAACTGTGGTCGTTGATAAGTTCCTACATGTACTTGAGGAGGGAGGCAGGTAAGATGTGATTTGACAAAGCTCCATCGTTGAGTTACAGGGATTTATCTCAAAAAGCCGAGACCCACTTTCGCCAGGTCTCACTGCACGGACCAGGGCAGCCCCCAGATTTTTTCGATCGAGGCGGCTCGTGCACGCCAAGGTGACAAGTCGGGATTTCAAGGTTCTGGACCTTCAACGCCCCTTCCTCTTCAAGAACGCGATTGTGTGTAATCTGTACATTGCCTGCCCGTCTTGCCCGCCCGCCCGCCGCTGCCAACCGCAACCTGCGCCGACGCCAAAACGTGGTCCTGCCACTGTCGCCGCGAGTATACCGCTCACAAATCACCCAATTGCCTCCACCCTGGCCCGGAATGCTCAGGCCATAGAACGAGCGCGATTCTATGCACCCCTTCTCCATCTTAACTCTTGGCATCTTCGTAGCCGGCTACATCACCGCTCGATGGGATCTCGTCACTCGCCTCTATGAGCTTGCCATCTTTGCCTGGAACTACGGAGTGGTCGTAAGCAACCCCCCCCCCCCCTCCCCCCTGACCCGAAGGCGCCTTGAGCCCTGCTGTGCGACCCGAAACGATCGGCTTCTAACCGACCATCATCGTCTGTTTCGCAGACTCGCGCCGCCAAGGGATTTGCCGTCCTCAGTCTCGCCTTTTTCTTCATATTTCTCCCAGTAGAACGTCTTGCGACCCGCGAGGGGAATTTGGTACGACCATATAGCTCTCCGTTTTTATCCGAGCCCTACCTCCCATCGGGGCATGTTCGAATCCATGCTGACCTGCCTGTCCGCAGCATCCCCGCTCCACCGGATCAGGCATCTCTGCTAGGGAACAATTGCGACGACGGGGTTCTTTCTAGCTGATTGACCGCGTCTCTGCTGTCTGACATGCCAGAGAATGATGGCTTGATGCGCGTGTTCTGGCCGGCCGACCTGCCGCGGTCGGACCATAAGGGCGTGGTGGTGGGGTGGAGGAATTCGGCCTTGGACGTCTTCGTTTTGACCATCTTGGAGGCGGTCGAGGTATGTGCTTGTTCTTTTTGTGGAGGTGGTTTTCACATACAACACTCGCAGGATGGGTTTGCTAACGTGACCCTAGCCCCGAAACGTCGAGTTTGCCCTCAAGATCGGTACCCTCGTCCGCGACGCTGCTCATCCCGTGGGCCGTATCTACGAACTATGCGGCCAATCGTCCATACACGTCCTCGGCGTCTCGAATACACCCGACTCGGCCGACCTCGACTCGTCATGGATACACGTTGTAGTAGGGCCGGGACGTCGCGTCCCTGCCGTCACATGTGCGCGTGCCTCGAGCATCCAACTCATCCTCTTCGAGAGGCCGCGCCCTGAAAGGATGCAGTACATATCGCTAAACCCCATTGCGCTAGCCTTGGACGACAAGCATGACAATTCCCGGCAAGACGTCCCTGACGGGAGTGAGGATGATGACGAAAAGGGAGAGAGGAGGCGGAAGGAGCAAAAGAGGAAGCTGGTCGAGAAGCTGAAACAACATTCCATTTCGAAGCGGGTCCCCTCGGAAAAGGAACAAGCGCTCGCCAAGATTGTGAACCAGATCAACTGCGCATGGGAGCTTGAGCAGCTGCTCCAAAAGAACGTCTCCCGAATTGGTACGCGCCCCAAGAGGAGTCTTAGCGTCTCCGAGAGGGTTGTCGAGTCAGCAACGACGGCGCGCGACATGATGCTAGTGTGGATGTGGAACATGTTCACCGTATATGTTTGGCCCATCATCAAGCGGCTTTTCGTCATGGGCCTCATGGCTCACCGGGTTGCCGCTGAGGTGCTCTTGCGCATCTTGGAGTGGCGGGCACAGCCAAGATACGCCGCCCTGAAGGACATCTCGGCTACGGCGCAACAAGTCGAGATCCGCCTCCAGCAATTCTGCTACTGGCCGATGCAGTACGTCACACTTCGGCTCAGGAAGAATGATTGGGAGAGCGTGACGACGAGCCACCCTGACTACATTCGTTTCTACAACAGCCTCTGGCTGGTGGCCAACGATGTTATCATCGGCATTGCGCTAGGATCCTACATCATCGATAACGCCGGCTGGGCCGCCGAAGAGATCAGCAAGCTCCTCAGCCAGTACACGGTAGACGCACTGCAGAGCAGCATCTCATGGCTTATGGGATGGCCTGCTGGGTTGAAGTTGAACAATGAGTTGGGGGCATTTCTGGGGGATTTATTTTTATGGGTCATCGAATATTGGTCAAGTAAGCCCCCGTAACCCCTCGACAAGCCTCGACAAGCCGGGTATGGAGGATTTTCTAACGCAAAGCCAGGCTGCATCGAGGCGCTCCGCCCCATTCTGCCGCACATCATCTGGTTTATAGGCTTCTCGAGCTTCGCCGGCGCCAGTATGCCGATCGCCCTCTTCTCGGACCTGCTCTCAATCCTGACGGTACACATTTACTCTTTCTACCTCGCCTCGGCTCGAATCTACCACTGGCAGCTGAACATTTTGATATCGCTGTTTCACTTGTTCAGGGGCAAGAAGCACAACGTCCTCAGGAACCGTATCGACTCATGCGACTACGACCTCGACCAGCTGCTCGTCGGCACCATTCTCTTCACTCTTCTCTTTTTCCTCCTACCCACAGTAGCAGTCTTTTACCTTAATTTTGCTATTGCACGCATGGTCATCATTTCGCTCAAGGCCGTTTTCGATACTATGCTTTCCTGCCTCAACCACTTTCCTCTTTTCGCGCTCATGCTCCGGGTTAAGGATCCCGGGCGGCTCCCAGGTATGTCGATGTCCGACGCCATCATTTCGGGGCCCTAACTGACCCGACCACAGGCGGCATTCGTTTTGAGCTTCGAGATACCCAAGACTTTAGACGCCCCGTTAATGACTCCTCCCCACAACTCTCTTCGACCTCCGTAATACACTTAAAGGTAAGCCGCTGGTTGACAATAACAATTTCAGGGACTAGAATTAACCCCGGGCAGTCTGTCGAACTTAAGTTCAAGGCCATGTTTTACCAATATTTCCAAATGGGCCAACGAATCCGCAAGCATTACCTTTCGCCCCGGGTGTTGCTCTGCCTCCTCACGGGCAAGTTTGTCCCACCGCTGAATCGGAAGAACCTCTACAGCCTCCAATACAGCATGCTTCCTGCGCGGCGGGCAGGCGTCATGGAGATGTGGACTGCAGTCAACTCGCTGCCGGAGCCTAAGAAGCGGATGCCGGTGTTGCATGTGCCGGTTCTCGCAAACGGGCGGAAGTTCCCAAGTAATTACAGCGGGGGACGGTCGCGGGGTTATGGGTAAAGTTTGTATGATGATACGACGTAATAGAAGGTGCGGTATTGGTATGCTGTTATGTGAAAGCTGTGGAGTTGTTGATGTGATGTGGCCCCAACCTATTCCCTATTGGGTGTGTGGCAGTCTTGGAAAGGGAGGGTGGTCTTCTTTGCATCTGCAGCCGACGTACCCCTAGCCTGTCTCGGTGGTCGAGACCGCTCCGATGCACAACATACTTCGTACCAGGGATGAAGCCCAGCCAAAGCAGTGCAACGTCTACTCGTCCAGCAAAGAGTGGTGGTTACCCACATACAAGGACTTTTGCATTGGGGAGGGTGTTGCCTTGCCCTGCGGATACATAAGCAAACAGTCATCCTCTCCCAATACCTCAGAGTTCAAAGCCTTTCATCTTAGCTAAACGGAATTATACTACTGTCCGGTGAAATATTCAAGCCAGGGTAAGTTGACTGTGAAGCGGTGTAATAAAGGGGGGACAAGACGAATGCAAAACAGTCTCGTTCACCGCCTAGCACTTATACAGGGGGAATACCACAAACCACTCACAGCTGTCATGTTTATTTAATGAAGCAAAGTTGCCATGGGAACTTCGTCCCAAGTTTCAATCTCCTCAGGCTCACAACTCGCCACTTGCAGCATCGCCCGGACCAACAGTTCAACACTTGACCCCGCGAACTTTTGCTTGTGACTCGCCTTACCCCACCACGTTTCCATCTGTGTGGCAAGTTTAAGGCAACGCGTAAATAAACACACAGCCCCAGACCCCTGACTGGATGCACACTTGACATCAGCACGAGCGGGCATCCTGGAGTTTGGGAACCAAACGATCATTTGGGGATTCAGAAGTTGATGATGTCTTCAGCATAATGCCGTCACTGCTACCGCATTCACTCTTTTGATTCGCCACAAGCCATTCGGAACTGACCTCGGCTGCCTGGGTTTGGATGTTTCCGCCTGCGACAGGTGATTAATCCCCCTCTGAAAGGTGAGAGATGGCTTCCTTCCTTTCCCACCAACCATCTCTTCTTTTGTACCATGTTTAGGGAGATCTGTGAATTGTTCGTAGCTAACTCATTCAGCCTTTTCGGATACCATCACTTTAAACCACTTCACACTAAATCACATCTCACCGTCTATCGACCGATCGATTAGTCGCGATGAATACAACAGATCCCAAAGAGCGGTTCTACCGCCAGTTCCAGAACTCGGCCGAGTGTAAGTTTTTATTGTTCTATTACTTGACCGATTTCACATCGACTAACCGAATGATGAAGCCATCCAAGATCAAATCAACCAACTTCCCAACTTCGCGGCCGTGGGCGGCGTGCGACAAGATGCAGTCGAGCACATTCTCGGCGCTATCTCTCGCTTGTCCAAGGAGGTGGCCGATGCCATCGAGTTTGTGCCTGCTTACGACCAGCGGGGCTATTTCGACAAGGTCAAGTCACTTGAGATTCAAGTCAACCAGGCAGCAGCCAAGTTCACCTCCTCCAAGAGCCGTTTCCGCTTCAAGAAACGTCCCGATAGCGACAACCATACAGCAGCCAGGACCGACGCCCGCCGTCTAGACCTGACTACCAACTCTAACAGCTATACTGATCTCGCCGCCAAGGCAACCTCTACTGAGACTTCCACTCCAGTTAGCTCTACGAAGAACTACAATGCCGAAATTGCCAGTCTGGGACCCGGAGGCTTGGGCGTAGGCATCCGCAAGCCCTCCTTCTCCGAGGCTCGAGACATCAACCTCGCCGACCATATCCGCGTGCACATCACGCTCCCAGCCTCAGCTTCACGGGCTACCTCCGCCGGCACTCTGACCAACCTGCACCAATGCGTGGTCGACATGTCACTCCCGACCTGGACCACGAGCACCACAACCACTGCCGTGGTCACCACTGGAGAAACCGACAACGAAGCCGACAACAGCAGCAGCAAAGCGGACGTAGACGCGTGCATCGGCACGCCCTTCGCCAGCCTGACTCTTAAGGACATTCAGGACAGCGCCATCGTGGCGGGCCACGTCAACGGCCCCGTGCACGTCACGGGTGTGCGCGACAGCGTGGTCGTGGTGGTGGCCCGCCAGGTGCGCATCCACGAGTGCCACAACGTCGTCTTTTACCTGCACTGCGTCAGCCGCCCGATCGTGGAGGACTGCAAGGGGGTGCGGTTCGCCAAGGCACCGGGGCTTTTTGTGAGTTTTTTAATATTCTTTTACTCTTTTTCTTTTTTTTGGTCTTTTTTTGTTATTTGTTTCTTTCTAGTTTCTTCTCTTGTGCTCTTGTTTGTATTTCTATTCTTTCACCTCTCGGCCTTTTTTCTACTGTGTAAAAAAATACTAACAAACCCGTGTGTGCAGCTGACGGACAAGGACAAGGCTGAGGCCAACCTGTACGACCAGGTCGATGACTTCAAGTGGCTCAAGACCTTCAGCTCACCCAACTGGAGCTTGCTGCCCGAGTCCGAGATCATCCCGGACGCTGTCTGGAAGACGGCCCTGGCCGGCGAGCCTGATGTCATCATCGACACCACTCTGCGGAGCCTGGGTGTGAAGAAGGGCCTTGAGGCCGAGCTGAAGAATTGAGGCTAGATCGTTGGGTCGTTGCAAAGGGAGCACCTTGCCGAGACATGACCCCTTGAGGGAGTGTATTCTTGCTGGCCGTTCAAGGCTTCAATAAATCAACGATGATTTCCACTGCGGGCCGGTTGGTCGATGCTAGGTAGTTAGTCACCAGGTGGGATAACCATCCCGGCCACGCCCTAAATTGAACTATTTTGAACCAAATGCCCCAGGGGTGTCCTCCTTTCCGATTGTGAAGGTGAAAGAATCGAAAGAAAAGTAAGAAACCCAACGTCCTTTCCCGTTCCTATGGTATGCGCAAAAGAAACATCAAACCTGGTATCAAACCGCAAGAAATCAGTCCCAACCCTCCAGAACGCCACCCATATTATGTAATATCAACGAGTCCATTACCTCCCCCGTCCATCTTCTTATCTCGCAATCCCCCATCCCCCGTCTCCCTCTCCCCTCCTCGTGACACCAGCATGTCCTTCCCATCACCTTCCCCACCAACCCTCCCCCTCCCTTTTCCCCCTCCCCCCCCCCTTCCCCCCACCACCCACGCTCCCCCCCCCTCACAAAAACCAGACCCATCCGCCTGCGCCCGCGCCAGCGCCCTAGCCTGCGCCGCCCGCCGCCCCTCCAGCGCCCGCATCTCCGCCTCCTGCTGCGCCACCGCCCGCCGCACGTCCCCCAGCGTGCGCACCGCCGCCCGCGCCCGCTGCAGCTTGTGCTTGAGCCCGTCGGTCGCCGAGGGGAGCTCCTTGACGGAGAGAAGTTGTGCGTCGGGGTCGGGGTTGCTGGTGGTGGTGGTGGTGGGGCCGGTGGTGGTGCTGGTGCCGCCGGGGTGGTGGGGTTTGGGGGTTGTGCCTGTGTTGGAGTTGGGGGCGTGCGAGAGGGGGTGTGGGTGTTGTTGTTGGTTTGTTGTTGTTGATGATGAAGGGTTGGTGTTGTTGTTGATTGTTGGGTTGAGCTGCCGGCGTTCGGTGTCGCTGCGCTGGGGAGAGGTGTTGTTCCTGTTACGCCCGTGGCATGTTTGGTGCCGGGGGCAGAGGTTGCGGTTGTGGTGGATTGTTGTTGTGGTTGCTGCTGTTGTTGTTGCGCAGCGCGTAGCCGGGTGATGATGGAGGATAGCTCTGTGACCACGTCGACCGAGTCGGGGGAAAGCCCCGCGGGGAGATGTGTTGCCATTGTTGATTGCGGGCTGCAGTCGCGTCTCTGAATAGGTAGTCGGGTTTGGAGTACTGATTCTTCAACCACGGTACCAATGGTAGCTCTCGTCAAGCTTGCGTGGGTGACTTGGCTGCTGAGGTTGGATGTTTAATTTTGGGGTGGACACGAGCTTGGCATGCCGGTGATCGCTCTGTTGCGGGACGCTAAGCTTCTTTCGGGCCCTACGTCAGGTGGGGGTAGCCGCTGAAGCACCAGGAACAGGCGATGACCCCGCCATCCCGTCTCAACAAGTCCGGTCAACGGGTGCGGCTGGGTCGTGCATTTTCTGACTTTTTTTTCCGCCCTCTCAATTGACTTCCCTGACGCGCCGCTTTCATCGTCCAGAAGTGTATCTCCACGCCATCTTCACCCCCAAACCCAAAGTCAATCAATCCTCCATAGACATCATGGCTCCCGACCACAAGGCCTGCCTGAGTACGTCCCGTCGCCCAGACTACCCGCTCGTCGCCTGCTACGTCCTGATATATCTCGAGCTGGGATGGCTGATCATGATGCTGTTGCGGTCTTCTAGTCGTGATTGACGGCTGGGGTATCCCCACCGAGGAATCTCCCAAGAATGGCGACGCCATCGCCGCCGCCGAGACTCCCGTCATGGACGAGCTCTCTAAGAGCGCGACCGGCTTTACCGAACTCGACGCTTCTTCGCTGGCCGTCGGCCTCCCCGAAGGCCTCATGGGCAATTCCGAAGTCGGGCATCTCAACATCGGCGCCGGCCGTGTCGTCTGGCAGGACGTCGTCCGTATCGACCAGACCGTCAAGAAGGGCGAGCTCGGCAACAATGATGTGATCAAGAAGGTTCTCGATGCGGCCAAGAACGGAAATGGGCGCCTTCACCTCTGTGGTCTGGTGTCCCACGGTGGTGTGGTTAGTATCTGGTGCATACGGTGCAGTCTCGGCAGAAACTGACTGTCTTCTTGCAGCATGCGAAGCAAACGCACCTGTATGCCCTTCTCAGAGCTGCCAAGGAAGCCGGCGTCCCCAAGGTCTTCATCCACTTCTTCGGCGACGGCCGTGACACTGACCCCAAGTCCGGCGCCGCTTACATGGAGGAGCTGCTGTCCACCATCAAGGAGATCGGCATTGGCCAGATCGCCACCGTCGTCGGCCGGTACTACGCCATGGACCGCGACAAGAGATGGGAGCGGAACGAGCTGGCCCTGAAGGGCCTGGTTCTTGGCGAGGGCGAGAACAGCGACGACCCGGTGAAGACTGTCAAAGAGCGTTACGAAAAGGGAGAGACGGACGAGTTCCTCAAGCCCATCATCATTGGCGGAGATGAGGGCCGCATCAAGGGTGAGCACTTCGCTTCCTGTTTGCCATTCATACGCCCACACACTAACTCGTCACAGATGGCGATAACGTCTTCTTCTTCAACTACCGGTCTGACCGTGTCCGGCAAATCACCCAGCTCTTGGGCGATGTCGACAGGTCGCCCAGGCCCGACTTCCCCTACCCCAAGATCAACCTGGTCACCATGACCCAGTACAAGCTCGACTACCCGTTCGAGATTGCCTTCAAGCCCCAGCACATGGGCAACGTTCTCGCCGAGTGGCTCGGCAAGCAGAACGTGGAGCAAGTCCATATTGCTGAGACCGAGAAGTACGCTCACGTCACCTTCTTCTTCAACGGTGGCGTTGAGAAGGTATTCCCGCTCGAGACGCGCGACGAGTCCCAGGATCTGGTGCCATCAAACAAGAGTGTTGCGACGTATGACCTGGCGCCTGAGATGAGTGCCGATGGTGTTGCCGACCAGGTGTGCAAGCGCATGTCGGAACAAAAGTTCCCCTTCGTCATGAACAACTTTGCCCCCCCGGACATGGTTGGTCACACCGGTGTCTACGAGGCTGCCATCGTCGGTTGCGCGGCTACGGATAAGGCTATCGGCAAGATCTACGAGGGCTGCAAGAAGGATGGTTACATCCTGTTCATCACTGCCGACCACGGCAACGCCGAGGAGATGAAGTTCCCTGATGGCAAGCCCAAGACTTCGCACACTACCAACAAGGTCCCCTTCATCATGGCCAATGCCCCGGAGGGCTGGAGCCTGAGGAAGGAGGATGGTGTTCTGGGAGACGTCGCTCCTACCATCCTTACGGCCATGGGGCTGCCTGTGCCCGAGGAGATGACGGGCTCGAACCTTCTCACTAGGGCATAGGTAACGCGGCGTCGGGATGGGAGATGATGATGATGAACTAGAGGGACACAGGCATGCGACATAGATGATAGACTTGCGCGACGAATGATGAAATGAACAAGAAACCCCTGTCCCTCCCTCCAAGTGACCACCGTGTTCGTGCAGCAAACAAGCGAAGGAATCACTACCCCGGTGTAGTCTAGGCCGAATTGGACGGTTGGTTTCCAGGCTAGTTCAACCACACCGGTGAACAACAACAACCACTCGTCGAGTTCCCAACCTCTCACAACCTGGGCCAAGGGCGTTCTAACCCAATGTCCAAGGCAGGACTTGACGGAAAATTGCGCGTAAGATTTCTTCGCTCCAATGATTCGATCGGCAAGCCGGCAATATCGAAGGTCGCAGCCAGCCATGGAGTGCACGGTGGCAATGACACCCCCCTGCCTGCCGTCCTCCCGAATCGAAGTCTGGAAAGCGGGGGACGGGGGTGCTGAGATGCAGGAGTCTGCCACAACTTACAAGGAAGATCATTCAAGTATCTTCCCCGCAATATTTCGCGGCGACGATACCTCGTCCGCGAGAGATCACCTGACACGCAAGACCGCGCCTCCCTTCCGTTGCATGACAGCCGTGAGGGGAACGATCGAAAAGGGAAGCAGCGGGCGACCCCAACGCTGGAACAACCCGACGCGGAAAGGGTGCACGAGTTGCAACAAATAAGAGGTCCGTCCCCGGCAATTGTTCACTTCAACCCATTTTCTCCGCTTCTCCCCCCTCATTTTCAACCGTGTTCCTTCCAAAAATACTCGACGACAACATCAACAACACCAACATTACATCGCCAATGTCAACATCGGATGCATCCCATCTGTGAGCGGGCCCTGGTTAACGGGGAGACGCTACCGAGCGGTTCAAGTGGACTCGCGGTGGAGCAACCGATCGTGGACCACCACAACTCCGCTCAAAAACTCGCGTGCCAAAGTGGAGCGAGCAGTCGATGAGGTTTAAAACACCAACAAGAGTTTGATTATTTGTCTATCCGCTCGTTGTTTTCAATTAGCCGTGTTTCTTTGCAGTAATTGGACCCTTCTCTTTCGTGTCTGGCCGCCTCAATATTACTGCGAGTGCAGGCATGTTGCAAATCCACCAAAACGGCCGCAATTTGACTCGTGATCTCTTGACACAGAGTTCGAGGAGTGGTACGTGCGATCGGGATGCGGAACTGGACTCAAATGTGAGGGACAAAAAAAGAAAATTTTTGTGGTGTTCTCCCCAGCGGGCTGGGAAAGAAGAATCGCTGTGGATAATGTACAAGGTGTGCCGGCAGTGCCGACAGCAAGACGGTCGGATCGCCTTGGAGAGTTCTCTCCCGATCTAGGTCTATATGGCCCCGTCTATTGTGATGCGATTCCCCGCCATTATCCCATGCACGCTTCCGCCCGTCTCATCAGTCCATGCGGTGCGATCAAGTCGCAGGGAACTACGAGCCTCTCGTACAATCCCTTCCCATCTCGTTCCCCTATCCCCATTATGTACAGGCGCTCGATCCCTCCCAACGAGGCACCGACGCCAATCCCTTCCGAATGCGGAGGAGATACGCTTAGGTCTGGCCCGCAGTCAGCACTCAGGTTCCGATATCGATCGACCACTGCCATGTTGCGGATGATACTTACGAACTTGGCCATGAGGGCAACCATCAGGTCGAAAAGACCAATGGCTTCGACGAAAGCGAAACCCAGAATGGCATACGAGAACAGCTGGCCACGGAGGGCGGGGTTGCGGGCAACGCCGTTGAGGAGGGCGGCGAAGACGAGACCGATACCGATACCGGCACCAGTCAGACCGATAGCGGCAGCACCCATACCCAAGTTCTTGGAGACCTCGACCATGGCCTGGGCGATCTCAGAAGAGTAGGCACGGCGCTGGACGGTGAAAGCCTGGCGGGTGGTGGCGTTGATGATGGAAGACATCTGCTGGCGCTTGACGGCCTGGAGGGGGGACGACTTGCTGGCAACTGCAAACATGCCAAAAAAAAATTCATCGGTTAGATCGCTGGTCCGGATCGTACTGGCATCCTCGCGGCTGCGGCAATAGGCGCGCCAAACTTACCAGTCAGGGTCCGCTTGCTGGTGTTGGCAAGAGTGACACGAGCGGCCGGGCGAGCAGCCTTGGTGGCCATCTGAGACGCCAGTCTCGAGGCGAGGACACGGGTGGAGGCCATTGTGACTGTTGGGAAGAGGATGCAAAGAATGCAAAGTCGGGTCGGGGATGGCTGGCGAGATGGGACTCTTGAAGATTGTGGCAGAGGCGATGGCTCGACTGAGTGGGAGAGGGAAAAAGAGGAGGAAGGGAAGAGTGAAAATCAAGAACAGGTGGTCAGCTGGGGAAGCGGAACCTCGGGCTGGTCCGGGCAACGGGCTTGACCAACAGAAAGGAGCAACGTGAGTGGCCAATTCGGTGCTTGCTGGCGGAATCTCTCCACTTGGAGCTTGCGGTGGGTCACCGCTTCAAGTTGGGACAGCAGTGAGAAAGAAGGAAAAATTTGCTGCGGCACTTTGGGAAATGGTCGGGCAATCTCGGACGCGGCGCGCACACAAAACCGTGGTCGATCGGCCCCCGGGACTGAGCCGCTTCTCGGCCTTCTTCCTCAATAAATATCACCAAAACTGTTGCAATTGTTCACGGTAGACACAGATCGATGGGCCCATAAACTGTGGAAGCTATCACGGTTCCGTTTAGCGTTCCCTGGAAGCTGCTGGAGCTTTGGGATCTCGAAGTCAAACGGAGCTTTTTGCTTGTTGGTGTCGCCGAAAATTTTCAGCCCGGGTTTGATGTCTCAGGCAATGAGGCTCCTGTTTTGTTGACCAGGGTCCCTAGATGCCCCCACGGGCCCCCCACTTTGCCTCGAAAGGACGACTCCCAGTCGTCAACACCGCGGCACAGGTTCCACAGGTAATCCACCACGGCATCAGGGGCTGGGGGATGACGACAAAGATATGGGTAAAAAATGCCTCTCCTCTTTTCGGGCGTGAGGGGCGCCTGCGGCAACAAGTGATGATGCAAGTGGCTCAAGAGCATCCCAACAACCACACTCATCCCATGAGATGAGGAAACAACGAAGACATCCTTCAACAGGGCAGCTTCGGTTATTTTCCGAGCTGATTCTTTGAGCCACCAATCATCTCAACGGACCCGAAACCGTGTTTGCAAAGGTTACACAGCATCTTTCGGGTCGGATCTGCCGGGGCTTGATGTGATTCGTTGACGGGGATTTCCGGCTGCCCGACATGCTTGAGGCGGCCGATCCAGCGATAACTGCCGTTTCAAGCCACAAGGCTGGTGTGGCGGTTGCACAAATAGAAAATAGAAGCCCGAATGTCACGTTAAGCTCGGGGCGGGAGAACGACGTCCTCTCTATCAAAGATTCATCGCTCTGTTGCACCCTCTATCCAGGCTTGCGTTGGGGCACAGTAGCTTCTGTCAAAGGGGCAATGATGTTAAATTTACTTGTCTCATGGTTTCCAACTCCAAGAAAATGTAAACTCAAAAGACAGCCAAACGATAACGCAAGCTTTTAAGCGCCTTGACAACTCCGTTTCTGTGACGACAGCAACCGCCACAACAACAACTGGCTGGCTTCAGTGGCAACTCGAGCTACGCAAGACATGTTCGGCGCTATCTATGCATCTCCCCAGAAATACCACAAGTTGTTCTATGACGTGTACTTGGTGCTGCGTTGTCCTGCAGAGTGACCATGTTCGGTTAACTTGATGAGCGGTGGCGATGTTGGTCTCTCGGCCTAAACCTTTTTACCATTATCGTGGGTAGCCTTGACAAAGGGAATAGTAGCGTCCGGTTCTGCCTACCAATTCATTCCTGGAACGGAGTACGGCCTCTGAACGCACCCACATACACCATAGACAAGCAGTCATGTCACCATTGTTCTATCACTGGGAAGCGATCGCTCGGGCGGAATCCTTCGTAACCATAACCACAGTCCTCCGATTGCGGCGCCTACGCGTCAACATGTATGGTCCTCTGGTTGGAGGGTCGTAGACGCACAGTTCACGTCGATTGAAGTAGCGGCTACGAGTGCGAAAGAAAGGCCTTGGATTGCAGGCCCCTGAGTCCCTTGAAAAGCCCCTGAGGTCTTGTTTAGAAAAAATACATGTCGCCCAAGCGAACGTAACGAAAAAACAGGGAAAATAAAAAGCCCCGAGTCCCATGTCCCAATCATAAACAGACCCGGACCTGAAATGTGGTTGAAACCGTCCTCCTGAACGGAAAGTATAAATAAATTGATGCATGCCATTCCTGGAGATCCTCCACTCGAACGCGGGTATAATTGCCAGCCAAGCCAGTTCGCTCGTTTTGAAAATACATCCCGACCCCCCCTAAACGCCATAATTATCCCGAGTTAAACCTATACCTAGTTACCCAACCAACGCCTCAATGAATCCCATGCCGACGAAAAGAGACAGACACAAAAGAAAAAAAGGAAAAAAGAAAAAAAGGAAAAAAGAAAAAACGGAAAAAAGAAAAAAAGGAAAAAAGAAAAAAAAAAAAGAAAAAAAAAAGAAGAAAAGAATCACACAGCCTCCTCCTCCGCCGCCGCCTTCCCTTTCCCCTTGAGGGCATACCCCTCGACAAACCCGTCCGGGTCACACGCCTTCTCCAAGCTAACCTTGTGCTTAGCAACCCACTCCCGCACAGCCGCCTGCGAGATGCGGACCCTGCGCACCATCTGGTCCGTGGCCGCCGTGGGCTCCGCCGCCGACGACGACGCTTCCGCGGCAGCGGCGGCGTCGGTGTTGGCGCCCGCGGCTCTCGTCGCGCGCGAGGCGGGCGGCGGGCCCGTGCCGGCCTCCCCCGCCAGACCCATCTCCCGCAGCACACCCAGGCAGTCGTCGGGCGCGATCCAGGTCGCCCGGCTGCAGGCCTCGACGTCCACGACGAGTTCAGGTTCTCCCCTCGTCGCGGCCGTGGCGCCTCCGTTGGCGGGGGCGGCGGTCGAGGTTGGGAGAGAGGTGGCTGTGGGTGTCAGGCTGAGAAGCCAACGACAGATCTCGCCGGCCCAAAAGTGGTTGTAGCCCCGTTTCCCGAGGTCGGAAATGGGTTTTTCGGGTCCGCCGATGACACCCTCGCGGCGCGAGATTTCGTACGAGACGCCCATGAGCAGTGAGCCCAAGCCCTTGCGCTGCCATGGTGGGAAAACGAGGATGCAGGCCAGGTTATTGTTGTCCCAAGACATCTTCTCTTTGGAAAAAAAGCCGACAATCTGACTGCGGCTGTTCTCGTCCTTGGGCGGTGCCTCGGTTTTGGTGGCGTTCGCGGCGGTTGGCGGGGTGGCTGGTGATGTGTAGACCAAGAGGAAGTATTTGAAGTCTGTCACATCAAAGAAAACGGATTTGGTCTCGAGAAATAGCTTCCCGAAGAGAGACAGGTTCTGGCAAAAGAGCATGTCGTCCCCGCCGTCCACCTCCCGGATGCTCCATTCGCCCTCGTCGTGTACCTCCTCTTGGATCATTCTCTGGCCGACGCTGCCGCGTTTGCCTCTGCTCTGCTTGGGGGCTGGATGTGACGGCACCATGATGGTCCGCTTGCCCTTAGGATGTGCGTAAATTTTGTTACCTGGTAGGTAACCTTGCTTCTCGCACCAGTGCACGTGTTCCCACCACGTGACTAGTTCTCTGGAATATTTGAAACATCTTGGGCACACGTAAAGCATGTTGATGATGCCCGGATGGTCACGATCGCGTCGGCCGTGGGCTGTTGCCCTGTTTGTGTCTTCCTTGCTTCCCTCGTACGGGAGCGAGGTTGCCAGGTTTCCGCTGGCTTTGGTTCCATTCCCGCTTTTGGCGCTGTTGCCTGGGACGCCACCGAGCAGCTCTTTTCCGTAGTACGACGAGTACCAGGCCGGGAAACAAATGTCGCCTAGCACAATCTTATCAATATTGCGATCCGGCTGTGTCGCGCCGTCGGTACTTTTCGCAGCGTCACTGGGTGCTTGGGTTTGACTTCGCTTCGGGATTTGCGTTGGTTGGGTCGCTGAAGTCGCCATAGTTATTGGCGTGGTTCGTCCTAGCGAAACCGATTGCGAAACTAGTGGTGTATTGTTACTTTGGTGGCGGCCGCGTCCTGCCGATTGAGGAAAGCGCAAAGGTGTGGTCGGTTGTGGTGTATCGGGTGGTGGCATCGTGATGGTTCGAACGGGAGATGATAACTTTGTTAACTTGGAAAGGTTGAGTTTGGAGCGAGAAGGGCGGGCAGAAGAAGGCGCTTCTGCGGCGTTCTGCCGAGCCATTCGCGTCAGCGGCTTTGGCACATGGACCAGCACATTTTCCTTCCCGTGTGGGGAAAGGGACGCTGGCGACAACTCAATGGGAGGCCCATCTCCGTCACCACCGCCCCTGCCACCACCGGCACGTTGTACCCTTCGCCGTCGTCGCCTTGGTTCTGGGTCTTCGGGAACGGGGAGCGGGGGGATTGAGCTTTGTCGCGTCGCTCGGCGTGATGCTGCGGGCGCAGGAACTGTCGCAGCCGTGTTTCTAGCAGCGGCAGAGGGCCCAGGTCCCCCGCTAGGGCGTTTCCGTTTGAGGTGGCCCGGCATGTGTGCGTGCGAGATGGCGTCAACTTGTGGACGGGTGCTCCCGTTGTTGTGTTGTTGCACGCCGGTCGAAAATGGGGGGGAGCTCCAGTCTAAATGCGGTACCTACCTAACTAATCCTTGCAGGGGTTCGAGGGGAATTTGGGGAATTGAGTATGCCAAGACCTTTCTTTTAGGTTAGTGTGCGGCTAAGGCGATGGACCCTTGTCTTGTGCCTGTCCGCCTGCAACTTTTTTGAAAGCCGCAGATGGGTTTGAGGTTTTGCTGTCAACTGATGGTGGGGCATTTCTGAAGACCAGCCAGTCATGCCAGTGCAGTATCCAAATTTGGATGCAGAAAGTTGACGCTTCAACATTTTCAATGTTCCTGCTACGACGAAGACCCTCGCCACAAAGACGCAACTGCTCCTGCTATTGCGGTTACAGCTGCTCGATACTTCTGCTACGATGAGTGGTCGCTAGATTCAATGCTTAGTGTGCGATTCACTGCCTTGCGACAGGCTGAGAGATCCAGAGCCCTCCTTCGTCTTGTACGTGTCGCATCTTTTTTTAATCTTCTTTTCTTTTTTTTGTTTGATATAGCACTTTGGTGACGGCTACTAACCAATTCTTCCATTCAGCGGCCCATCCATGCCGTAGTTAGTCTTCGCCGGAAGTCAACGAGTCATGATGGCCCCAAATCGACGACAGAGACCCGCCCCCGACAATCGGGACAGCTCCTCTTTGACGGCCAATCCGCCACGGTGATAAATAAGGACACAAGTCCGTCCAGCGAGATTCACTTACGCCCGGACGCCGCTACAAAGACAGGAGAGCCCGTCGACGTCCATCAGCACCATCCCCTCCGACCCTCTGAAGAGGATGTGTTCGACAAATTACTACAAGCAGCAAAGGAGACGGAGAAAGCATCGGAAGTGGAGTCGGAGGAATTGCTATCCAAGATGCTCGAGCAACTAACTGCTGGAGAACGCGGACATCTCTTTCAAAGCCGACAGACGACGCTGAGCCGAGACCACGAGATAGCAGCCCTCCGTATGGCGGGCGATAGGGGGCCAGGATCGGACCCGCGAGACCCTGAAAGCCCGGAATCCGAGCTCCCGCTCCTCAAATTACCAACGGATGCGGCGCAACTAAAAGTGCTGCCAACAGGTTTTGATGGCATGACAGAGCGGGAGCAACAGGAGGAGCTGTGGGTAGTGCAAGCTGAAGAGCGTCTTGGCCGGGAGTGGGAGTTGGAAGATCCTGGCAAGCATTTTCCTTACAGCAATGACTATCCACCCTATTCACCGTCTAAAGTGATTGGGATACTGCATCGCTGGCGCAACAGAGCGTGGACCCCGCAGCAATGGAGACTGGCGCGCGCTATTGCCGGCAACCGGAGCCTGCGTCTTCCGGTGCTCACAGCACAGGCCTTTATTCGCCGACATGTGCTTCTAGCCCGTCAGCGCGGCGTGGAATTGAAGATGGAGCGTTATCTGGGCGGTACTCAAGAGTGGAAGGCCCGGCTGGCGGAGCTCGAAAACCAAACGGGTGTGTCTGAGGCCGACATAAAACAGTGGCTATGGATTCTCTCCCCCGAGTCTGGAGATGTGCAGATTCAGAGGCTCCTCAAGAGCGAATGCCGCAAGCCCCTGTTTCTGCTTCAGCTACTTATAGCTAAGGATAGGAAGATCCAGGAACCGGCTAACTTTCTCGGGCTGCTGCAGTTCCTGAGAGAAAACTATGTGCTGGCAGACCGGCCGCAGGACGAGCTGGACCACCCAGCGTACAAGGGCCAGGGGCGAGCTATGACGTGGTGGCACTTTCTGGTCTTCCTCTACCGCCTTGTCTACCATTGCCGAGAAGGGTGGCCGGCAGCGACGCCCTTGTTGGCACGTCTTACAGCTGATTACATCGGCACGATGCGCCTCGACAGTAAAGCACGGGCATTAACGGGCTATCAAGCTCGATCCCTCGTCTTGAACAAGTCGCTCCAATACTTCTCCTGGCCAGCACGCGTCCGCCCCATTGACCACATGGAACACAATTGGGCAGGCCAGCGTCACCTGTTGCAGCTCGCAGCAACAGCCGAGCCGCCGCTTGTCATGGACAAAAACGGATACCGCGCCGTCAGGGCGGTCCTAATCACCTTGAAGAAGACGAAGGGCGAGGCGAAAAACGCAGATCGCGCCGCCAAGACGTGGCCACCCTATCGGCGGACCTTGGACGGGATAGACGAGCGACGGGACCCCGAAGATGATTTGAGCAGGAGCGCCAAAGCGGGCATGCTAGTACGGGCCGCGGGCTACAGTGACGACTCCGTTGACCGAACCTTGAGTGCGCTTGGTGGGTCGATGTTTGGTGAAGCACCTACAGTCCAAACCAAATCAATACCTCCAGCGTTTTTCTCTGGGCATCTGGCCAGCCAAAACATCTACTCCGAGTGGGCTGCGAGGCTGAGGGCCACGAGAAATGCCCGGGAAGCCTGGATAGTGTTCGAAAACCCGCCGGAGCCGGGTATTCGACCGACGGCCCAAATCTATGGGGAAATGTTCGACAGGCTCTACGCCCGGCCGGCCGTGGGGTCGTCAGCGATCCGACCGGGAGACGTGAAGGAGGTGTTTCCGGTGGAAAACGGCAATCTCAGCGAGTTTGAGATTGCGAGACTCACACCGCCGACCCCAGAGGAACTGTACGATATCATGCTGCAGCAGGATAAGATCAGGCCGACCGACTTCTGTCTTGCGGTGCTCATTCGAAACTCTTCCTCAAGGCAGATGGCACTGAGATATTTGGATGATAGCCCGTATAGGCGCAATATAGAAATGCTCAGGTTGCCCGCGTCGCAGGCGAGTAGTGAGCAGCTGCAAGCACTCTCCGAACTTCCGCCCATGGTCTTCAACGCCTGGATCACCATGCTCTGCCGCATACACACAAGAACACGAACGGGGCAGCGGCCCATTGCCCGCAGGGCTCCGAGTCAGACGTACTCGATCCCACAGAGTCCGCATGGGCATGCCGAAGACGCCCTCAAAGTGTTGCCAGGCGATTGTATCCCAGAGGCCATCGCGCTCGCGTCGGCGTTCCAGGCGCGCAACACCAAAGCCTCACACCACGACCGAGTGCCATGGCACATGATCATGCAAGCTCTGGCCGGGACCAAGGTCCTGTACAGCGACAAGGGGGCCGAATTTAACATCATAGAAACACTGGCGACTTTCCTAAGGATCTACGAGCGGACGACGGCGTCCAAGGGCATCGACCCGGTCTCGTTCGAGGCGCTATGCCTCATGATCCGCAAGGCGCTGAAGCTGGTGACGTTCGAACGGGGCGAGGGCGGCAAGATGGTCCCGCGCCCGTACATCTCGTGCACCGACGCCATCGAGGAGCTGGTTTCCGGGGCACACGGCATAGCGGTGAGGACTTTTGCGGCGCTGGCCATGCCCATCCCTCGCGGGGTCGGGGCAGCATGGTGAATACGAAGAAGGCGTTGATAATGAGGATGACGTCGACGAAGGAGTGGATGATGGTGGAGCTACGCCGGGAATGCTCCGCTATAACGTCGTCGGGCGCCCCGTTTACAGATACATGATGGCGCTAGCGTGTTGTGGCGACGGCGGTGAGATGGTGCGCCTCATGCACTGGCTCCTGGACGGGTGGGACCGCGAGTACATTCGCGAGGAGGCCAAGACGCTGCACAGCCTCGACTACCACTACACGATGCGCACGATCGTCTACTTTGCCGAGACGGGCAAGGAGCTGGTCGAGCCGGCCGAGATGGAGCTGCTTTCGGGAACGGCTCGAGAGCATGCGTCGAGAGAAGGGCTGTACCTGGTTCTGGCCCATGGAGGAATGGCAGGAGGAGGACCAGGACCAGGTGCGCCCTGAGCTGGAAACAGACTTGGTGGTTATTGACCGCTGGCCGCGGCTGAGGCAGATGATCCAGCTTGCCAGATCTGAGGCTGCGGCAGCAGACCCAGTAACACGAGCAGCGGCACATTGATGAACAACAGCCCGAGGGCAAGAGCTTATGGATAGTGTAACAATGATGTATCATAGTTGATTCAGTTGTATATGACGAATCCCTTACGACTCTCTCACAACCCTCAGGAGTTTATCGATGTGTGCAAATGCACTTGTTTATGGTTACTCCTCCCTTTCTTCGCAAGGGTGTTCTACATATATGCTGGTAGAAAAAGAGCAAAGAGGACAGAGGAGAAAGAGAGAAAACGAAAAGGAAAGGGTTCCTTCCTGGTTGCTGAAAACCGTACTTCGTAAAAGCATCAATTCTCCGGTTAGCTAAGAAATAGTTAACGATATTCACCAACCAAGTATTCCGTACTGTGCATCCGCATTATTGCATCGGATGGGTTTCCATCCCTCGTGAAGAAAAAATAACATAAAGGTATTGGCCAATTCGGTTTCTTGGACCCCATCCTCTGCCCCTGCCACGGCGCGTCACAATGCGCGTTTGTTCAAGCAGCGGTACGCGCCTAGGTCATTCGGAGGTACTTCACAGCTTTCTTTATATTCATTGTGTACAGTACTAGAATCTGGGTGGAATATCTCAACATTCGGACCTGGATGGTCTTTCATTGTTGGAAGTTATTATCGCTTATTCCTTCTTGCTTCTTCTTGTATTTTACGATCCATTGCTGGGGGCATTGCGCACAGGACTAAACAGTGGACATTCTTTTTCTGATTATTTTCTGATGCAAAACGGGTTGGTTTTCATTTTGCATCTTCCTATACGTATTCTTCAAAGATCTTCTTTGTTCTTGGCTCCTCACCCATTATTCACATTTCTACAATACCAATATCACTGCTCAGCGTCATGCCCATCATATTATAAGCTAGCCTCACTTTTCTGCGAGAGGCGCATCGCCCACATGTTGGCGCTTCGTTTCCACTCCTCCCTCTCTCACCATCACCGACCCATCCGTCCTCTCTCACGGCAGTCTAATTTCAGACTTGAACGACAGGCAGTCTTATAACAACACGTCTTAGCTCTCTCTATTCCTTACCGAGCAGCTCCGAGCAGATGAGTATATCAGCAGCCTGGCCTTTTGAGGGTCCCGCAGACGCCGATATCTCACTACATACCAACGGCCAGGAACAAGCGCCTATTGAGGAGCTAAGCCCGAACGAACTTTTGACAGAACTCAGTCATTGGCCATGCTCTGAGACTGCAGATCAAGAGGTCAATGGACCAACCCCGATTCAAGGGCCAGGCGAGGAGGACTGCCCCTTACAACCCTCGTCTCCGGCCCTCGCTACCAATGGCGACTTGCTTTCGGGGGACGCCGGTGGAGGGTGGAAATCCACAAAGCAAATGGATTACAGTCGACCTGCCGAGGTCGACTCTGGTGCATCCGAGGTCATAGTACGACGGCCAAATCCCCCCATATCCGCGTACCAAAGAAGGAGACGCTGTTTCCACCCTTTTGGAGTTTGCGGGTGCCCAAGGCCAAGGCGAATTTATCGAATGTGAGCTGAATCACTTCAGCTTTTATGTGGACTCGGTCCTCTACCCGTTCGAGATGCGTCCGCTCCAGCATCTGGCAACGAAACAAGGCCACGACCGTTTTTTCTTCGACGGGGTCCTCAATATTGGCGGTGTCAAGCATTGCGTGGAAAAGGTTGAGGTCTCCGAGTTGCCAATCGGCAACTATGGGATCGCCCACTCGACGACCCGAGGTCAGATTTGGGTGCGTTCGAGATTGAACTCGCAAAAAGAAGTATATTACCGCCTCGGCAAGCCCGCATTGGAGTACCTGAGGTTCTACACTCCGTTCGTGTGGGTGGCAGATTTGTCGAAGGACATCGTTGACTTCTCGGCTTCCATGATCGACCGAGGGCGTCAAGTTGGCCTCGACTCTTTCAGGGCCAAATTCACCCAATGGCTTTACAAAACACATGGTGCGAGACAAGAAATCCAGCTTTGGCGGCGGAAACACCCTAGCGACGACTACCGTACGTCGGTCGCCGCCAATATCGATTTTTATCTGGAAGGAGTTAAACGGCGTGCTCGGGCGGAGAAAGGCTCTGTCGCTGCGGTTGTTCCATGAAACGATCTACTTCAGCGCGTACAAGCGGACAACCTCGACCCCGCTCCGGCCGGTGGTGCAGGGCAACGAGGAGCCCCCCCCGACAATCGTGACTTCGTACGTGAGGGACTGCTTCGGGCATATGGTCATCGGGAAAATTCTAAAGGTGATCGGGAATACGACGACTCCGGGACTCGGGGCGCAGTTGCGACAACCCTTAAACGGCACCGTCAAGGAAGCCAGGGAATGCCCAGATGGGTTCCTGTCAGACAAGTAGAGCGGCACCAGAAAAGGGTGCTTCCTCCCGCTCGAAATTATCGATCGTGTCAAAGCCGGAGACACCATTTCGACCCCCCGGGACGAAGATACGACGGGCACCAAATGGCGGAACATGGCGTCCAAGGGTGCCACAGAGGATGGCAGGTGGTTCGGCCTGGTCCAAAAAGTCCACGCGGGCAAGGACGGATCGCGCAGCTTCGACGTGACCTGGTTTTACCGACCCGTCAAGACCCCTTGCTGCATGATGAAGTATCCGTGGCCGAACGAACTTTGCCTCTCCGATCACTGCACGTGCGAGGAAGGCCGCCAGTCCCGAGTCAAGGACCATGAGATCCTCGGTGTTCATAAAATCGATTGGTTCGGGAGTCCAGATGGGAGCAAGGGGGAGTTTTTTGTGCGGCAGACGTACATCATCGAGAGCCGCCGCTGGGTGACTCTACGGAAAAGTCACATGGCATGCTCGCATGGCCCCGAGAAACCTCGGTTCAGGGCTGGCGACACTGTGCTCGCGGTGCTTTTCACCTCGCAGACGTACGCGGAGGCGTACGAGGTGGTCAAGGTCTTTAAGCAAGGCGATAACATGTTCGTGCGGTTGCGGAGGTTGTTACGCCGGAGCCAGGTCGACCCGCAAGCAGGCGCAGCCCCGAATGAGCTGGTCTATACCGATCAGCTTGTGGTAACCAAACCAGACGGAGTGATCGGGAAATGCGCCATTCGATTCTTCAGACCGGGGGAGTCAATACCGACCCCGTATGATAGGAAAGGAACAGGCAACCTCTTTTACATCACGCATCGGCTTGAGACGCCTGATGATGGCGAAGACGGATGTGTCCCGCTCGGTGAATTCCCAGCCTCCCTACGGCAAGGCTTCGATCCGACTCGGGAAACATTCCGAAAACTCAGGGGCATGGATCTGTTTTGCGGCAGTGGCAATTTCGGCCGGGGGCTTGAGGAAGGCGGAGCAGTCGAGGTGAAGTGGGCGAATGACATCTGGGACCGGGCTATTCACACGTACATGGCGAACAGCCCAGATTCAACGGCAAAGCCGTTCCTAGGCTCGGTGGGCGACCTTCTTCAGCTTGCCCTCGAGGGCAAGTATGCCGACAACGTCCCCCGCCCAGGAGACGTCGATTTTATCTCGGCCGGCAGTCCTTGCCCGGGCTTTTCGCTCCTCACCCAAGACAAGACAACCCTGACACAGATCAAGAACCAGTCCTTGGTGGCGTCGTTTGCGTCGTTTGTCGATTTCTACCGCCCGAAATACGGCATCCTTGAGACGTGCAACGATCGTCAAGCGCAGCACAACCGTTCCGAGAATGTGCTTTCGCAACTCTTCTGCGCCATCGTCGGCATGGGCTACCAGGCCCAGCTCATCCTGGGCGACGCCTGGTCACACGGTGCACCGCAGTGCCGGAAGCGGTCTTCATCTACTACGGGGCCCCGGCTGCGCCTGCCGACGCCCCCGCTCCTTCTCCATTCCATTACCGACGTCAAAACCCACGACCTCGGGGAGATGTGCAACAGCGAGCCTTTGTTCAGTCGCTCCTTTCAGTCGACCCCATTCAAGTTCACCAGCGCGGCCGAGGCCACCGCCGACCTCCCCCTCATCGGCGACGGCAAGGCGGAAACGGCCATCGCCTTCCCCGACCACCGCACATGCGGCGGCATCACGTCCAAGCTCCGCCACCAGATCGCCGCCATCCCGACCCGCCCGTACGGCATGTCCTTCTCCACAGCCTGGTACGGCAGCCGGCCAACCAACGGCAACCACCGCAACGGCGGCAGCAGCAGCAGCAGCAACAACAACAGCGACAGCGACAGCAACCCGGGGCGCAGCGGCGTCATGACCCCCGCGGAACGGGCGCTCTTCCCCGCCGAGGGCGGGCGCGCCTCGCGCGTCTCGCGCGTCTCCAACGGCTGGCGGCGCGTGCGGCCGGGCGACGTGGTGCAGACGGTCACCACGCGCTGCCAGCCCACCGACGCGCGCGCCGCCACCGGCCTGCACTGGATTGATCCCCGCCCGCTGACGGTGCTGGAGATCCGCCGCGCTCAGGGGTTCCCTGACCACGAGGTCCTGCTGGGTACGCCGGCTGACCAGTGGAAGTTGGTGGGCAATAGTGTGGCGCGGCAGATGGCGTTGGCGTTGGGGCTGCGGTTGCACGAGGCGTGGGTTGGCGGGATGGGCGAGGTGGGAAGTGGTGGTGGGGCTGGTGCTGCTGGGCAGAGAGAGGGTAGGGGTAGGAGTGAAAGTGCTAGTGCCAGTGCGAGTGTGAGCGTCATTTGCAGTGAGAGTATGAGTGTGGGTGTGGCGGCTAGCGTGGGGGGGCTGTCCGTTGCGGGCGAGGAGAGGTCGGGCGTGGAGCGGATTGGATACCCTCCCCGTCGCAGTCCGCCCCGCGAGATTGTTGACCTCACTGCGGCCGTTAAGGAGGAGCATTCAGCAGGGCAATCTTTCTACAGACGCAGCGACGCCCACGAGATCATCGACCTCACCGCAGGCTCAGACTCAGATGGACAAACCACCACTACCCGCCGCCACAGCACCTTCCAGGAGACTGTCGAAATTACCTCTGTTTCGCGGTCGACCTCGGCCACCTCAAGCGGTACGGGCAGGGCCTCAACAAGCACACCGACATCTGCCATTACAGAAAGGGCCAAGGCCGGCGGGATGAGGAAGCGGCTTTTGTCACAATCACTAAACCGGGAGGTACGACCACCCAAGGTTATCCGGTTGGAGAGCGGAGACTCAACTCCGACCCCCGAGCGCGGACCCGGGCCGGAGCCGGAGCCAGAGTGGGAGGAAAATGACTCGGAATCCTGGACGCAGACGGGGGAGGAGCTTGGATCGGTGTCCCCGTCGAGTTTGGCCATGGGGGAGGAAGCTGCCACGCCGGTGAGGACCGGGCCGACGATTGTTCGGCTGTTGACGCCGGATGAGCTGGAGAGTGATGAGATGGGGTGGGGTGCCGAGATGGAATAGACCGGCTGACTGCGGGTTTCAGGCATATAGAGGTGGTGCATATTGCATACATTATAGGGTACTCGCAGGAGGAGGGTTTACATGAGATGGAGTTGGGGTTGGATCTTCACGGGCATCTGCATCTAGAATACTTGCAGCATTTGAAACAGAATTGAATAATCATCTACAGACTCCTTGATTCTTGTTTCCGTTTATGGTTTGTGGGTGCAGGAGTGTCGCTACCTAGATATTAAAGTTTCTTTTAGTTTGGGAGACGGGAGAAGGAAAGGGATAACTAAAAGAGATGAATCCCTTTCGGCGAGCTCTTCACCGTATCTTCGCCTAAACTGGTGCTGGCACCTTCCCCCTAGCTTTCCAAGTTTTCGAGCTTTTGAAGCAAGAAGCTCCAGAAAGGAAAGGAAAGCTTTTGGGGTTGAAAGAGAAGTCGGTCCAGACCTCACACAGGGCCCATGCTTCTTGCCTGTTTCAGCGCTTGGTGGGGGATCAGATCGATTGGCTGTGGTTCCTCAGCCCTGCAACTGCTCCCCGTCACCGCCCAATAAAGAAGCGCCCGCGCTTGTTTCGCAGACTCCCCAGAAACACCACGCAGTCCACAAAAATGCCAGGCTAAAATGTTCCCGCCAGACGGCGCTTACACATGGCACTCTCGTTCAAAAAGCCGGGGTTCGGCCTTGGACATCCATTTGGCATAACGGCTTCTCAAGATCACCCAGGTTGCTGCGAGATAATTGGATGGCGATGAACCCGACCAGGGCGGCCGCAGACCCCCCGTCATCTCGCATGCCGAAGAAGCACACCACTGTCACCACTCCATACTCTATCCCACCTCGTTGAGCTCTAGTGCCCAGCCACAGTCGCTGCTGGCCGTTCGACGTACCGCGGCGCGTCGCTGGCCTGACGCGCTGGCATCCGAGAGAATGGCTCGAAGCTACCTTGGCTTATTGCCTCGTGTTCCAGATGGCAACTAGGGCGGCATGGGGATGAGGGGAGTGAGGAGTCATTTTGTGTGTGATGGTTCATTGTGACCCCGTCTTTTTCTACCGTCTTTCCCCTTCACTTCATCTGTTCTGTTTGTTTCTTCTTCAAGTCGGGCCCATCCCTTCCAGATCCGTTGTGATCATTCCCTCGCTGTCTGTTCGTTGTTTCTATTTCTATTCCTGGCCTTTTTGTGGTTGCCATCCCCGACCATCATTGTCCCTTTGTCATCCCAGTGTGGTTGTTCCGAGCTGGACTCTGTGATACCGCAAGCTGCCAAAGGAACAGGTCGCCTCCTAGTCACGATCAACGCAAACCTGAAAGCTTGCTTTGACACCCTAGACCAACTGTCTATTTCACTTGTATCTCTTTTTGGGCAGGCCCTTTACAGCAGTTTTGATCGATCCCCCCTGTTCGATTTTCACCCAAGACATCTTATTCCAACACCCACGAGCAAAAATGCGTACTACAACACTAATATTACACGCCTTATCCCTCATCGCCGCCGTCGAGGCAGGCCCTCTTCGAAACCGGCCATGGCGCCAAAGGCAAGCAGCCAGGATACCAAGGCAGGCAGAGACCGACATCCCGACTCGGTTAACCAAGATAACGCCCATTACCGACCCTGTTACTCCTCTGCCGACGGGGGAGTGTTCCGATATCCCCGACCTGTCAGAGACACCGTTCCTGTCGTCGTTGACTTCCAGCATATCGACCACGGCGAGCTCCACCTTTGCTACTTCAACATTACTGGCAAGTCCAGTATCTTCCGACCAGGTCAGCTCACTCTCAGCCAGCTCTGAGAGCCCAGACTCGACCGGGACAGGAGGCATCCCACCCTTCAACTCGCCGAGTTCAACATTGACGAGCACCGAGACCACCAGCGAGACCACCAGCGACGCCAGTGCGACGAGTGTATCTTCATCGACCTTGGCCGGATCGCCCTCGTCAGCGCTTCACAGCGCCATCACCTTCCCTCTTGTGGCATCACCCACCCGCCGGCCCGTGGTGACTCCCATCGATTCGATCTCGGATGCACCGTCATCTCTTTCGCCTACTTCCATATCGCCTACTTCCATAGAGAGCCCAAGTCTGTCAACCACCGATAGCTCTTCCGTCTCGACGTCTTCGACGTTTGAGAGCTCGGTTACGCGTTCTGTACCAGTATTGGGTACCGGACCAGCCCTGGCCTCCTCAACTTCTGGCTTATTTTCGAATTCGACGGCTACATCAAATTTGCCGGGTTCGACCGGCGTCCCTTCCAGCCTCTCCTCCGTCAAGCCCACCATCACAGGCACGCCTCTTGCCAACGTCCCAACGGTAATTGAGGACCCTCCCGCGAGCACCGCCACCGTGTCCCCAGATGTGTACGAAAATAACATCCAGGTGGCGCGTGAATTTAACGAAATCTTTGCCACTCTGACGGAGCAGTCAGCGTGCAGGCCGGGCCAGGCGGCATGCGTTGGTGGAGGGCTGGCGAGATGCACCGATGGCGAGGGCTGGAAAATCCTCCACTGCCGGGACGCCAACAGCGCCTGCTTTGCCATGCCTGTAAACACAACAGAGGGCGTCATTCTGGGCTGCGTCGGTGTTTCTGTGGCTAAGCAGGTTCTCGGGGCCATTCCGGACGCTATGCTGCCGGGCTCGTCGACTGAGCTGTCCTCGACCGGCACCTCGACCGGCACCTCCACCGGCCGCAGGACGAGGACGGCCATTGTCACCGTCACCAGCGGTATCGGGACAGTCACCGTGACTGTTGACCCCACCCCGACTTCAGAGTCGTCAGCTCTCTCTTCTACCTCCCCCTCGCTGTCTCTGTCCTCCTCGGAGGCCAGCTCGACAGTAAGCTCGAGAGTAAGCTCGACAACCACCAGCTCAGAAACCAGCTCCGAGAGCCCCTCCGGATCTCCCTCCGAGTCCCCTTCTGAATCCCCTTCAGAAACCCTCATCAACCAGCCCATAACCCGCACCGCGCTCATCACTCTCGCCACGGGCACAGCCACTCTCACCCTGACAATCGACCCGTACGTCACCCCTCCCGCCGGGCCGCTGCCTTCACCATCCGAGTCCGAGTCCAGCGAGCCCACCGAGACGCCGATTCCCAGCTCCCGCAGCGCCCTCCTCCCCCCACTCGTCTTCACGCCCGTGCTGCCCAGCCCCACCACGCTCTCGACCTCGACCACAACCCGCGAGACCCTCCGCATCATTCCCATCATGGACACAACCACGACCACCGACACCACATCGACCATCACCACCACGAGCACCACCACCATGACCACCACCACCACAACTAGCCTTGACAATGCCAGCATCAGCAGCACTACCGACGGCGACACCACGGCCACGGAGACCGCGACGACGAGTCCCGGTTTGGCCAACGGTGCGGCGGACGGCACGGGATCCGTGACTGTGACGCAGCAGGTGACCGTGACGGAGAAAGAGACTGTCAGAGAGACGGTGACGGCTACTGTGACGGCGACGAGGGGTGTGGTCTTTATTGATCCGTGAGCGAGTTTTGGTGTTGTGCGTGTTTTTAATGTGTCGTTGCTGGTTGTTTTGTTTGATTGTTTTGCTTTCTAGGTTTGCGGGGAGGGAGTAAAGATCGAAAATGGAGTGGGTGAGTGGACTGTTTGAAGGAGCATCATGCATGCCATAGCTGCCGCTGCGTTTTTCTTACAGTCGTGTCGTCTTGTTTTTTACTTTTCTTTTGTTGACAGCGTGGTGCGTATGGCGGCGGCGTTTTGGAAACCTAGCGTCCGAGACGCCTGGTGGATTATTTTGGAGAGGTTATTTTGCCAAAGTTATCACTATATTCGTCGAGGTCACTCCTTGGTTAATAAAAAAACAGCCTTGAACTCGTCATGAATTTCACTCGAAGCGTTGATACAACCTGTGACGCGGACACAACCTGTGGTGCGGTTGGCTTTCTTGACGGTGGAATCCGCCATACACCCGCCGCCATTTCAAGTGAAGACCGAGCAGAACAATAAACAACTGAATTACGTGTCGTAGAAATATATACCGCTACTATAATGATACCCGCGAGAATACCCCAAGAAAAGACAGCTAGATACACACGATCCCACACCCTTGCCCAGGAGCAACCGTGCCATGCCACAAGCCATGCTGATGCAACCCTGCCCGTATATATGCCATATAATCGTCAGTGTCGTCAGTGCCAGCTGAACCCTACCAAAACCATCTATAGAACCCACACCGGCTGTCCGCCGTTCAAGAAAATCATCCCCACCGCCGCCGGTATATAGGACATTTCACGACCATCACCGACATATAGCGCCCACCCCCCTTACCTCCCAGATGGAAACCCACCGGAGCCATCACGGGTATATAGGACCGACGCCAACCCTACGCGTATATAGAACCACCAACCCCCATGCACCCATTCACCGCCTCCTCCTGAACCGACTGTTGTGCGCCGGCCCGCCCTTGGACCCCGAGTTCCGGAGCTTGAGGCGTTTGAAGTTGGCGTGCGCCGTCGCCTTAACCTTGCGCACCGCCCTCTTGACGACGCCCTCGCCCTTGGCCTCCCCCCCCGGCCTTCGCCTTTTTGTCGTTGGTTGCGGCCGCCTTGGGTTTCTTTGCCTTGGTTTTGGTCTTCCCCGGTTCATCGTTCTCCTCGCCAGAGTCGGAAGCATGGAAGTCGGCTTCCGAGGCGGAGTCGAGGTCCGAGAGGCGCAGGTCATCGGCGTCCTCGCCTGCCGTGGCGGTGGGCTTGGAGGCGTTGAACTGGGTTTCGGGAACCAGGTCGAGTTCTTCCTCTTCTTCGTCGGGTTCACCCCCGACCTGGGCGGGTCGCTTGGCGCGCGTCGGCCGCATGTTGACAAGGCGGGTGCTGCGTTTCTGGCCGCGTTTCTTGAACTGGCGGAGGGGTTGTCTTTGCTTCTCTTCGTCCAAGCTGTCGTAGAGCGCCTCCTCGTCGAAACCGGAGAGTAAGGGCGCGGGTGCGTCCCCGTCCTCTTGGTGTGTCGTCTTAGGAGCCAGGTCTCGGCCCAGTTGCACTGGCGCTTGGCTGTCACCCACTTCCACCTCTTCCGCCACGTTTTTCTTTCCCGTCCCCTTCTCGGCGCCACCGCCGCCCTCCATCTCCATCTCCATCTCCCTCAAAGCATCCTCCTCCTCCTCAAACGCCTCATCCTGCATCCGCCTCAGCCCCGCAACAACGCTGCTCAAACTGCGCCCAAGCCCTCCCAACTTGCGCGGCAACCTCAGGGGGCCAACCCGCCCCCACCCCCCCTCTTCATCGCCGTCCCCGTCTCCATCTTCCCCTCCCGCCCCTCCTTGTCCCGCTCCACCGCCATGCTCATCCTGCTCATCCACGCGCGCTAGCCCGGTGGCTGTTGCTGTGCCCAAAGAGATGGTGCGTCGCCGTAGGAAGGAGGGCGTCGAGCTGGTCGGTGTTGCTGCAGTAGTGTTGTTGGGTCTTGTTTTGGTGACGCGGTTTGTGGAAGGGGTCTTGAAGGGCGTGGTGTTCTCCTTGCCGCCTTCCCCATCAGTGATGCTGCCTCTGCTACCACGGCGGCGGCGGCGAGGTGTTGTGGCGGAGGCGGGGGCCTGGAAGAGGAGCTGGGCGGTGGTGCGTTTGGATTGTGGTGTGGTGACGGTGAAGCGGGCGGTGGATGGGGTGGTTATAGTCGTTGCCATTGCCGTGGTGGTTGTGGGGAGGAGGTCGGCGGTGCGCTGTTTGCTCGGGGTGGCTGCAATGGGGAGGGTATTGGCTTTTGTGACGGTTGCGGTGGACCGCGAGGGGGTGCGGCCGAGGAGGTCGAAGATGCCGAGAACGCGGCCGTCTCTTTGTGGTGTTGGGCTGATGGAGGTGGGAATTGGAGCGAGAGGTGTGAAGGATGTCCGGTTTGAGGACGGGGTGCCAACATGGGCTGCTAAAGGGGTGCGAGTGGCAGCGGCCATGTCCTCAGGGTAGGACTGCTGGGTCTTTTGTAATGGCTTGTCAGGCCTGGGCCTCTTGGAGGGCGTTTGCGGAGGCAAGACGGCATCAGATCGGCTCCGTTTGCGTTGCTGCTGCTGCTGGTGCCCGTGGGTGGCTTCGACGGGACCCAACGGCGGAGGCGGGATCTTGCCTGCGAGTATGTCCCGAAGCTTGTTGTACTGTTTGTATTTCTGGGCTTTTGTTTCCCAACCGGTCAGCTGAGACGCGTAAAGCAACAAACGGAAATATTAGTACTAACCAATGTCGGGATTCTGTTTGATGTCGTCGCGGCCCGGCTTCTTTCCCGCGTGTGCAACCGCCCAGTCCCCTTCCCATTGCTTAAGATCAGCCCGCAATTGCAGGGATTGCGCCTCGTAGACCTCCCGGTCCTGGCCGTCCATGATCCTGTGCGGCATCGGCGTACGTATGGCGTTTGGTGAGGATATGGTGGCTTTGAAAGTGACTAAATTGAAACAAGAGGTGCACTGATCGAGGTGATCTGTACATGTACGAAGTCCACACAGCGGCAGTTACAGGGGCAGGGTTCACGATACAGCGCGTCCAGACGCGTTTAAGCCGTGGACCCCACATGGGAGATCATTCTTGGCGGGACAGTGTCAGGCGCGCAGCATTTACACAGTATGTAATGGAAGCTATTAGTTGCCCCACTAAAACGTCCCTCCTCTACAACTAAACACCAACTTGTTGATGCCATCGCTCATGGACGAAGGAGGAATAGGACTCGATAGTTCCGACGATATCCAAACTCAAGTCTTCAAGACGACTCTTGCCGAAATAGAAACATCTCGAGAAAATCCAGAGGAGCCTAGCGAGTCCCACGACTGCTGCGTCATCTGCCTCGACGCCATCTCCGACCCTTGCGCTGCTCTCCCCTGCGGCCACGCCCACTTCGACTTCATTTGTCTCGTGAGCTGGCTGCAGGAACACCCAAACTGCCCATTATGCAAGGCAAACGTCTACAAGGTCCGCTATACGGACGCCCAGAAAGCCGAAGCATTCTACCGCGTGCCCAACACTCCCAGGAATCGCCACGAGCAACATGATACACTCCTCGACACGGCAGGCCAAAGGCGATTTACATCTCACAATGACTTACTCCGGGAAACGGAGAGAAGGCGGCGAAGGCCACCACCCACCGTGGACGAAGCCATCCTGCGCCGCCGTAACATCTATCATCACCAGCTGTACTCCCTACGTAAGAACACCACCTCCCCCTCCTACGGCGAGCCAAACACCAACCAGCCTCTCTTCTCAGACATAGGATCCAACCGGATATCCCGATACCGCCCACCACCGACTCCGGTACAGTTCAGCTCCACGCCACACCTCGTTTCCCGCGCCCGCCTCTGGATCCGCCGCGAGCTGCAAGCCTTTTCCTTCCTCTCCGACCCCGACCCCGACGACACACCCAACACCGCCACCCCCACCACCACAACCTCACAATCCCACCACCAACAATCCCACCACCCCACATACCGCCCCAACCACAACGCCGAGTTCCTCCTCGAGTACATCATCGCCATCCTCAAGACCGTCGACCTCCAAGACAGCGCGGGCCAGGCAGAGGCAATGCTCGCCGACTTCCTAGGTGGGGCATCCACGGCACGCCTCTTCCTGCACGAGCTGCGCAGCTGGCTGCGTAGCCCCGCGCCGGGGCTGGCGGCGTGGGATCGCGAGGTGCAATACCCCGCGGCGCGGCGCGAAGCAGAGGGGGGAGGAGGGGAGGGGCAGCAAGGGGAAGGGTTGGAGAGTTACAGCCGTCGCCGTCGTAGCCGTGGTTCGGTTGGTGGTTGTGATCGTGGGCAGGGTGATGAGGACGATTGGGGTGGGGTGTATGAGGATGGGAGGGGGAGGTCGTGGCGGGACCGGGGAGGGGATCACTGGCGGGCGGGGACTTACGTGGGAGAGTGGGGGAACAGGAAGGAGAAGGGACGGTGAGGTGAGTGAGGAAAGGGCTAGGAAGCTGAGGAGGTGAAGGGATGGGAGAAACGTTTGGACTATGATACCCGGTTTCTGGTCTCATCCATGAAATCTGATCTTTTCTATTCTCCTTATATAACTGCTAGCTATTCCCATCATTTCAGCAAGTGTCGTTGCGGCGCTTTGGAACAATGTATCTTATCGTTACAAATTATCTGGACATATACAACCCGCAATCATCGAGTCAGCGCAAAACGACCGGATATATTACAGGTGCGAAGCGCTGAGGGCCACAGCCACCGCTGGTGTAAAGAGTGGGCGCATGGGATGCGTGTCTTCATGTTCAACGACGTCGTATTCTTCCCACCTTCCGCTTCCCACCTTCCACTACGTCTCTCCCTATCTCCCTTCCCTCTCTTCAGACATAACGTTTACAAGGAACCCGGAAACGGAAAACCAGTAGCACATTGGGTGGGATAATTACATGCCCTCAAACTCGCCACCAAGGTCGTCCTCGTCCAAGTCGCCCTCCTGAATCTCCTTGGCCATTTCCCGCTCACGTTCCCGGGCCTCTTGAGCATTCTTAAGTTCAAGGCGGTGCTGGTTCATGGGGAATCTCATGGCCTAAACAGTAGGTTCTCGTTAGCAAGACTGAAGGAGAAACAACCCATACTGGCTGGTTACATACCTTGACGCTCTCGTCATGCAGTGCCAGACAAGCACGAATGCGGTCGTGGAACGCCTCACCCGGCTCCCGCGTGGCGTACACATCACCAACCTCCTTGCTCTTCATGAACCCCCGTTCGCGGTCGAGAGCCGCCTCAATCACACCGTCACGGATCGCCTTGGCCACAATGTATTCAGCGCTCTCCTCGGAGCCCAGGTGCAGGCGGATGCAGATGTCGCGCAGGGAAATCCGGCTGTAGCTCAGGCTCATCATGCGGATGCCCGTCTTGATGACGTTCTGGCGGAGGCGCAAGATGAGCGTGTAGGTGCCATCCCGGCGAAAGGTGTCGGCGTGCTCGGCAATGATGGTCTCAAAATCCCCCAGGTTTCCGACGCGGACGGCTTGCACGAGTAGGAAGTAGGGGTGAAGCGCCGTCTCCATGCTCGGTTGGCGGAACGTCGCCCGGTCGGGGATGTCGCCCATCAGCAGCTCCACAACAAGCAGCAGCTTGGTGGCGGTTTGGCTGAAACCCAGCGCGCACGCGCTCGAGGGAGCCTTCCGCGTCGCCGCCGTCAGGTGCTCATGGGCTTCTGTGTAGCGGAGCTGGATGGCGCGGGTGCGGCCAAGGTAGTAGAGGAAACGAGCGACTTGGTTATTTGCCGCATTCTCGGGGAACTGGGTGTGCGAGACTAGGAGGTCGGCTTGCGAGATATGCGACGTGAGTAGGTAGTTCCGGAGTAGGAGAACGATGACCGTGGCTTGTGTGTCGACATCCTTGCGGAGGACGGCTGTCCTGAGTGCCGCAAGGAGGGTGGGTCGGATTCCCACGATCGGCGACTGAGGAGACGGCGGAAGCGGGGCAGTCTGCTCCGCAAACAACGAGTAGTAAAAGTACACCTTCGCAGAGAGGCTGTCGAGCGTGCGGCGGTTGACCGACCGGATCCGTTCGACCAGATACTGCGAAAACTCGAATCCTTTCTGGAGCTGTTTGCTGTCGTGCAGGACGACCTGTGTGAGGATCCCGAGGAAGACATCGACTTCGGGGATGACATCCTTGACCTCCTTCTTCGCACCGTTCTTGCTGGCGGCCTTCGACTCGCTGTCAATCTCCATCTCCGGGCCGGACTGGCGACCCAGGGATACGTCCGACTGGCCGATCGCCTCCAACATCTGCCTCGCAACATTGGCGCTGGCCGAGGATGACAGGTAGGTCTCTGAGATGGCTTGAGCAAGGATATCAGGGGTCAGGCGTTTCCGGATCGACGAGATGGACCGCAGTGCGCGCAGAGAGAATCTAGCGTCGAAGAGCGCGACGGCACGGTCTAGAAGGGCGAAATTGTTCTTGATGTCTATTTGCACGGCCCCTGGTCAGTCTCGGCGGTCTCGAACAGCAGATGGGGCGTGCATACCGTTAATGGTCTGGGCGACAGGGTCAACCTTGGCCTCCCCCTCAGCAGCCTTATCAGCATCGTCCATGGCGACGTCGCCCTCGGCATCGTTCGGCGGCGGGACGGACGACTGTTTGGATGCTTTTGACGGCGGAACCACGACTGTCATCTCGTCATCACCCTCCTTCTTGCTCGCCTGCTTGCTCTCCTTCTTGCCCTTGGGCTTGAGATCTTTGCCCCCTCGGTAGCCGCCGTTCTCGACGGGTTCCTTATCAGGTGTCTTGCCGGGCATGTCGAAGACTGGTCCGTGTGGTAGTGATAGTTCGTTGCGTGGCCGCCGATGAGAGACGGTCGGTGGTGATGGATAGCGCTGGTGCGATCGCGGAGCGCGCGGCGAGTTGTTGGTCCAGGTCAGACGGACGACCCTCGCCTATCTTGGTTTGTTTGTTGGGGGAGGGGGGGGTGGGCGCTCAGCAGTCGGCCAGGGCGTGCTGGGTGAGGAAAAAGTGACGGAGGCGCAAGTGCAACGTACTACAGGCGATCGAAATCACTATCGCCGTGGTGGATGGGGGTTTGCTGTGCTTGGGTTTGCGATGCGGGAATGGAAGGTTCGAAAAGCTCGAGGGCAGTCGGAGATTGGGGAGACAGTCGCCAAACGTGACACAACCCGGGAAGCCGCTGGAGCTGGGTGGAAGCTGGCCAAGGTACTGAGCTGTCCAGTGGTACCTGTAATTTACATGTACAAGTGCGGGGCAGTGCAAGTACAAGCTTGGGCCATAATACTTCGCCCAGCTGCACTGTACCAAAACCAGTGCACCTGCATGGAGAAGGCAGTGGTGCGGCTCGCCCCAAATGACCCACTTGGGCTGGCTGGATGCTTTGTGACGTTGTCGATTTGCTGCCTGTTGGGTCTCAGCTTGTTCCCATTTCTGCGCAACGTTCCCAGAAAAAGGACAATGGCGAGGATCTTATAGACCAACCCGAGTAACTTCCAAGTTGCGCAAATATGTCGCGTCATTCCTTTTCCTTTGTCAAATAAAATTCCCTCTATTAGTATCTATCCAGGCTTTATTCAGGTCTCGCATTTCGGCCACACCACCCCGGCTTATTCAACACCGATTACCACAAAACCGGGCGCGGCTGGTGACCAGCGGACCAACTGGCACGCGCCTGGAGGCTCTGAACATCACCCAGCTGATTGGGTTGAAACAACCTTGTCTGTGCCCAAAAATACCGACGCCTCAAGCATCTGTTCCTGCGCCGTTCCCGCACCACGGCCTCTTTCCTAAAGCGGTGCCAAGACTATATCGCCTGTTCAGAATGGAGAGGCACTCAAATAGAATTCGTTGGAGCTGTGTATTTCAACGTGGCTGGGTTCACAGCAAGTGGAAGCGTCACACAAAAACACCAAGATCTTGCATGACCTGATATTCCCTCTAAACGCGTAGAAAAGACCTAAGCTGGAAGGAACCAAACAAACAGACCATACTAGTTACGACGATTCCGCTCCAGGGGCATTAGTCCTCCTCGTTCAGATCCGCCCATCCATACGCCAGAATCCCTAAGTGCCAATGAGATACTGGCCCAACCACATATTCCGAGCCGGAGAGTTGTCCGCTATCCCATGCGCCGGTCCCATAAACCTTTTCCCATAAAAGCAAGGCTGTAAAAAAGAAAGGGAAAAAAAGAAAGAAAAGTAGGGAAAATAGTATAAGAAACCAGCTCGTCTCGTGGGGAAACAAAATGGCCCAACAACGACAGCTACAACCGGTCACAGGTCGCCCTTGCCGGGGACAACCTTGGCAGCCTGGACGGCGCTCATCTTCTTGATCCATGAGCTGTTCGGCTGGACCTTGCGGACCGTCCGCAACTCCTCGCTCGAGTAGCCGGGGATGCGGATGTTGTAGGTACGCTCAAGGACAAGCTGGATGTCGCGAATCTCCAGGATCTTAGAGCCTCGCTCTTTGGCGTTGCGGCAGGCCTGGTAGAGGACATTGTCGACGAAGGAATCGGCCATGGTGAGGACAGACTGTGTCGCGTGTTAGCAAATGAAGCGCCGATTGCAGGTTGGAAAAGACGGAGTCTGCTCACCTCCTCCACTTCGGGAGTCAATAGATTACCCTCTTGTCCTTCAGCCGTCCCACCACAGACCTGGCGTACGAGCTCGTCCAACTTCTTCTTGTTGAGGATACGTTCACCCTCGCCCTCGAGTTGGTACGCAGGCGCCTTGTTCAACGCGGGCTGGTTCATGACGCCACCGCCACCGCTGTATGTGGGGCGGCTGGTGTTGTTGCCAATCCCACCAATGTTGGGAACAGGAGTCGGCATCTGCGCAGCCTTCTCGTGAAGGGTTTTGGCGATCGGGAGCTTGGGCTGCAAGTTCAGCGCCGCCGTTTGCGGTTGCGGCGGGTGAGCGTGCGAGTGTCCTTGTTGCTGCGTTGCACCAATAACGCCGAGACCCGACGCGGCGTTGCTTCCGGGCCCGGTGGTGGGGGGCGCTGGGATCCCGCCGGGCCGTTGCGACGCCAGATTTACGGCAGCCGCGTGCGTGAGAGGGCGAATGTTGGTGTTGGCGGCCGTGGGCGTCGCCGACTGCGGGGTCTGCAACCGCGCAGAATTCTGAGTCGGCGTCCCGGCAGATGGCATTCCAGCCATAGATGTTGCAGCAGCGATGGTCGTATTGAGAGGTGCAGGAATGGGTTGGGTGCCGGGTTCGACTTTGATAGGTGGGGGTGGATGTTGAAGTTGTTGGGTTTGCTGCGGTTGTGGCTGGGAAGTGTTGGGTTGTGCGGGAGGTGCTTGGGTGACCGGAGACTGTTGTGCCTGTGCGGGTGTTGCCGGACCTTGGGACTGATGTTGAGGTGGCGGCCCTTGTTGCGTAGGCAGCGCATTCACCGTACCTGGCACGCGACCGGCCGCCAACTGCTGCTTTTTGGCAGCCTCAATGGCAGCATTGACAGTTGCGGTGGAGCTTTGCATGGGGTTTGCGGGAGCTGCGACCGGCGTCCCATTGTTCAATCCTGGGCCAGACTGGGTTACGCCTTGTGATCCCGCAGTTTGTGGACGTCCCTGGTTGGCGGTGTTGGGGACACCGGCGCCGTTCTGCGCCGGCCGCTGGCTGTTTCCACCACCATACTGCTTCCGCACCATGTTGGCAAACGAAATGGCGTCCGTGTATTGCTTATGGAGCACCACCTTACGTTCTTCCAGTTTCTTCCGCTCCTCGGGGGGCAAGGAGGGATTCTCCTGCAGATTTTGGTCGATCGACTTCGTTGTGCTGCGGGCACTGTCCATCGAGTATAGTGCCCTTGCGTATTTGCCCTTGATCTCCTCCAGCCACTTCGCCTTGTCCGGGACGTTGTTCGGGGCTTGGAAGTGGATGTCGTTGACATGGCTTACAATGTGGGGGGGCATTCCCCTCGCTTGCGGCCCGGCTGCCGGTGGTTGAGAGGAGGGATTAGCCATGCCATTTGAGGACCCGGCACCCCCTTGAGTAGCCGGACCTGCTTGCACGTGGGGTGTAGTTTGGGTTTGGTTCGGCTGCTGAAGGGGTTGCGGCGGCCGTTGCGGATGCTGTTGCTGTTGCTGGGGCTGCTGCGGCGGCGGCGGCGGCTGCTGCTGCTGCTGCTGCTGTTGTTGTTGTTGTTGCATCTGCTGTTGTTGCTGCAACTGCTGTTGTTGCTGTTGTTGTTGCTGCTGGTTCTGCACCTGGGTGCGGCGCTGGTGAAGCTTGGCTACCAACATCCGGCCGAACTCGGCAATCTTCTTCTTTGCTTCCTCCTGCTGGGTAGAGCCAGGCACAGCTGTGTCATGCATCTTCCAGAGGTTGGCAAGGCCTTTCTCATACTTGACTTTCTCTTCCTCGCCGAGAAAAGTGATGTTTCGCATCATTTCCGGCCGATATATATGAGGTCCTTGCTGCCGGTTCGGAGCACCAGCGACTTGTGCATTCTGCACATTTGCCCGGCCCGCCAGGCCCTGACCAGGTGCTGGGTTCATATCGCTACTTCGGCCTGCAGCTCGGCAAGGGAGGTTTGAAGTTTGGGGGATCCCGCGGCTGGGCGATGAAAAAGCTCCGCGTAGAAGAGAGCGGGATATAGGGACTTGAATCGATCGATGGGTAACAGTTTCGGGGGGGAGGTTAGGTAGGTCACTGCAGGCTACCACGGGGTCGCGCGAGAGGGCGGAGGTTTGTTTGCAATTGGTTAATGGCGAATTTCCAGTACCATAGGGCAGAAACCCTGTTGAATTGAAAATGTTAACTTTTGGAGCGTGATAAAACTCTTCTCAGTAGACACGAGCGTTGATATGGATGCTCGGGCGTGGGAGCTTTGGAAACGTGACGTTGTCGTGCGTTGAATGTTGCGCGGAAGTTGACCAGCCCATTCCTTTCACCGTGTAGGGAAAGCCGTGTGGCGGACCCAGCTGCAGCTGCTTCGCTTAATTGGCTGGTCGGCCTTGCGAAGTCGGCAGAAGCAGCCATGAACCTTGAACCTTGCTCCATGTTGGGATCATATTTTGGGGACCTGCAACGCATTTATACACCAATATAAACATCCCTTTTGACGACTAAAAGTATATAGATAACCTAACTACCTGTGGTTTTATTGCGGCGGCGGAGCGAGGCTAGAGTTACGACCCCCCATGCACCAAGGGGAAGGGGTTGTAAACGAAACCACATTCCAACAGTTACCTACCTAACCTAATGCAGGCGTTTTGGCACATCAAGAATCCCCATCAGCGACCCGCAAGATGTGCTCAGGGTGACAGGTACAGGCGCACATGGGCAAATGTAGAGACCAACAAGTAATCATCACCATGTTTGATACCTATATTGACCGAACATGGAACCGCCGTCTATAAAAACAGTCTATCCCATCCTTGAGGTGCCGGAAACAGGCTGCACAAGAGATTGGGCCACCCACATCAAAATATCAACCACGCCGCCCCGAGCCTCCGAGACTCCCCAGTCCAGAGGATAGCAGACACCTTCCCATCCCAGGTTACTTCCACAACAGTCCATGGTTCCAGGTATCACCATAAGCACTACAAACGCCACAGGTCAAGTCATGAGACAAGAAATCTCGTCTCACATCCTCAGCGGCTGTGACGTCCCGCCGCGCCGCCGGTGAACCTGCAGGTTCCCTCCCCGCCTATCAGGAAACCCCTAACCTCGCGGGAACAAAACCATTCGGCAGGACAAAGCGGAAGCGGACGCTCGAGTTTGGAGAGACCGGCCCTCGACTTGGGCTCCCCTCCATTCGTTCTATCGCCAGGGTCGCGATTATAAAGCTGCATTACACAGAATTGAAACAGACGTCCGCCAAAGATGCCACCAGCACCCATCATACATGCACCAGATAGTTCGCTATGACCGTTTTCGCAATTGTGTTTTTGTTTTATCGTCACGTCATCATCATCGTCGTCATTGTCGTTAGCGTTGTTGGTATCGATATCAAAGGTAGTAGAGACGATGAAAAAGGGAAATCGTGATCATGTCGGGCCAGGCCGGCGCCGCCCCAAATAAGGTTTCGATGGTAATGCTAACGTGGAAGAAGGGTGCGCGCGGGCCGCTTGGGGCCGTCATGGAGATGGAGAATCGACCTCCATGCTAACGTATTCATAATAAGGAAGTTCCCGTGCCAGTGACTCGCCGGCCAGGATCTCATCCTCGCTCGAGCCGGGCTCGTCGAGCTCCTCGATCCTCGGCGGCGGAGGGTCCGAGAATTGCAGGCTCCGCCGATCACCGACCCTTCGGCGCAGGCGGCGTGCGCTGGAGCCGGCCTCCTCAGAGTTCAAGAAGGACCGGATATCCTCGCGATCCGTGTCGCTGCCAATGCTCTCGCTGATGGTCCGCTTGCCGATGCTGCCCGAGGTCATTCGTTTGTGGCGTGCCGCAAGGCGCCGCTTAATCAAGAATTCTTGGTATTCATGCTCCTCCAGGTCTGTTTCGTCTGAGTCGCTGCAGTTGAGGTTTCCGAGATTGAACATCATTCTTTGGTCAATCTCGGGGCGAGTCCGCGAGGTCGAGCGGCTCCGGTCCGACTCGGCGTACTCAATGGCGCACGGCCGGACCACTCCAGGCCGCTCGTCGTCGCTGTCGCCAAAGTCGCTCAGCTCCTCGACGATGAACTCGGTAAACTCGACTTGTGTTACAATGCGGCCTATCCTTGCTTCCGGCGCGGGTGGGGCCGGCGCAGGTGGCCGCTCTGACGCCGCTGAAGGCGAGTGACTGGTCGCATTCCGTGGCGCCGAAGCCTCCGAGTCCGACGAATCTGACGACGACGACGGGGCAGATGATGAGCTAGTAGAGCGGGGAGAAAGTTGTCCGGGACGAATCGCAGTGGAGTGGCCGAAGTTCAGTCCGTTGACCGCCTGTCGGGTCGACATTGGCGGCGCCATTGGACGCAGAGGAATTGGTGGCGGCCGTTCCCCGGGCCGGGGACTGCTCTTGCGGCCAAAAACGGGCGAGGCGGTCCTGGGTGTCTCCGGTGGCGACGTCGGCCCCACGTTCTGAGAGATTTTCGAATTTGTCGTCGTTGACCACATGGTCTGTGACTTTGTGCTGCAGCCCGGACGAATTCGGTTGGGCTTTGATTCCCAAAATATTGCGTCGTTCCGCTGGGGGTCCCTGCCGCGGGATCTTATCGATGGGGCCCTTGCGAGTGTGGGGTAGACGGGATAAATGGCGGGGTGGGATGGAAGAGGGAGAGAAAATAATAAGAAAGAGAAGATTGTCCAGGAAGCGGGATCAAGGCGTCAGCACCCAAAGAATAAACCTCCAGCGAGGAGAAGATATGGGGCTTCGGTTGGTTGTCATGATAGTGTCGTGCAGACTCTAGATGCAGGTTGCGTGCAGCGCAAGCTGATTCCCGATATTGCGTTGGGGGAAAATCTGAGCAGAACAAGTCGACTAACTGCACGGGTGCGGTTGTGGGGGGCGTGAGTCGTCGGGTTTGGGGGGGCGAGTGATGCTGCGCAAATTCGCTGGCCGATGCCACGGCTCAGATGGATGTGCGCCGTTGCGCGCGAGCTACTGGAAGTCCTGTTCCTGGGCAAGGAATGGCTGCCCGGGGCCTGGGTGCCGGCGGCGGCTTGTCGGGAGAGCGGGGTGGCCAACAACCTTAGCCCTCGTGACAGAAGTCGGGATAAAGTTAAGGTAGGACCAAGATGCGGTGGGCTCTTCCGGGCGCCGTTTTTTGTATTTTGGCAGCGAACTGGTCAGTTTTTCTAGAAAGATGGGTGCGTGTCGTCCGAGCTCTGAGACTGGGCTAATTTTTCAGGGCATCGGACCGAAGATCCATCTTTTATAGTTTGGCTAGCATTTCCCCATATCTTTGTGCAGGGTTTTCAAGCCCCGAACAACACAGGGACCTCGAGCGACCTCTCCGAGGTCAAATCGTGTTAGCCGGGCGTCGTTCGGAGGCATAGCGGCAGCTTGGGCAGCAATGCTCCAGCAGACCCCCCGTCCCCCCCCCTGGGTGAAGGCCGCAAGCGAGCGCGCTATGGGACTTGCAGCCTGTGAGAACGACTCAAGCAACAAGAGGTCACGACGCAGAACCGGCGGTCGGCGCAAAGTGCCCGAGGATTTATGGGTACCGGGCTCCTGTTGTGCCAGGGCAGATCGTGGTCATGGTTGAGTTGTCCATCGGCAATGCGCATCAGAGCAGAGAGGGCCCGCGCAGAATCTTTGGTGTTCCACCAAGGCCCGATGGATGTTCTTGATGAGGTGCAACGAATCAAGGGCCCAGCTGCCACCGAAAAAGTCGGGGGTCTGGCTTATTTCTGGAGTTTGTCCTGCAGTAAGTCTGCTTCAGCGGCAACCATGCCCAATGGGTGGAAGAAGAAGCGGGATGCAAGAAGCAAGAAGTTGCATGGCTCCTGACGCGGAAGGCGTTCGTTTACACAGGGCTCGATTCCGCAAACGCGCAAGTCAAGCGAGGTGAGTCGGTGTTCGAATCGTTGCCTCTCCACCAAACGAAGAGACGATCCTTCAAAAGGATGGGCTGGGCACCACGACGAATGCGCCTCGAACGCACCGCTCAAGGTGTTCGTCTTCCGATATTTCATGATGCAGTCTTGTGCGCATGTTGAGTGGCCTGAGTGGGGAGGTGTCGTGTTGTCGGGTCCTGCTGGAAAGGAGAGACACGGCCGGGGTCCCAGCCACAGCTTCCAAGGTTGGCACTTCAGTAATGAACTTTGAGGAACCACCACGGCACAAGTTCTTTTACCAGGGAAGGATGGGGACACTGAATCGGTTGGGAGGTTTACTAAAGAGTTCCATGTGAGAATATATAAATAACTACATACCAAATATTTACTTAGCTGGAGATAGTTAGGTAGGTAGTGGGTACAAAATGGAGGGAGTGTATGGGAGCTTTTGAATGGGCATCACGTGAGACCGCGGGGCTCTCCAGTAGCTTGCCAAGACCATTCGTTGATCTGGACATGCGCTCCCCATACGAAAAGAACCAAGGTCATCTCACAAACCAAGGCTGGTATCGACAACCCCTCCGGAGTGTTTGGAGTCGCCATCATGCCATTTTTATCCGCATATCTTAAGCAAATCTCCATATCCTGTCAAGGCATTGACAGTCTCCCGTAAGGTCTCCTACCCGAGCCACCGCGCCCGACCACCCCCCCTAGCCCAACTAAACAAACACACACATATGCTAATCGCAAGACGCAAATAGCTTCCCACCACCCAAAATATTCACCAACGCACTCCTTTCCAACCCCGACATCACCTCCCTCATCCGCGATACCGAAGCCCACGAGCGCGCCCTCTTCTTCCGTCCCCGCCCCGCCCCCTCCCCCACCCGCACCAACAACCCGCCAGAACCCGACCCGCCACCACCCAAACCCTCCTCCCGCCGCCAAACCGTCTTCAACGTCGCCGCAGGCGAAGGTGACGACGGGCCCCCCACCCCAACTCCACCCGCACGGGACCGACAGCGCGCCGTAACACCGCCGTGGCGGCGGTCCTGGGCGGGGACCTGCACGCGCAGATCACCCGGCGCGGACAGGGGCAGGGGCAGGGGCAGGGGAACGGGCAGGCGGGCGACGTGGACATTGAGGTGCTTCTACACGGGGCCGAGAAGCTGTGCGCCGTGTACCCGCTGCCCGGCGCGCTGGAGCGCATCCCCGCGCAGCGCCAGAAGTATGCGCAGCAGAGCGGCACGCTGGCGTATTATGAGAATAAGGTGGCGGAGCAGCAGGGTGCGTTGGAGAGGGTGAATATGGAGAGGAGTTGGGATGAGGAGGGGGAAGGGGAGGAGGAGAAGGAGGAGGATGGAGGGGAGGGGCTGCTGGGGGACGTCGGGATGACGGAGGAAGATCTGAGGCAGGAGGAGGCGGAAGTGAGGGCGTTGGAGAAGAAGAAGAGGTTGCTGCAGGCGCGGCTGAAGGCTCTTAATAGTGATCTGGGCGGCTTGCTTGACATCTAGACGGAAGCACGTGGCGCTTTTTGGGTGAGTGCTAGCTGAGACGGGATTGGATCTGGTGTGGCCTTGGGAGACAGACGACAAGGTGAGTTTATTCTGGGTAGCAACTCATTTATACATGAGCTGTGCTAACATTTGCCGACGGTTTCCCAGCCCGCGCGAACACCTCCGTATCCTGGGCGCCCTCCACCGGGTGCCGGTCATTTATCGTGAAGCCAGGCGTGGCATAAATACCCGCCACTCTTCGACCTCGCGACCGCCCTTTCCCTGACCTGACCAGTCACTTAACCTCGGCCCTACCAACTCGGTCTTGTCGCCGACAGCGGCCTGTGCGACTTGAGATATGGTATCGGAAGTTTTTTCGAAGTGGCTTTTCAAGAAGGTCAGGACGGGCGGGTCTCTACTTCGCTAGGTTTTGGTTTAACCAGCTGAACGAGCAAGAAGTGGGCCCTTCCCGGAGTGAGTAGCAAAGGGAATGTCCACTTCAAAAGGAAGTCTGCTTCCCGGCGGGTGCAAGGTTGGCAGCTCCGGAATAGACAGTGCACCTCATACGCAAACCAAGATGTTGGACGTGGGCATGTATGATTGGGGTTGTCACGACTGCTCAGCGGGGCAGGGGTAAATACCCCTCTATTTACTATCGATGCCTTGCACCTCTTATACACCCTAAATTACACCAGAGTTAGCTTCGATAGCAACCATGAACGGGTTCGAGGAGCAAATAGCGATCAATTGCAAAGCAAGTTTAACACAATGTTGCTTTCGGAGTGCGCAATGGATTCATTGGAATGGTCTTGGAAGCCGGGATTTTGACAAGCCCCAGCAGGGTAGGTTAGGTGGGAGTTATTTAACGTTGGGCAGCCGACTCGGGCCACGGGCGTTGATGGATGTTGATGCAGTGAGGAAGAGTTAACTACCTCGTAAGCGCCTGCCTTCACTCCTCATACGGAGCGCTTATGTAGCGTCCAATTGAATCAATGGGGACTTGAATTGGGACAGGGCGCGATCAACAACACCTCGGATCAAGTTGGATCAAGTTTCAAGTGAGGTGCGATGGTTGCTATGCAGGCGGGGACGTTGCGCCCAGGCTGAAGGATCTGGGGTTCAGGCGAGGCGGGTGGGTGTGCGTCATGGATTGAATTGGTCGCTTGTCGCACAGGGGCGGGACCTGGCTGCGCCCCTCTTCGACCTGCCAAGACCCGCCGCCAGCGCAACTCTGGAGCGAGTGCCCGGCCAACGAGCTGAAAGTAAATAAAAGTCGGTGGTTGGGACAACCACATCAGGGATGCAGCCAGTCGCACCTGCGAATCCCACGCTTGGAAAATCGGATGGCGGGCTAGATCTCTGCGCCAGTTCTGTTCCTTTGTCCAGTTTCTCTTTTTTTTTTGACAAACGGACATTTTAACCTATCCATACCACACCAGCCACCGACATTCATTGCGAAGATCAAGCTGTCGAGGAATTCCCAAGGTACGAAGCCCACCCCCCTTCTTTCTTTTCCACATGCCATGCCATGCGTCGCACGTTCCTTGCTTCCCGCTTCTGCATTCCGTCGAACCTAACGCTTGTGTCGCGCAGCTCAAAACAGCCAGCCAAAGCCTGGCGCACTAGACAAACCGGTGTGGTATTACCCATCGCCCCGTCACCCAAGCTACCTACCCAACTGTCTACTGTCTGCTTCTCGAGCGCTTGAACTATCCGCCAGTTGGCGGCACTCTCCTTAATCTTTGTTGTCTAGATCTTCTCGTTTCTCTCGAGAAGCCGACCGACCACCCGGTTCGTCCTTGTCGCAAGTTGCTACTCCTACCGAGCCGACGCGAGACCTTCGACCAAGACGGACGGGGAGGAACCGAGACACGGAAGAGGCTGCTTATCGCATTCCAGTGCAAAAGCAGCAGGAGGATTACAGTGACGTTTTGGCACGACGACCTACCATCACGGGTTTCTAAGAGCGCTGCCGCCGCCGGCGCAATCCAGCCCAACCGTCGCTCCGAAATACTCGGAGGACCGGTACGGGTTCTACGAGCGGCATCACATAGCCGGGAAGTAGACGAAGAACACAGACAAGCCCAAGATGGCGACGAGGTTCCAGTTGGGGTGGTATCGTGAGTACACATTTCCCGGCGGCCCATTCCCACGTGGCGGCGCTGCGCCCTGGAATGGCGCGCATAACTCATATTAGACACGCCTTGCTGACACATTCAATAGGATGGGTACCATTCCTCGGTTATCACCATGTGTTGATGATCTTGATTGCGGTGGCGATAATATTGTTATGTATATCTCTCACTCACTCCCCTTTGCCGTCCCCTCACTAACCGTCAATGTTCTAGCACTGCTTCTTGCTGGGTGCTCGTCCTCCTCACCCCTTATCCCGGACATCTTCCTCCTTTCGCTCTACTACCAGCGGTACACGGCAGTGCCCGACACAGCACAGGTCGACTATAACGTTAACAACGCCATCGCCAACATTGTGGGCGGCGCTCATCTCCAAGCGCGCGTGGGCTTTTTCGGTATCTGCGTGAGCTCTGACGGTGGCTCGTGGCTTTGCAGCAACAATGCGACAACACTGGCAAACGAGGTGAGGTTTGATCAGGACCCCCTCAACCTCATCTGGCTGGCTAGCCAGTTCAAAGACATGATTGTCTTTCCTTACCTACTGTGAGCCCATACCATACCATACCCCCTTGTCTTGACACTACCTAGCCTGGCCGGCGCTAACCACCAAAAAAAACACAGCATCATCGCCATCATCTTCGCCTTCATCTGCCTGCTCCTGCTCGCCACCTTCCCCGGATGGCACGAGGAGGAGGACAGCGAGGGCTCGGAGCGTGAGGTAAAGCCGTTCCCATCGCGGCCCGTCAGCCAAGTCGCGCTGGCCATCATCTTCATCGCCTCCATCTTCGTGCTGGTCTCGGTCCTCTGGCAGCACACCGCCTCGGTCGCCGCCAGCATCATCGCCCAGGACCTGGCCAACGGCAGCGTCCTCTCGGGCGTCGGCTCCTCCGCCATGGTCATGGGCTGGTTTAGTTTCACGCTGCTCATTATCGTGACCATTGGCTTGCTGGTCATGATTTTGAGTATGCAGGTGCTGGAGCATATTATGGATTGATGATGCTTTTCTCGCGCGCCATCTCTTTGGGGAAGGGGTGTATATGTTTGAGGATGGATGACGGACGATGGAGATTGTGTTGTTTCGATTACGCCTACGCCATGCGACATATGCGCGGCATGCATGCATGACTGGATGAGGACGATGGAGGGTTAACGGTATATACGACGTCGGGATGGGACGGGGTGGCAGCGCGGGACTGGGCCGGTCGCTATTGACTTTGGCGGAGGGGGGGCCGGGGGGACCGGATATGTCACGACCGGTGGATGATGATGGATGCCGGTGATGGTGGGCACGGCGGTATGACCATGGGGGTGGTGGGGTGAATATGTGCTGTCATCTTTTCTGGGTTGCGGTCAAACTCACGGCGACGGTTGCAGCCACGGGCGCGTCACGATTTGGGTGGGCAGATTTGCTATTATGGGACATGTCGTTTTTTTGTGTTGTTTTTATTTTGTTTCCTTTTTATATCTCCCTCCCGCTGTGTGTGCATATAATGGGGGGATGGCAAGCAGGTATCGGATGGGTGTATCCCGCTCTGTGGACGTGTGGATGGTTTCTCGACATGCCACACGGGCCTTGTATGGAAGACCTTGTCGTTGTGGTGTCGGTATATAGCGAGAAGCAAGCATAAATGGACTTGGAGTTGTGGTTTGGAAATGTATGAAAGTAAATCGAATCCCACATGTCTTTTAACACTGAAACCAGATGAATAAAAAGCCTTGAGACTTTGAATCCGAAATGACCAAATTGGAAATCAACAAAACAAGGAGTTTTGTCCAAGACAAGTCTCGCACAATGTACGCACAGGTCGAATATCCTAGTTTAAAACCGGGTGGTCGGCCGGCCAAATAACAGTGCTTAGACTAGGTAGCAACAAATGCCGGCAGTCAATGTCTAACTGACGAGATCAAGAATCGCCCGGCCTCCATCATATATACTCATATATCTATGTATAGATAGATAGCCCCGCACCCGGCCGCCTGGTGCCTCCCTACTCCCCACCAAAACAAACCAACTCCAACAACGCCGTCATTCGCCACGCCAAAGCTATGTATAATACCGCGAATATATTCCCCCAGCCGAAGGTTGTGAAAGCAGGAAAACACCCATGCTATCCATTCCCGAAATTAAGATAGCGAATAAATTAAACCCTTCCCCAGAAGTCCCACCCATATGCCCCCCCCCCCCCCCCCATTGATATCCAAGAAGAGACCAAGCAGAAAACCAAAGAGCATCCAACCCCTCAGCCAACACATAATCAGCATCGTCATCACGTCGGCCGGCGGAAGGGATGCGCCTCGGTATTGAGCACCCACTCGTCCAGGGACAGGACGTCGGGAGTTTCAAATAACAGGTAAAAATACTTGAGGGTCTCGGCGAGCCAGAAGCTCTCCATGCTGTCCTCCATGTCGCCGGCGTTGCCGGGGTCCTTGGTGGTCACGTCGCGGATGGCGCTGTGGCCGACGTCGGTGCGCGTGGCGCGCACGACGGCCTCGAACATGCGCCAGCCCTTCTCCTGCCACGACGGGTCACCCGTGATGCGGTACATGTACCAGACGGATTCGATGGCTTCGGGCCTGGTTGCAGTCACGCGCGGTTAGCTCTTACGCATCGTTGGGTGCGGGGAGATGTGGTGTGTGGATCGGCCTACCTGAGAATGTACCGCTTGTCTCTGAGGTTGACGAAGCCCGACGGGATGCCCTCGTTCTTGATGCGCTCCTCGACGTATTCCTGGTGCGTGGCGGGCTTGGTTGGGGCGGGCGGTAGGACAAGCTCGCCTATGGGCTTCTGGTCTGAAGCATCTTCGCCGTTGGAGTTAAGGCCGAGGCTGCTCTGGAGCTTCTTCGTCTTCTCTTCAGCGGTGGTGGCAGAGGAAGGGGTTTCACGGCCCTCCACGACATCCCGCTTCTGGCTGCCCGATGCTGGCATTGCGTCTTTCTCCTCCATTTTGGACAAGGAGTCGTCGGATTGCTCCGGGAGCTTTGTCCGGGCCGCTTCCGCGGCAACCTTCATCTGGGCATCGGCCTGACGCTTCCGTTCCTCGGCCTGCTTCCGTAGCGCGTGCTCCTTCTTGAGCTCCTCCACCTGCGCCTTCCACTCGGCCATTTTATCATAGTAATCGGCCAATTCCGTTTCGCGTCGCCCGGCACTGAGATCGAGAGCCGCATACCACTCTGCCTGGTCATAGTGGCAGTCCTCTCGATCTTTGCAAGGAAAGAGAGTGGCGTATTCAGGCATGACACCAGCGGGCATCGACTCGTATGCCCATACGCAGCCGTCGGCGAGCTTCTTCCCAATCTCGACGTCCTCGGGGCGGTCGAAGATTTTGCCGCCGAGGCCAAACATACCGCCCAGAAAGCAGGTCAGATGCGTGACCTCCCACTCGTAGGTCATCTTCTTGGTGGTGCCGTCGGTGCTGTACGCCTTGGCCGAGAAGAGAATGTCCGGGTCGCCTTCGGCCATGGGGCGGAAGAGGAGGTGCTTTTTCACGCCATCGACCGTCTTCTCGTGCATGGTGCGGTACTTGGTCTCGAGTCCGCCCAGCATGAGGTACTGTTTGGGGAAGTACTCATACGTTGAGTCCTGGCTGCCCCCCATGCTGTACGCACCTCCCCGGCCCGTGCCTACCAGACCCTGTGAGACACACTCCCAATTCGCGGGCAACTCGTTTCCATCGCCCGGGGCCAAGGCGCTACTGGGGGAAGCGTTTCGCTTCTGCGGTCCCCGGTGGAACCCTGTGTTGACCTCTGCGTCTGCGTCTGCGGGGCTGTCGGCGCTCCGGACTTCGTATCCGGCAGGGGCGCGGCGCAAATCATCGTTGGCCTGCCCCTGCAAGGCCGGAGACGGCAAGGTGGCACTCCGGTTGCAGCCAGAAGCATCCAGTTGCTCGGGAAAAACGCCGGGGATGGCGGTGCCGTGCTCGCGGTTCTGGAGGTCCTCGAAAGCGTCGGTGACGCGGGCAATTGCGTCATAATACTTGTTTTTGCCCGTGAGCTGGGCTAAGCGGGTGAACTCCAAGCTCATAGAACCGAGCTCGGCCACACCGGAGCTGGTGGATGCCCGTTTCGGGTTCTCGTTGTACGAGGGCTTCCACTGGTAGTAAAGAATGGGCAGGCGATTCGGCGTGTCGAAGACGCTCATGAGAATCTCGGCAAGCTCAACAGCTTTGTCTAGCAGGATGCTGTACTTGGCGTCTTTGCCCGTTAAGTCGTAGGCCCCAATCATACCCCCCAGATAGCGGATGATGGTTTCGAAGACGGGGATATCAGAACGGTAGGGCGTCGTGGTGAAGTCAATGTCCGCGACAGCCTTCACGGCATCGTCAAACTCGTCCTTCATGCCCATAATCCAGAGAGTATCGAGAGAGTCAACGAGAGTTGCCGCCCAGCCGCAGAAGGGGTCCTTTGACTTTTTGCTAACGGGCATGAGCTCGTCGTGGGTCCAGGCATATTTCTTGTAACCAGACCAGGCATGCTCGGCCTCTGCCTTGATCTTGGCCAGGCGAGCATGGCGCTTCTCCTTGGCGGCGGGGGATTCTTCGGCGAAAGCGAACTGCACCGACGGGATAGACTTGGGCTTGCCGGTGGGGAGGGGGATGATCGATTCCTTGGGCACCGGGAACCACTCCCTAGGCTTCTGCCAGTGGACGACTGTGGAGGTGGGCTCGGCCTCCTGTATTTCAGCATCTTCGTTTTGCTTCTGGTACTGGTCGTGGTTAGAGGGGGGCTCCCTATCCGGCACTGTCGCCGGCTTGGTGGGTAGACCGTAAGCCCCTTTCTCCCCGTCCTCTGTCTTGAGTGGAGGAATCTTGATGGTGGGATCCGGGCCCGGAATGTGGGGTGGGACCGGGGGAGGGTTATAATGCGGCCTCTGCGCCCCTTCGGGATCGTTGTCATAGTCGTGGTCACGGTCGTGGGTGTGATCGTGGTCGTCAGCGTGCTCGTGCTCGTGCTCGTGCTCGTGGCCACCAGCTGGTTCTGGTTTCGGTACGGGTTGGGGATCGGGCCTTGTCTGTGTATTGGTACCCGTCTTGCCGTGCCATATCTCCCTCGAATGGTCCCATTGTGAGTTTTTGGAGACGTGATAGAGCAGCACGGTAATAACAAAGGCGCAGACTAGCAACACCCGGTATCGTCTGAGACGGAGCATGTTGACGACGGTTGGTTGGGTCGCGGGGAGCCAATGCCCGGGGGGAGCTCTCGAGTGCGTTGGAGGGTGGGTTCGAGGTATCGAGGGGTATCGTGCTCAACCTTGGATCGTAGCTACCTCTTGACTGGCATGGCTGGGGGTGCTGCCGATCTGCCTGTCTTGCTTGCAGGAAAACAAGACGCTCGAAATCACCACGACAGGCCTCAAAAAGTTTAGCACAAAATCATGGACTAAAAAGCTTGATAAAAAGGGAAAGCAAAAAGGAAAAAAAGAGAAAAAAAAGACCAATATTCAAAGCAAGCAAGCTACGCTCAACAAGGGAGGACAACTGGAAACAATGGCAGGTCGCAAAAATAGCCAAGCCGGGGGTAAAACGACCGGCGGCGGAAAGAAGACATGGAGGTGCATGGCTAGATGGATCCGCGCCAAGACGATATGTGCCGTCTGTCCCACAATCCACAATCCACCCGGGCACTTCATGTTGGTTTTGGAGTGTGTGGCCAGCCAGGGTGGGAATGAAATCTTGGCATAACCAGTTGCCCATGTTGGGCGACTTGTCCACCTGCTGCTGGAAGGCACCTTGTCTCTCAACAGGTAAAGTAACAGTTGCAATTGTATGAGGCACGATAACGGCGGGCTCGAAAGCTGCGTATCAAAAACCGGAAGCTTCCAGGTTGGAAGAGATGCAATTGCCGGCTGTCTCTCCCTATTTCTCTAGTGAGTAACTACACCAGTTGAGGTTAACCTCATAAACACTTTTCATAATTTAGCTCTTCGATATTAACCCCATACTACTTTCCAGAGTAGGCACGTGGGGAGATTGACGGATAGCCCAACAGGGACAAAACATCGCGGGCTGGAAGCTGTCCCCCGGATCGAGACCCCGCAGGTTGTTGCGGGGTAGAGTTGGTGAGTGAGCGAAGGCCCTTTTCGCCCTCAGTGGTCCATGGATATACCGTGCCGAGAGGGGAAGGGGTCCATCCGGTCCAACAACCCATGACTCGACAGTAAAGTAGTAACTAATCAGTTTATAAACTGCGCAAATCGTGACCACCATAGGCCCTTTATCAAGAAACCGACAACAGCAACCCGTTTTGCACAACCTTTTGTACACCAAGTCCGAGAGAGCTGTGTCGCATGCTGCAGCTACAGATTAGCTGCAAGGCCTCGAACATGAGGGAGCAATTCGAGGTCCAAGTGGAACCGATGATCTGAAGCCCAGCCGCCGCCCAAAAGCAGGGACTTGTGGATCGGGCGGGCGCCCCCTTGTGCCTTGTGCATGTGCCGAGATCCGGACACTTGGGCCGAATCCACAGCGGCGCAGCGACGTGATGCACACCAAGATTAACTACTCACATAAAGTAGTAGATGCAACGACCACTCAACACAAACGCTGAGAGGACAGATCAGCAGACTAACCTCCGTCCCTGCCGAGGAAATATTTTCGACAAGCCATCCGTTTCTACTATGTATGTGATGACGACATATACCTCATCTCAGTTGAAGACGTTAATTATCCAAAATCCTGCTCCACCGCTTGCTATGATCTACAGACATGCACCACGAAAACCCGACCAGGTAATTCAACGTAGCCAGAGCCAATGCCGGCACTGGCATCAGCTTACATCCTTCATCCTCCACTCCGTACCCCCACCTCTTACAAACTCATAGTATCACCACCCACCCTCCACTATTTGAACGTCGGCCTGATCTTAGCATACAACTCCGTATCCAAAAAGCTGTAGTTTGGATCGAGCTCGCAGAACGGGTGCTGCGAGAGAAGCACGTCGGCCGTCGGGCGGTCCGTCGGGTCCCTATGTGAGAGGTCAGCTCATGTTCCACCTCCTCTTTCCCAGCTCTAGTGGGGAAAAAAAAAAGGCAAGGGAAACCTACACAGTAAAACAGTCCAGCATGAAAGCAATCGTGATGGAACTGATTCCAACTAAAAAAAAATACAGAATCTACGGCGAATTCACGTTGGCAATTTTAGTAGATGACTCTAACCGCCTCATCCTTACTACACGGCCGGCGACCAACAAAACATCTCGAGCAACACGCATCCAGTCAACCAGATGACCACCTTGACGCAGTACCTATCGCCCTGCGCCCGCACCACCTCGGGGGCCATCCAGAACACGGACCCTTGCATCGAGTTGGTCTTGTCGTTGCCATAGATGTTATCCGTCTTCTTGCTGATGCCAAAATCGCTGATCTTGCACGTGCCATCCAGATCTAGGAGGATATTGTCCGCCTTCAAGTCGCGGTGCAGGATCCCCTCCCTGTGTAGGTACGCTAACCCAGACAGCGTCTGCCGTGTGAGCGAGGCAACCACGGCTTCCTCGAACTTGCCATGTTTGCGTAGGCACGACCCGATGGAACCACCAGAAATGTACTCAAGGAAGATGGAGATGCTCCGCTCCATTGCGTTCGCAGCCGAGGTACTGCACGATGTTGACGTGATCGAGGTGCTGCATGGTATCGATCTCGCGGTCCAGATGCCGCCACCAGCTCCTGCATCTTTTTCTGATCACCCTGCCCAGCCGCTTTGGGGTTGACTTCGACCTCCTTCACCGCCAAAAACTCGCCTGTCGTCGCGTTCATACCGAGGTAGACCCGCCCAAAGGTGCCCTTGCCGATCAGCTGACCCTTGAACCAACGGAACGTCGTCTGCCGCTTAGGGATGTTGTCGTGGTTGTTTTGTGCCTGCGTCGGCAGGCTGTCCTGCGGAATCGTGGTAAGGCCCGCGGCTAGGTTGAGCGACCCGCGCTCCGGCCGGATCTGTACGATGTTGGCGTTGAACATCTTGGTGCTCTTACGCCGCATCAGGTTGGTGTTCTTGTCGACGAGTGCACCCGCCTGCGAGCGTAGGGGCCCCGACGTCTGCGTGTAGCGCTTGTTTGCTTCGTGCGCGCCGCGAGCGACTTCTCTAATCGACTTCATACGGCCTAGGCCCCCTGAACGGCGCACGCTACGCCGTGCCAGCGTCTGCATAGACACGGGGCGCGAATCTAACGCCTTGAGCGTTGACTCGTCAGAGCCCAGGGTATCGCTCTCGTTGTAGATGGATGAAACCCTGTTGTGCCCGGACGAGAAGCCGGAGGGCATCGGGGGCAGCGGGGGTATGGAAGAGGCCTTGACTGAACCCTGCTCTGACTGACCCTCGTCGGCCTCGTCAATGGGCGAAGGCCCGTCTCCTTCCTCGAGGACCGGCTGGTCAACATCCACGTTCGGGAAGAAGTCCTCGAGGTTGTTGATAAGGGCGTCGGTCGGCGGGCGGTTGGCCCAAACGTCCTTCTCAATGAACGACTTGCGTCTGCCCAGTTTGGTCTCGCGGTCTTCCGAGTCCCAACCCTCGGAACCTGGCGTGCCAGGTGTGCGCCGCTGCGAGGACTGACCGCTTGTTCCGTCGTCGTCGCCATCGCCTGGCATCTTGCCGTCACCGCCCGACTGTGGTGATTTGAAAGCAACCGACAGGGTCTTCCTCGAGCGCTTGGTGTTGACCCGCAGACTCGGCCGTTTCATGTTGTTGTCGGACTCGCCGCCTTCTGTGGATGCTGACGCCTTCTTAGGCGCCGGGTTATTGCGGGCCGAGATAGGAACAGCAAATAGGCCGTCGTCCGAGTCATCGCCCGAATCGTCATCGTCGGCGTTGTTATTGCCATTGTTGCCGTTGTTGCCGCTGCTGTTGTTTCTCTCGTGGATGGTCGAGGCCTGTGAGAACCTGACGTCGTTACCCTGGAAGTCGGTATCAGGGCCGTGCGACTTGCGCTTGTTGCTGGTGGCAGTCGAGAAGGTTTGGCTCGGCCGGCGGGAGCTGGGACTGACATCTCCCGGCGACGGAGCACGTGCTACTCGAGTAATCTTAGTGTCTATTCCAAGATGGGATTGATCAAGGTTCGGGTCCGCTCCGGCGGGCCCCCGGTGTTTAGGGTCATGGGTCGGCGAGTAGTCCGGGACCAGGAATGGCACACTCTTAGAGCTCCAGGTGGTAGAACCCGGTGACCCTGGGACGGGTCCGATCCTCGGACTGCCCCCACCAGAACCGGAGCGTGTGCGCTGACCAAAGTCAACAGTTGACATGGCTCCCTTACCTCGTTCATTGGTTTCGCTGTTCGTCACCGGCATCGACGACACCCGGTTTGGCGACAATCCCCTGTGACCACCCGCGACAGGCTGTCCGATACCAGCCATCCGCCCGGCCATGCCCACTAGCAGGCCGTGAATGCCACCGTCGGGGGTCGGCATGCCTGGCCGCTTCTTTTGTTTGTCCGAAAAGGCTTCCTCGCGTAAGTCAGACGACGTGCGCTTGGGGCGGTTGCCATCCACACTCCCTTGCGACAACCGGGTGCTATGCTTCTTGCTTAGCGAGTTCGCTTTTAGTAGCGTAGCTGATGGGTCCTCAGGAGGGGCTGGGGCTTTTCGTTGCGGGAGCAGGGTGTCAAGATGCTGTTTTCTGTCCTCGTACGGCGACAACCTTGGTTGGTCAAAGTCCACGTTCCTACCCACAATGCCCAACGGAGAATCGGTAGACGGGCTGCCCTCCTTCGCATCTATCAATTGCTTACGCTTCGCGAGGTATTCTTCCTGCTTCCGCATTTGCTCCGTCCTGTATTGGATGGCTTCTGCTGTCAACATCTTCTCATCCCGTTCTCTGCCCGGTAGTGTGTTCTGTCTCGAGGTAGGCGGCGAGGAACTTGACCGCTGCCGCCCGTTGAGTTTGGCATATGCCTCTTCGTCCAGGGGCACAGCCAGATGCCCGGATTGAGCGTTCCGCAGCATGGCCGGCCGGACAAAAAACTTGAGCGAACCAACCGCGTCTCCCATGTGGTTTTTGGTGGTTAGTAGTTTCGTATCATCGAGCGGTTCCTCTTCGTGCTCAAACTTGCCCAACTCTGTCAGGTAGATCTGGGCGCCCTCGCTGTCTGGCAGGCCTAGGTTGATGCAAACCAATTGCCGCAGATCCGAAGCTGACTGGACATCAGTAACGTCCAGCATGCGATAGTTCCAGCAATCGGCGGTTGCAAGAATGAAAATGCGGCCGCCCCCGAAACGTTTGGAGGCCGGTCGTTCAAGTGAGGTCTCACTTCCGTTTCCATGCCGGAATCCAGACAGGTGCATTTTGACATGGAGCCCCGGGCTGGTGGGCGAGTCATGGTCGTCGGGTTTCTTCTTGCCCCTGAATAACGAGAGAAAGGAGGTGCTCCCTTTTGCGCTCCCGGGGGGATCTGACCCAGCGCTTTTATCCCCCGATTCCTGCGGCGAGGACCGGCTGCCTTCCTGACCAAACCGCCGACCATGCGCCTCGGTACCACGGGTCGCATTCACCACCTCACCAATGTTCATGCCGCTCTTCAACATGGCTGCTGCATCGGGAGGCACTCCGGAGCCGTATATCGCTGCGTTGGAGGATACCGAATCGGTGCTGTTGCGCGAACGATGGCCGAACACGGTAGTGTGAGGCGACGCCGACACATTGCCTGCCGTTGAAGATGGGGGAAGGAGGCCTGACTGCGGGACTGGACTGCCATGCGGGCTGTCCCTCCCCAGTGGCGTGGACCCACGGACCGAGCCTGCCTCGCCGGACTCGCTGAGGTTCGGGCTGTCTCGGCGGGCAATGTCGGTATCGATATTCTTCATTAGGCTCCTATGGTTCGATTCAGAGCTCCTACTGCTGAAGCCAGGACCGGGGGCTTTGATCGGGGTGTTCGGTGACTCGGAAGAATCGGCGGCGGCGTTGGGCGTGGTGATAGTACTTGTAGACTCTTTACGGGAATGGCCGGTGGATGTTTTGGGGGTGTCGGCTGGCCGCCCGGTAACGACGCTCCGGATAAGCCGTCGCATTCTCTTTCCTTCCTCTCTTTCCCTCGGTTGTTCCCATACGCCCCCGTTCTTTCGGCACACCCCCGCGAGCAGCGGGTACACCTGTTGGTGCATCATGCCGAAATTCCCACGACCGCCATGGCTACTTCCGAGTTCGAGAAACTGGACGCCGTGAATGTTGAGAAGCTGAAAGGTTTCCTGCCAGTCTTTGGAAAAGTTGTTGGCCCTCAGCCATGCCAGAACCCTATCCAGGGGCCACTGGGCTGCAAGCTCGAGAGGGACTGACGATATTACGGTGCTGGCGTTGGAAACGTTAGATAGCACCCTGGTGCCTATAGCAGCAGCGTAGAGTCGCTCCCGGCCCGAAGACTCGTCCAAGGGCGTGGCAGCGGCTGAGTTCAAGCCAGCCGGTGCCCAGTGGATGCCATCCTCTGCGAAGCCCAAACCCGGAATTCCAACGCCCTCTCCGTAAGTGTCTCCTTGCGGGATGTATGTCGCGCTCATCTGCTCGCTTGGCGGCGGCGGTGGCGGCACCATGAGGGTCGTCTGGTTGAACGCTGCGGCGGCATTGGCGGCAGCGGCAGCCTGTTCATGTAGTTGTGGATCGTAGGCTCGCAGGAGGTTGCCGCCAGGGCCGCCCGGCGGGGGCGGTGGGATATTATTGAATGTTGCCCGCCCGTCGTAGGCGCGGCCCCAGGCCCCGTGCCATGGTGCGTTTCCCAAGGCGCTAGGGGGCGGCATAGCACTCGGAGGGAATCCAGGATTTGGCGGTGGCCCCGGAGGCGGAGGAAGCATAACATTGCCGCCGGCTGCGGGGGCTCTCGGGTACCGGGGCGGTGGAGGGGGGATGGCCATCATGTTGCCGATCCCGACAGAGGGCGGCGGGGACATGGGTGGGGGAGGGGGAGGCACCTGAAAAGGCCGGGTCGCGTCTCGCTGGCCATTTTGGTACATGGCTAACAGCGGCGCTCACGAAGCAGCTGGTTGCGACAAGAGGAAAGCTGCCCGTGATGTCGAAGCGTTCGGGGGGGGGGGCTCGGTGATCGGTGATCGGCACGGTGTGGTGGGGGGAGGTGAGACTTTCCGCAAGCGCGGGGAAGCACGGAGGGGTTTTGACGCGGCGAATAGAGCGGACGAGGCGACGCAAAATAAATTGACATGAATTTCGTGAGGTTGTTGCCGCCGTCGACAGCGAATGCTGCTCGGGGATGGATGGGGTCGTGATTTGTTTCAACGGCCAGCGGCTGATATCGGCGGCGCTTGTAACATTAATTATTTGCGAGCCTGGCAGTGGCCGACCTCCGCCACTCTCTCGGGCGGCACAGTCCACGCCTGTGCTTTTGATAGGCGAGGCTGCCCTATCTAAATAGCCCGTTTGGATCCCCGAAATACCTTAGGTAGGTAGGTATCAGGCTTCAAGGAAAAAGGGGCGCTGGTCGTGGCGTCGAGGTTTATCGTCTGAAATTCATTCTGAGGGGAAAATGAATAGGGGCGTCGAGGAGCGTTGCTCTGCAAAGGTGAGACGACAGAACTGCGTCTGGTCCAAACTGCTCTGCTCACCCACTGGTTGCGCTCCTCTTTTGCTCTTTGTCGTCGTTTGACCGTCCGGGGTCTGGCGGCAGCGCTTCGGGCTTGCATGCAGCTGCCTGTGTTGCGCCCTGCAGCTTCTGCAATCCTGAAGGAAGTTGGCCAATCAGACACCTACATGGTCAAAGCTTTCACCCATCCAGGGTCAGAGGTGGGTACAGTGGGGTGGCCAGCCGTCCACCCATGCTCGTGCCATGCCACTTGGTGCAGCCGTCCGGTCCTCGTTTGGCTTAAACACGAGCGAACCCACTTCCACACCCAGCTTCACTGCCGATGCAGAGTGATTCGGTTTCAACCATTTTCAACCATGCTTATCAAGAAATTTTCATTTGTCACACCGGGACTTAATGAGGTAAAACTCATCTCTAGTGATTGAACACAGGAAATTATCTGCTTGAAAGTTGACCAATGTGGCGAGATGACAATAGATATGACAAAATGACGAGCGACTTCTCACTTACCACCAAACTTTTGTTCCTGCAGCTCCTCCGCCTCGGCATCATCCGTAAGGTGTGCGGCACATGCGGCGGTTCATTGCGGAAGGCCCATAGATACAAGGTCCCATCGGTCACAACTCCGATACCAGCCGCAAAAAACTTCCATGGTTAGGGATCACTGCTATTTGACGTAAAAGGGACCTACCCACGAAGCAGTTATCAATGAAACGCTAGCAGCCTTCCTCTACCGTTATTGTGTAAGAGATGGTGGGCCTGTCAAAAGGAGGAACGAGGAGCGAGAGGGGAAAGAAAATCGACGGTCACAAGGTTTGTATGTATAGTGTAGTATATCCCATGTTCTGTATTAGTATCTACCTTCGTAACACTTGTTCGTCGAGATGCTTCAGCTGTACTGGGCGTGCAAGGCGCGGCGGAATCCTTCCATCCATCGCTCACCCAAAGCCCCCCAACCCCAGATAACTACGCCCAAACTCCGAGCGACCCCTGATCGTATGCTATGTATGCGGTGGGATGAGCTCAGCAAAAATAAACAAAGGCGCCAAAAGAAAAGAAGGAAACCATCGCTATCTACAAACGCTAAACGCTCACGCAATCGTACTAGGTATGTATCCCCCCAAACGCCTCATATGACGGTGCAATTGCTCCACGCGCCCTGATTACACTGCTCATAATACCCGGAATCTTCCGCACCCTCTCCAATGTTGTGCTTCTTGACAACACCCGAGACCTTCAACGTCTGCTCACCCTTGCCGTGCCACCAGCGCAGCCGCTGGATGAGCACCGTCTCCTCCTCGTCGCTGCTGATCTCCCATTTCCCGGAGCTCACCTCGACCGAGCAGGCATCCTTGGGAAAATGGTATTCGGGAATGGAACACCACCGTTGGCGTATCTAAGCCTGCCTCCTCGGGAGCCTTCAAGGTTAGGGTGAAGAGACATTGCCGAAGATCGAACACATAATTCGTGATAACTCCAGCAGTGGCAATCGGCGCTGGTCGCACGTACGCCTCGGCTGCCCGGTATCCCGGAGACGATGTTAGTTCGGGCTGGCGCGAGGTAGCCTCGGATGATATTGAAGGGTTCGTGATGGTGCGTTTGATATTAGCTGGGGTCACACTTTCGTCGTCATCCAACTCTTTCCTCGGAGTCGGGGGCTGCAGGTTTGACGTCGAGTCCTGAACCTCTGGCGTCTTGGGACGCGCCGAGAGAGGAAGCAGCTTGTCGTCAACCGAGACAATGGAGAGATCTTCGCCGTTCCATTGATCTCCATTTTCATGGTCGTTCGAGGCCATATAAAGCCACAAAGTGTAGCCCTCAAGACCGGCAGCTTCTACTCCGAAGTGATTGGCGTCCATAGCGGCCGATTGACTCGAGTAGTCGCCCGTCTTGTATGCATACTTGTCGTCCATGTCGTAGGGGATGCCGAATTCCGTCATCACACACGGGTGGTTTCCTATGCGGTCAAGACCCTCCTGCCTCATGGCCGCGTGTTGGTCCCTGAAGCAGTTCCGGATGGCAGTCTCGCCCAGCTTGATGGCCAAGGCCGGATGCCAATACCGGCCCACGGAGCACACCTATCACATCGACATTCCAGCTGCGATTCCATTTTTTGGTCATCAGTGTGATGCCGTCGTACCAGTGCGGTGCATAGGCCAGCAGAGGATCGTCACCGTCTGGGGTGCCCTTGATGAGCGGTGGCAATTCCATTGTGGGGCCCTGCAGGAGCATGATGGCGTCCTTGTGATATGAGCGTACCATGTCGCGGTATTTCCGGAAGTGGTCCATGAGATAGTTGTTAGTGAAGTAAGGGTAGTCGATGGTGTCCCCGGTTGTCGGGTGCTTTCCGAAATAGTCCTTCTTCAAAAGCGTGTCCGTAGATGGATCCCACACGCCATGTTGGGCCCATATGCACTCGCCCAACTTCCACCCAGGGTCCCTTTTATAACCGTAGCGGGAATCATCATAGTCGCTTGGAAGCCAAGCAATCTCGCCCTGGGGATCAATCATAGTTCGCCCTACCTTATATGGGCCGAGCCCACCCATGTCCCACATCTCGACGTCGACGGCTCGCCCAGACCCCGCAAGCATGGTTTGCCAGATCGTCGGGCATGTTCCTTTCTTTAGAGCTTGTTCTTTTGGTATGACGCTGATATCCTCGTAGCCGACCATGCCCTTGTTTGGCTCGTTCATGCTCTCCCAGCCAAATACAACCTCGTTCTCAATGTCCCCGGCTTCATGGATGCGCCTCGCGAGATGGGCGCAGGCGCGGAGGAAGTGCCCCTGCAGATAATCTTGTATGTTTATTCCGTCGATGATACACTTTGGTGCAAAATCCTTGCCGGCAAAGAAGAGAGTGAACATGGTGGCAGCAGCCAGGCGGAAGTAGTTTGTTGACCAAATCATCTTTGGGAATGCGTTGGGGTCGGGGTACGTGTTGTGGACGATGGCAGCTTCGGTCACGGCGAAATTCTCAGGATTGAGTCCGGCGGCGTAGAGCGTCCACATGGGCGCGCCCGATCCTCCGGAGAACCGAGACCACTGTCATGCAAAGGCGCGTTAGTCTATTTCGACCTCGGCGGTCGACCATCACCTGGGATCACGCACCACATCCTGATGGGGATCCATAAAAATATAAGAACCCGTAAACTTTTTGCCGGCTCTCAAACAGCCTCGATCGTCTCTTTCAATCCACGAACTCCGGTCGTAGATGCCCGGGAACCGGGCGGCCTCGATGGCCTCCCAGGTGAAGACATAGCGGATAGTGTTGTAGCCACAGCGTTTCAATCGTGAAAAGTGGAGATGCGCATCGTCTTTAGGGAATGGCCGGCCGACGAAGCTGACTTTGTCGCCGTCGAAGAAATTGTTCGCCACGTGCGAAGGCTGGTTGGGTTTGCTGGGATACTTGGCCTCGCCGGCGACATTGATGCCCCGTAGAATCACCTGCCTGCCGTTGGTATCGCAGAACTTGCCATTTTCGATTGTGAGGCGGAGATTTGACATCGTCTATGTGCCGGGGATATTTCGCGGAGGTCGAAGAAGAACCGAGTGTGTGACGTCGATTCGAGGGACCGAGTTGGGCAGGGTCGGATAATAATGGCAGAAGAGGAAGCGGTCCTGGTCACTGTTCGCATTCGCTCCAGGTACCTACACAGTAAAGATTGCAAGCAGGGGTGTATCTCCAATGACGCGGGGTGACAGGGGTAGGTGGCCAACACCGCCGTTCCAGGGGGGGCTTCGCCAACCCAGGGGAACCTCAGTGGCAACCTGCTGTGTAATGACAAAACACCAACTAGGTACTTCGTACATTAAATACACCCATCCATGACATGAATGAAGACAGGTTTTCTGATTTCCTTTTTCGTTTCTCGGTTTATTCGACGTATTCAAGCCCCTGATTTGATTTCCATTACTCGATATATTTCTGCAACGTCTCGCTTCGTTATGAAAGGGCGCCGGGGGGCCCTCCCCTTCCAATTCCTGAATGCCAAGTCATTCAGGAAAGGATACTTCAATATGAGAAAGAAGGCGGAAAACTTGGGCATCGTAATGGTAACCGGAAAATGAGTATTTGCTTTCTAAAGGTCCTGTAAAAGGTTTCCGTTCTAGGATCACAGATATATACACTATGTTCGGTGAAAATAGAGACGGTGATAGTAGGTTATTTCCATGTTCAGTTCTCTTGCTCTTGCTCGTTCATGGCCGCGGTTTCAAGGGTTAGGGTTAGACCCAAGCAAGGCGGCCGCCTGACGCGACGCCAACTGCCACTTAACGCGCGACACGCTCGACACGGTCTTGGCGCGTCCTGTCAACTTCGAAATTCAAGACCAAAGTTGAAGTTGGAAATCAACGCCTGTTGAGTCGCAGGATTCCCGTCCATTCGAAACCTCGCATATAACGAATATCTTCGTTCTAACTGTCAATATCCCGTGCTATCCCTCCAGCGTCTGGGTTCAATCCTGAACCTGAACGACAACAACATGCCGGTTCCCGACCCGTCTTCTGCAGAGTTGGGCACTAGCCTCCCCTCGGCGGCACAAATGGAGGAAGATTTTGCAATGGCGGCCGAAAGTAGTTCGGAGGACGAGGAGGATATTGTCATGGCCGAGGCTGGCGAAGTACAAGGCGTTGAAGAAGACACTAAAGCGGCAACTGAACCCCCAGCGGCCCAGACCGTGGAGGATGAAAGCATAGGAGTGGAGATCAAGCAGGAGACAAAGCCGGCAATCAAGCAGGAAGGGAAGCCAGAAGTCAAGCTCGAGGATTTGTTTGAGGGGCTGGACTCGGATGATGACGAGTTTATCGCCCCCCCTCAGGGGCTGTAAGCGGTAGCCCAGCTTGCGAGAAGGACAGCTTTGCACATGCTAACCCTGAACCCAGAATCGAGACCAATGATACTTCTTCCATCGAGCTTCTCCGCATCTATTACCAGCGCTTTTTCCCCTGGCGGTACATGTTCCAATGGCTGAACCACAGCCCGATCCCCTCGAACGACTTCAAACACCGCGAATTCAGTTTGTGGCTCCACAACGACGCTGTGATGCGGTACCAGTCATACAAGACATCAGATATGTCAGTAAGCCTATCTGCGCTCTACTTCGTTCTCTACTCACATTTTCTTCAGGCTTCGCCAAGACGTATTGCGACTGATGCCGAGACGTATCGAAATCGGGCCTGTGTATACAGCGGACCCGAGAGACCGCAAGACATTCCGGAACTCGACCGCCTTTGTACCCATGGCGAAGGAATTATGTTTTGATATCGATCTAACAGATTATGACGACATCCGGACGTGCTGCGATAAGGCAAACATTTGCAACAAATGCTGGAAGTTTACGACCATGGCCATCAAGGTTCTCGACACGGCGTTACGCGATGACTTTGGCTACAACCACATCCTCTGGGTCTACTCTGGCCGTCGAGGTGTCCACGCTTGGGTCTGCGACAAGAAAGCTAGGGCCCTGAACGACCACCAAAGGAAAGCCCTTGCCTCCTACTTTGAGGTCGTGACCGGCAAGGAAGGTGGCAAGAAGGTTAACATCCGTCGGCCGTTACACCCCCACCTTTCGTAAGTCGTGATTCCTTGCCCCCTGTTCTCATTTTAAATCTGCCACAAGATTCTCACAGTCTACCCCCCGAACCTCTAGACGAAGCATCGACATTCTCAAAGACCACTTCCAAGAGGATGTCCTAGAGGTTCAAGACCCCTGGCAGACCCCCGAGAAGGCGGACGCCCTCCTCCAACAGATCCCGAACCTCCAACTCCGCGAAGCCTTGCGCAAGAAGTGGGAGTCCTCTCCCGGCCGCCCCTCCGTCTCCAAGTGGGCCGACATCGACGTGCTAGCGCAGACGGACGGCGTCGCCGGACTCGACCCCAAGGACCTCCTGGACGCCAAGCAGGACATCGTGCTCGAGCACACGTACCCGCGCCTCGATATCGCCGTGTCCCAGAAGCTGAACCATCTGCTCAAGAGCCCCTTCGTCATCCACCCGGGCACCGGCCGCGTCTGCGTGCCCATCGACAGAAACGACCTCGACGGGTTCGACCCGCTGGACGTGCCGACCCTGCAGGGGCTGGTGGGGGAGGTCGATGCCTGGACCGAGACCGAGGGGGCGGCGGCGGCTATGGCGGCCGTGGAGGTGTCAGAGGGAAGTCGTATGCGGGGCAGCCAGGACGTGAAGCGCGTGCAGGATTGGGAGAAGACAAGTCTGAAACCGTATATCGAGACTTTCAGATCGTTTGTCACGGCGCTAATGAAGGATGAGAGGGAGATTGCGGTTAAGAGGGAGCGGGAGGAAGATGATGAGGTGGAGATCAAGGTCGAGTCGTTGGACTTCTAAGTAAGGGATCTATCTTGGTGTTGTTTTGTTTCCTTATATGAGGTAGGCTCCGTAGATCGCATTCTCAAGCCTCAGGGCGAGGGCTCTTGTCCTTTTTGGCCTTCCATCTCCACATCTCACAGATTTGGGAGCTGTATTTGGGTATCTTACCCTGGCCCAAGTATTCCACCCTTAGTTCCTCAAAGGCAATGTCATCCATCCATGCGGCTGTGTTTTTATTGCGATGCTTCGCATGAGACTGTATCGTCCTTAGCCAGCGCTTCATCTTCCTTGAGCACCTCCTCTGCCCCATCATCCTCTTCTTCGGCAGGCCCGTCTTCCACCGACCCCTTTGAGTCGTTCCCCTTCAACGTCCCCCCCTTGCGCTTGGGAATCACTTCCATGAAGGCCTGTCCCCAGTCTCCGCACTCTATCCACTTAGCCATAATCTCCACCACTTGGTTGGTGGTTAGAACATAGCGACTCTGCATAGCCATGTATTCGCCAATCGGTAATTTCGCCGTTCGGACCTTGAACTCCTTGGCTCGGTTGTAGCAGAGCCCTTTTTCCCTATTTTTGTCTACTATCCCACCGATGACATAACTGGTGTTCGCCTCTAGTCTATCGAGGGTGAATGGAGACTCAGAGGTCAAGTAGACAACCGACCGGTCGATGTCGTCACCCTCTGGTTCAACCTCGACTGTGGGGTTTGCTTCCGCGTCGCCGTCATTTGGCTTGATCAGATCGAGCATTTCACCCCCATTCGGCCCCGCCATCTGCTCCCCGGCTTGCTTCGCAGCCTCTTTGAAATCGCCCTCATGGAAGCCGACATTCTTCCAGTTATGATGTGTATTCTTAAGCACCGTCTCAAACCGGTCCTTGAGCTTCCCCTTCCACGAGCTGAAATGCAGGCTTGCCTGGTACTTAGATTTGCGGTTCATGGCGTATGACCGCACAAGCTGGCTTGACAGCGACACCAGCTCCTGCTCGCGCATGTACTGCTCGAAATCGCAGTCGATGATAAACGAAACGGGCACCGGGCGATATTTCCAGGGTTCCTTTTGTTGGAGCACCGTTGCAGGATCGATACCGGCGGCTTCAGCCTCGGCAATTTTGGCTTCCTTTTCAGCGCGCTTCCGGGCCTGGCGCTCGTGCCGCTTGTCCTTGCGCTTGGACCGTCGGTCTTCTTTGTATTCCTGCCATTGCTGTTGTTTTCTCAGACGCTTGAGCTGGTTTTTGGATAACGGCTGCCCTGCATCGGTGTCTGCTTCGTCATTGTGCACCGAGCTAACCTCGTTGGTTGTCGTTTCTCGATTGTCACTCGGAGGCGAATTTTTTTTCGCAGCACGATCGAGCTCGGAATCTGCCTTCCGTTTGCCATTGGCGCTCGACGAGGCGCCAGGTTCGGTGAGTTCCGGCAGCCCCGCCATATATATATCCGTTGCCACGTGGTGTGTTTCCTCGAGATCCGCCATGTGCTGAGGGCAGAGAGTGTCGGCAGGAAGATGGTACGAAGGTCGATGGAAGCAAGCTTGGCCAAGTGGGGGCTGCATTCTGTGCAGGGACGGCAAATTCCCCACTTAGCGTGGGCGGTGAGCACCAAAGCACCAGAAACAGACCCTTGGCGCGCTCCGACGCGTCCCCTAATAAGGTAGCTTAGATTTAATTGAATCGCGTCTCCAGCAGACCGGAGCCTGTCCCCGTATCGTGAACCGCTCCGTGCAACACACCCAAAATCCCAACCAGGTCCCATCACCGCCATAACCCATCACCACATGCGATGTTAACTTGATCTACAACGTTCTGAGGCCTTGTCAAATAAAACAGCAGCCAACATGTCTTCCCGACCAGAACTCAAGGTTTGTACATTCACTTCTATTCTCTTTTCTGTGTCCTTTTTTTTTTTTCTCTTTTTTTGCGTTCCCAGACATTAGATAGTACTGACTAGAGAACCACCGGCCGAACACTAGGTCGACGACGAACATGGATTTATCCGTTTTTTCAAATCCCTCCCAACCGTAGACGACGACGTAATCCGCATCTTCGATCGAGGCGACTGGTACACTGCCCACGGCGAGAATGCAAACTTCATTGCACGAACCGTTCGTCATAACTGTTCCACTTTCCCACTATCTCCTCCTGACGCGATGAATGCTAGGTCTATAAAACCACGTCAGTCGTCAGACAGCTCGGGCGCAATGATTCCACCGGCTTGCAATCCGTCACTATGACCATGACCGTCTTCCGGCAGTTCCTGCGCGAAGCTTTGTACAAGTTGGGCAAGCGGATTGAGATCTGGGCGAGCCCGAATGGGAGGATGAATTGGAAGATCGCTAAGCAGGCCTCGCCGGGTAATCTACAAGATGTGGAGGAGGATCTTGGCAGCCTGGCCGAAGCAGCACCCGTAATTCTAGCCGTGAAGATCTCGGCCAAGGCATCCGAGGCTCGGGCTGTGGGTGTGTGCTTTGCGGATGCCAGTGTCAGGGAGCTTGGAGTTAGCGAGTTTCTCGACAACGACTCCTATTCAAACTTCGAAGCCCTTCTAATCCAGCTTGGCGTCAAGGAGTGTCTCATACACATGGAAAAGGCGGACAAGGAGAAGGACCCAGAGTTGGCGAAGGTGAAGCAGATCATTGACAACTGCGGCGTTGCCATCTCCGAAAGGCCGGTTGCCGATTTCGGAATCAAGGACATCGAACAAGACCTGGCGAGACTGCTGAAGGATGAAAGGTCTGCCACCTTGCTCCCACAGACCGATCTGAAACTTGCTATGGGCTCAGCAGCCGCCCTCATCCAATACCTCGGTGTCCTCCACGACCCTTCCAATTTCGGCCAGTACCAACTCTATCAGCACGACCTCGCCCAATTCATGAAGCTCGACGCGGCTGCGCTGAAAGCTCTCAATCTCATGCCCGGCGCAAGAGACGGCTCCAAAACGATGAGTCTGTTTGGGTTACTGAACCACTGCAAGACACCGGTCGGTAGCAGGCTGCTGGCGCAGTGGCTGAAGCAGCCTTTGATGGACAAGAACGAGATTGAGAAACGCCAGCAGCTCGTCGAGGCGTTTGCCAATGACACAGAACTTCGCCAAACTATGCAGGAGGAACACTTGAGGTCCATTCCCGACCTCTACCGACTAGCGAAGCGATTCCAGCGCAAAAAGGCAAACCTGGAAGACGTTGTCCGAGCGTATCAAGCAGTTATCCGCCTGCCCGGGTTTTTGGGCACGCTCGAAGGCGTCATGGACGAAACCTACCGCGACCCCCTGGATGAAGCCTACACCAACAAGCTCCGGGAGCTATCCGATAGCTTGGTCAAGTTGCAAGAAATGGTCGAAACAACTGTCGACCTAGACGCACTCGACAACCACGAGTTCATCATCAAGCCGGAGTTTGACGATAGCCTACGCATCATCAGGAAAAGGCTCGACAGGTTGCGTAGCGAGATGGACAGGGAATTCGCGGATGCGGCAAGCGACTTGGGTCAGGAGAGGGACAAGAAGATTTTCCTCGAGAACCACAAAGTTCACGGGTGGTGCATGCGATTAACCCGGACGGAGGCCGGTTGCATTCGACAGAAATCCCGTTACCAGGAATGCTCGACGCAAAAGAATGGAGTCTATTTCACGACTAAGACCCTGCAAGGGTACCGTCGCGAGTTTGACCAGCTGTCACAAAATTACAACAGGACCCAGAGCGGCTTGGTGAACGAGGTTGTCGGGGTGGCTTCCTCGTATAGCCCCGTGCTCGAGAAGCTCGGCGGTGTCCTCGCCCACCTCGACGTGATCGTGTCTCTTGCGCACTGCTCCGTCCACGCACCCATCTCCTATGTTCGCCCCACGATTCACCCCCGCGGAGAGGGCCAAACAGTTCTAGTGGAAGCTCGCCATCCCTGCCTGGAAATGCAGGACGACGTCCAATTCATCACCAACGACGTCGAGCTAACACGGGACAAATCCTCCTTCCTCATCATTACCGGCCCCAACATGGGCGGAAAGTCGACCTACATCCGGCAGATCGGCGTAATCGCTCTGATGGCGCAGATCGGCTGCTTCGTCCCCTGCAGTTCGGCCGAGCTGACCATCTTCGACAGCATCCTAGCACGTGTGGGCGCCAGCGACAGCCAGCTCAAGGGCGTCTCCACCTTCATGGCCGAGATGCTCGAGACAGCCAACATCCTCAAATCGGCGACGGCCGAGAGCCTCATCATCATTGACGAGCTCGGCCGCGGCACGTCGACCTACGATGGCTTCGGGCTGGCCTGGGCCATCTCAGAGCACATCGTCAAGGAGATTGGCTGCTCGGCGCTCTTCGCCACGCACTTCCACGAGCTGACCGCTCTCGCCGACCAGTACCCGCAGGTGCGCAACCTGCACGTTACGGCACACATCAGCGGGTCGTCGTCCGCGGCGACGGCCGAGAAGAAGAAGCAAAAGGCCGAGGACGAGAAGCGCGAGGTCACGCTCCTGTACAAGGTGGAGCCGGGCGTCTGCGACCAGAGTTTCGGCATCCACGTCGCCGAGCTGGTGCGCTTCCCGGACAAGGTCGTGCGCATGGCCAAGCGCAAGGCCGACGAGCTCGAGGACTTCACCTCGGCCAAGCAGGACGGCGACTCCACCCCGGCTGCTGCCGCCGCCGCTTCCCCCGAGTATAGCAAGCGGGACGTCGAGGAGGGTAGTGCCCTGCTCAAAGAGGTGCTCGTGCGCTGGAAGGACGAGGTCCGCGCGGGCACCATGTCCAAGGCGGAGATGGTGGCCCGGCTAAAGGAGATGGTGGGGAAAGACGGCAAGCTGTTGGCGAACCCCTTCTTTCAGAGCGTGAAGGCGTTGTAGATTGATTGGAGGCGGACGCAGAAGAAGGTATAGAGGATTGTACTCGCGCGTGGTGCGATGCGGTTTCCGATCCGCCACGGCAGAATGCTACTGGGAATGGATCATCACACTGGCTACGGGACACACTGGCTATACCTTTTGGGCCGCTCGGCGTTCAAGGGCGCGGCGTAGGTATAATAACGGAGCAATACTAACTAGATACAACATAATGTCGATTCTCTCTTTCAAATCTTGCATGCGTTCAGTGCTATCCAACCTTACACATGCATGCATGCTCTTGGGTGCGAAAAAGGGTGAAGAGATTCGGTAGAAAGAGGGACATCGTCTATGCGCAAATACACAATCAACACCTTAGTAGTTAGTAGTGATGGTTTATTCCAATCCTCAGGGCATGTCAAGCATAGAGTTTGTTCACCCGTTTAAGAAATCCATCAGCATACATACGGCAAGGGATGAAGAGTGATCCAGGTGGTGAGCGAGTGGCCAGCGTGAAGCTAAAGCTACCTGACCCGGAGTCCTCCAGATGCCCTCCCGACAAATTATCATCCACCACACGGGCGGCGCACTAGCATCCGGGCTCCGGTAACATAGCTACATACACTTGGTGTAACCAAGCAGTCCTCGCAGCATCAGGGCGGAGACTCAGAACTAGCTTCATACTTGAGGCGACTCCGCGGGGGCTTATTAGCCCAAGGGGCAGCTTGCTGGGCGACGGTGCCCTTCATTGACCACCACTTGGACACGAGGCGACGACGGGCAACAAACCGGCACCTTTGCCACACCATGCGGCTGTACAATCTCCGCTTCACGATATCAGGGGGAGGCCTATTAGCCCGTTGAACCCGCTAGGATCTGATGGACGAAGATGATGGTCTCTCCACCGGTTCCCTGTCCGACAATGTTAACTACAGCTCCCAAGCTATCAAAACCACACACCGCAAGCAGGGAATTAAAGATGCGACGAGAACTTACTTACCAGTGCTCAATACTCTCAAGTACACCGTCACTGCCATTAGCAGCCATCACAAAGTCCTCGGCCGATGACGGGCGCGGGGGTACAGGCGGGGGTGCCAGCGGTTGGCGGCGCGGGATGCTGACGAGGTCGGTGACCTGGTCGGCCCTGACGTAGGCAAGGTAGTAGGGTTCGCCCTTGGTGTTGAGTTCGCTAAAGACAAACTCTCCCGGGTGCACCGATACCACAGTGTCGTTGTACTTGCGCCAGACATTGCGCTCGAAATCGCGGATCCACACCCAGTAGTGGCCTGCAGAGGCAGTCGCCCCCGCGTGGCACACCACGGCATGGAGATGGTAAACCACTTCGTGAGCATCGACGAAGATTCTGTTCCGCTCCGCCATCAGATGTTCCTTTCCTTCCTTCTCCTCGGCCACGAACCTCTCCCAAAACTCAGTGACGCCGGGAGGTGGGATGTCGGTGTCGTAGCTGCTCTTCGGCGGTGGCGGTTTTACGTTCACTTGAGAAATCTGGGGTTCCTCAACCCCGTATTTCTTCATCAGCTGCTTCAGCTGTTGGTTAGTGGCAAAACCGGGAGAATGGGGATCGTTGTCCGTTGTTCCCTCTGGCGATGCCTGGGTCTGAATGGGCTCGTTGAACCCCCCTAGGAGCAAGAAACCATCAACCTCCTCTTCTGTGAGTTCGACCTCTTGCGCTCTTGAAACCGAGGGGCGGCCTGCAGGCTGCAACGCCGGCTTAGATAAATCTCGACGCTCTTTCGCCATAGAATCCTCCATCTCGTTCAATCTGGTTTCGATGTCCCACTTGCGCTTCCTCCCCCTGTGAAGGGAGGACTGGGTGTCTGAGGTATCCATAAAACGATCGAGGTATAGCGTCTCGGGGATGGTGATAGGGTTAGCATTCTTTCCAGAGCCGTCAGATCGCTGGATGCAGATGTGGAAGTGCGGCGCGGGCTGTTCAATTGTGGTGAATGAGAGGAGGTCGCCCGGGAGTGGCTCGAGATCGAACGAATTGGCCAAGGCGTCATACAGGTCCCGTGTCCCTGACTGAGCCGGGTATGCTGTCACCCAGCGGTCCGATCTGCTTGTTCGATTCCAATCCGATTCGCCAATCTTCTTGCGGTTGTCAATGAATGTCGAGAAGAAGGCCTCCTTGATAGGGTCGGGCGCGGCCTCAGAGCCACTAATGCTGGAGACCTTGAACGCTGCTCGCAGATGATCGATGGCATTCCCCATGACTTCGTCCACGTCCATCTGGTCGGTTCCGACACTGGGCTTGTCGAGCTCTCTGGCGAGCTCTTCGACTGTGACCTTGGACATCTTCGCCTTATCCCCAGGCGGACGGCTGGCAGTCCTGTCGGATGGCGCCTCCTTAGCAGGGCTATCCGCATTCGCCACTTCTTTGTCTGTGGCCCGATCGTCAAGTGTGACGACCGAGGAGACTTCTGCATCGGCGCGGTCGACTAACGTTCGTTGCGAACTAGCGGAACTTGCTAAGTCGAAAGGTTCGACTTCCAGCGTTGGTACGTCAGAAACTTCCTTGAGGGAGCTCTCAACCGCGCGCGGCGGCAGCGGTGGCGCGTCAGCATCGCTGGGGCGCAACTTCTCCGGTTTTAGTAAAGCAGCGTTGGCGAGGCGTTGGCGAGGCGGAATCGAGCTATGGCCGGTGGCATCCAAGTCACGAAAAAGGGCGCCAAGCTCGCGTGTGACTAGATGATAGAGGTGAGTATTAGAGACAAAGAATCATGATCAAAAAAGGGAAACTTACACTCATGGCCAACAAAAGCTCTCCCAGTCTCCAGCTCAGGCTGGTTTCCATCCTGGTTATTGCTGTCGGCACGCAGAATATGGCTAAGATTCGTTTCGGTAGGCTCCAGGGCAGGTAGATCGGACTTCAGGGCGAGATTTCTCACTGCGTTGACGGAGTAGAAATACTGGAGTATGCTGTTGAGGTAGCAGGTATTCCGGAGATTGACAAGACCAACGGGTAGCTCCGCGTCCACGGCCTCGCGAGAGCGCTGCTCAGAAGTCGTTGGCCCAGCGCCATTAAATCCAGGCCCAGTGGAAAGAAGTAAGGAGTGGCGACTGGACAGGATTTCAGCAACAACGCCTTCAAAAGCCGGGCGGTTGGGGTCATTATCCGGTTTACGGACTGAAATAACTTCCAGCGCGAGTAATAAGAGGTCCAGATGGTCGAGGTCAAGATCCTGGGCGAGTTAATACATTTTCTGTCCCAGAACCAAGCAACACGAAAGGCGCAGTGCGAAACATACCGAGGATACGCTCTGGGCCATGACCGCAATACTATCCATTGGCCAGTCCGGTTCCACACGCAGGAACTGGCACGCCTCGGACAAATCCATATTCTTCCTAAACACCTCGATTCGGATTTCGTCGCTTCCGCAATCGTTCCAAATCTCGAGCAAGGCGAGCCGATGGTCCGACTTTTGGGCGGGGGACTGATCCCTGAAGGTTCGGTACACGCCAACGATATATGCTGGGTCCTCTGAGCAAGTCCTCTCGAGGCCGAAATGAGCATAGGCCTTCCCGGCCGGGCCACCATCGGCGGGTACGGCGGTAGTCTCCCTCTGGCGCTTTGCAAGCAGCTCTTGATGGGTGAAAACGAACATCTGGAGTTCCTCTGATCGGCGAGCCGCAAGGGTGCCGAGTGCTTCTAGATAGGCCGGCATGTGTTCGGGGTCCGATTCCACCTGCCTTATGTACGCGAACTTAATCAACGCATTGTCAGCATCAACGGGGGCGCCCAAGGTGGCGAAGTGCTGTGCCTCGTTTTCGATCACCGGCAATGTGCTGAAACAACGATGGCTCTTGTCACACCCGAGGGCCCTCTCGAGCTGATCACGGGCCCCAGCTGTTGAGATAGGTTTGACGACGGGCTCACCATGTACAGGCGGCCTGCCGGCAAGCACGCTCTGCACTTCGCACCTCACATCGTCGTAAAATGCCCTGAGCGAACCAATGGGTGTTTTGCCTTCCGGAGGTGGCAGCCGCGGTGGCAGCCAGTATGACTCACCCGCATCGTCGGTGTGGTCCTCCTTAAAGCCTAGGTATCGAAATATGTGGTCGCAGTCTCGACCGAACTGTACTAGAAATGTCTTGTTTCGGTAGGAGATCCTCTTATGAGCTCCTGTACCGTCGTCATCCAGAATGTTCTTCAAGTACTGGTTCAGGGTGGAGAGGGGGGTTGTTAAATAGTGCGTCTCCTTTTCCGGGCTGAGGTTCGCGTAGCGTGCTGGGTCTTGCTCCCTAGCAACCCTCAGAGACTCCTTGATCCTATTCTCGTCCATGATCAACTTGAGCCAAGACGACTGTAGTCGGGGTACAGATATTTCTAGGTTAACCGCAATGCCGCAGACGGTGCAGGCATACCGAAAGCGGCCCCGAAGGTGTTCGTTGCTGGAGGGCTGAAAAACGGCGGATTCGGAGCCGGCGTACCACGTAGCATCCTCGACACGAAAATGGTGTTGCAGATGGGCCTCGCTATCCTCACCGGAGGGGGGGAAGATATGAAAGACGAAGTGGTGACGGCAGCAGCTACACATGCAGGAGAGCACAGTCCTGCCCCGGCCCTCGGGGTCATGCGCTGCGTCATAGCTTTGCGAAGGCTGGGTGATGAGATCGTGATCCGAGCCTCCGTCAGGACGAGGAGGGAAGACGCGCAACGCAGCGCACTCAGTCCGTAGTTCGCCCTCTCCGCCCTCCGGCAGATGGCCGGCAAGCCAATCCTGGACAAGTCGGGAGGCCAGTTGCCCGCCTGGTCCGGATGAGTGAGTTCCCGTATCCTGAAGAACAGCTGGATCAAGATCCTCACCTTTTCCGGCCGCTCTTGGTTGTGTAACTTGCACCACTGGCGAGGGCGAGTCAGCAAGAGTCGGTGGTTGTTCCAGAGCTAGCCCTGCAACCTGGGCCGTAACTTGATTGATGGACATGACGAATAGCAGGAAATGATGTGAGTTGATGGTTGTAGAAGCGCAGCCCGAAACGAGAAGAGAGTGACTAAGAGTGGTGGCTGGTTACTTTTCTTGACACCGCTGGGCAAGCTTGCGGTTTTCGTTCTGTGTTTCCGCCTGTCGTTCCATCCGAAGGTCAGAAAAAAAGAAGGGGAGAAACAACAACAAAAAAGAAAAATAAACAAAGAAAGAAAGGAGAAGGTTTTAAAGTGATGGAAGTGGGCGTACTAAATACCGTGGGTCGCCTTTTCTTGTACCCCTCGCCGTAGTTAGATCTCGTGGAACAAAAGCGGCAGTGAGAGAGATCCTGGGATGCGGGGTGAAGGCGACCGAGAGAGATTGCGTGTGTGTGTGTGTGTGGTTGGGACAATAACTGCGAGGTTTGAACAAACTTGGCTGCTGTATATGAGCAACAAAACAAACAACAAACCTCATACCAGGTCACGGATCTTGAATGAGGGTGTTCGTGCTAAACACGTACGCACGTACCTGGCTGGGGTATGGATGGATGGAAGGTGGAAGGAAAGGGTCCCAGTACCTATCTAAAATAGGCACCCCCCGCCTTGGTTATTGGCCAATAACCTAGAAGAATATGCAGAGACGAAACAGTCGATGATGAGGTTGAAGAGAGAAAAGTAATAGGCCAATACGATATCGTTATTTTGCTTTCTGTAGCCTGTGCGGCCTAGAAGCAGCCCGGGGGTAATCAGGTTTGTGGTTTGGGCAGTTGTAACTTCGGTAGGTAGCCCGCTGCCATCCACCGTTTGAGACGGGATCTCGCCCGCCCTGGGCTGACGAATCGCCTCGCCCCCCAACGTCCCAGGGAGGAAGCTCAAGCTTTAAATTCCCATGTTACACGGCCCGCAGCTCTGTACCTACCAGGTATGTAATGTAAGGCAGGTTTGCGAATACCTCTGGGCGTATCTGTGCAGGGAAGCATCACTTTTCTATGTTCTCGAAGTGACGAACGAAATGCTTGACTTATTTGGCGAAACCCTAGGAAGGATACAGCTCCTTCCCTTTAACCTTACATAGGTAGCAAAACACTCCTCTAGCGTTGAGATGAGGCTTTGCCTGACTTGAAACCGGGCATATGGATATTGGACATTGGTATTGTATATACCACTTAATACCTTACGAGCTTACCTTCATGTTGTGCTGCGTTCGGTATTTGCAGGTGGTGTGCGAAGGAGTTGCAGGTGGGGGTTGTTGCTTTCATGATGACCCCACTTGTGATTACCATATAGCCAATCATAGGTTGATAATTGCAGTCCTGGAGCTCAGTGGGTGGCCCCAGCTTCAGGCTCCATTTCGAACCGCCAATTACCCGTCAATCGACTTCAACTTTGGCCCTCTGCTTTCGCAGCTTAGCCCTTCCCCTCCACTGCTATCACCACCACCAGCCGGCAACATGGCGCCGACCGGGGATGATCACTACCATCCCAAGGATACCATCCACCTCAGCCTCTACCAGGGCGCGGGGTTTGGTGGCATAGGTCTTCTTTTCGCCGCCGTGAGGAACTCACTCTCAAAGACCAACGTCGGGCCTTGGACCACATTCACCAAGCACGGCGGCATTGCCGCGACCTTCGGTACGTGCCTACTTCCATGCGTGTTTTGGTTCATGTCTTGCTGACCTATCCCCCCCCACTTCCTCTTCCCAGCTGTTGCCGGCACCGCCTACGAATTCACCCGTTGTGCCTCGGCCAACTTGCGCGAAAAGGACGACTACTGGAACCACACCCTTGGTGGATTCGTTGCGGGCGCCGCCCTTGGCCTGAGAAGTAAGGATAGGCTTTGACCCTGTCCTGGAGCTCGATGAAACTAACATCCAACCCCCTCCAGCCGGGCGCATGCCCCGCATTCTCGGATATGGCGTGTTTGCCGCCGTCGTCACAGGGACATACGATTACGCAGGCGGCACGCTGAAGGGGTACTGGAACCGTCCTGAGGCGGACGAATACGAGCGGAAAGAGACGCTGCGCAAGACTAGGAGAAGGCCGATTGAGGAGACAATTGCTGAGATTGGAGAAGGCAGAGGTCAGTACTGTGTTCTGCCACCTTCCGCCCATCGACTGTCCCCGACCATGGCTAACTCGCTTTTAGGTATTAAGCCGCCGGGCTATGAGGAGCGAAGGCGAGAGAGAATTAAGGAGAGGTACGGGATTGAGATCAACCCCGTCAACGCGGACCCCGATGCTTCATAAGGTGCTGCAAGCCTGGCCTCCTGCGGGCTGTGTACATATAGCAGAAGACAGACTGGCTATTCTTGCAGAATGGGATGGCTGTATCATCAACGCCGGCTTGGGCTGCATTTTTTTGTGCTGTACCCCCTTCGTCTGCTTGCGCCAGGTACGTATTATCCTTTTCCCTGCCACACCTTCACCCCCTTTTACATGATGATTCCGCTCAAGAGGCTGTTTATGAACAGCTGTATTGATTATAACCAATCACCTACATTGTTCTATTTCTGATTTCATTCCTTATTCTCCTTCTTTCCCCCAAGTAGGCTTCTTTAGAGAGTTGCTAACATATTGCAGTATGTCCTTTAGCCTGACGACAGTATCTGTATGAAACCTGTGACCTATCATTCCTCAGCATCGTCGCCTTACCGTGAGGCTTCCGTCGAAAGGTACCTATATTACCGCTTTTTCCTCACATCCAATTCTTCCTTCCCACCTGATGATCCTCGCAAGAGGCTGTTTATGAACAGCTGTCATGATTATGACCAATCACCTACATTGTTCTATTTCTGAATTCTGGACTCTGAACTTTGTCGTCCCCTTTTAAGTGTCTTTGCATTGAGCTGACATCTATCAAGCGCGCCGCTCCAACTCGACGTAGACGGAGAACCGTCTTACCCGTGGCTTCTCGAAAAGGTATGGGCTACCCTCTTCTTCTCCCAAACACATAATTTCCACATGATGATCTCTTCACGAGGCTGTTTATGAACAGCTGTAATGATTAGAACCAATCACCTACATTGTTCTATTTCTGAGTTGCTTAAAGCCCACTCGTCACACTCGTCGTTGCTCTTCGATCAATCTTCAGAGTCGCTGACATCATCTAGCATCTAGGTTCAGTGTACACCAAACCAGTGATATTTCCATGGTCATCTTGTGAGACGATCTCACTCTTGGCTTTTTTATTTTATTTTTTGTGGCGCTCCTTATATCTCATTTCCGGCTCCCACATCCTCTGTCTCTGTTTTCCTTTTCCCTTTTTTTCCACGAGCGCTCACTTGTTCCCGTCCCAACGCCCCTTAAAAGACAGACGGGGAAGTAGATTTACATGATCCCTCCCTTGCATACTCCTTTATTTTGGGTCCAGTCCGTCGTTCGCTCTCTCCGATTTGACATGTCCATCCGTCCCACCCTTATCAAACTCGCCCCAAACAAACGTAACGGTGCTTGCCGTGCAACGAGGCCCTGGTTCCAAGAGCGAGGTTCCACCTAGGGTCTGATAGACTCCGCCCCGATCGATCCCTCTTTGCGTCATGACACCGTGCAGTAAAACGCTGGCTTATCTTTAGCACGTCATCAAGAAGTAAAGTCAGGTACCGCTTGACTCGAGTATGAGGTGGCCATGTCTGGCTTCGCGGAATAGGGGGCGACCTCGAAGTTGGTAGGATGGTTTTGGTATTGCTGAAGGGTCGTGTATCAACCCCCCTAGAATGAGTTCACATGAGGGTGGAAGTTACGTTTGAACAAGGTCTCTATTTCTTCGTCCCGCCGGCCAAATTTCTCGGCGATACTACCACTCTCCATGTAGCCAAAAGCTCTAAAAAGGGAGTGGCTCAAAATGCCTCCCGAAAGAAAATCCAAAGAATTAAACAGAAAAATACCGACCCAATAAGTTTGTGGTTATACAATGAACCCTTAACCGCCAGCCCCAAGTCCGAAGTGCACCTCCCTTCACATTCTTACCCACGTCCCGTATCGTAAGCAACCGGTCATCTCACACTACAACTTCATGCCCAGCATCTGGGCCACCTTCATGCTCTGCCTGATGCTCAGGTCAAGCATGATCTCCTCGCTGCCGCCAGGGATGGCGTAGGCGCGGACGTCGCGGTACAGGCGTTCAACCTTGCCACCTTGGCCGCCGCGCGAGTACGACAGGCCACCGAAGATCTGCGAGGCTTCGCGGGCGCAGAACTCAAAGGTCACGGTCGATTGGGCCTTGAGCGAGGCGATGGGCCCGCCGAGGCGCAGCATAGCCTCGGTATCGCCCATCTTTTGGCACTGGTAGATGATGTTCTCGAGCCAGTTGTAGCTGGCCTCGATCTGGCGGGCCATGTGGGCCAGTTTGAGGCGAATGACCGGGTGGTCGATGAGCTTCTTGCCGAAGGTCCTGCGCTTGCTGGCGTACTTGACCGACTCCTCGTAGCACACGCGCGAGAAGCGCAGGCACTGGATGATGATGCCGATGCGCTCGTGGTTGAAGTTGGTCATGATAACGCGGAAGCCTTGGTTCTCCTTGCCGATCAGGTTCTCGACGGGTACCTTGACGTCCTCGAAGGTGATGTAGGTGGTGCCGCTCGACCACACGCCCTGGCAGTCCATACGGCGCGTGGGAAACACCGCCGAAGTCGCGCTCGATGAGCAGCAGCGAGACTCCGTTCATACCGGGGCCGCCGGTGCGCACGGCTGTGGTGAAGTAGTCGCACCAGATACCGTTGGTGATCCACTTCTTCTCACCGTTGACGATATAGTGCTTGCCGTCCTCGCTCAGCTTGGCCTCGCAAGTCAGGTTAGCCACGTCGCTACCGGCATCAGGCTCCGTGATAGCTAGGCAGATACGCTTGTCGCCAGCGAGGATACCCGGTAGGATGCGATCGACAAGCGGCTTCTTGCCGAACTTGACCAGGGGCGGGCAGCCGATTCCAAAACCACCGATGACGTTCCATACAAAACCTCCTGAGCCGGTGCGGCTGAGCTCGTCAGTGAGCAGCATCTCATGGAAGAGATCCCACTTGTCGGCGGGTACCGACTTGATGGAGTTTTGAACGTAATCCTTCTGGTAGTGGGTGCCGAGCAACCCGGCTAGGTAGCCTCGGCGGCCCATCTCCTTGTACACCTCGGCTGGCACCTGCTTCTTCTCATCCCACTCGGTGACATTCGGCTCAATTTCCGTGTCAATCCACTCCCGAATCTCGGCCCGGAGCGCGGCGTGTGTCTCGTTGAAGTAGGGTGAATGGTGCTGTGCGCGCAAAACCAGTCAGAATGCCCCTAACCCCTCTCTATATTCGAAGTCGAAGTGGTACTTACACCCTGATACCAGCCGGGATCGGAAAAGGGGATTTGCTCGCCGAAAGGCTCAAGAGCCTCGGCCTCTTCTTCGGGGGCAGCAGTAGCAGCAGCAGCAGCCTTGGGTGCCTCCTTCTTGGGGGCGGGGGCGGGTGCGGGAGGAGCGGCGGGTTTCGGCTTGGTGTCTAGGGAGCCGATTTGCAATTGCTTTTGGTACTTCTTGAGGATGCCCTCGTTATGGTACTTCCAGAACTGCTTAGACGCATCCTTGCCGGCGACCCTTTGTAGGATCTTCTTGCCGCCTGCGTCCCATATTTCTGTTAGTAAACCGAGCGGCTAGGCTCATGGAAGATAAACGAGGTAGTGCGCTGAACAGCTACATAACACATACCCGGATGGTCATCTTGGAACTTGGTGAGATCATAGACATCGCCGTCGACAACGATCCACAAGGAATCCGACTTGTTGTTCGACGCAACGTCGCTCTGGGTGAACGTTTTTGACATGGTGTAAATGTCACACACTGTGTTGGTCGTTCGCAGGCTTCAGACGGGAAGATTGAAGTTCGGGAGAATGAGCCCGGAAGGTAAAATATGGAGGGAGTGAAAAAGAGTTTGGGGTTGTTGGGAATAAATTGGAACGGAAAGAAGGGCGCCTTCAATAATAAAGATTCGGGTCCGTCTCGGAAGGGGAAGGCTGAGGTGGGTGAGCATGCGACAACGGGATCCTTCGCAATCACATGCGAATCGGCGTCATTGTTCATTGTTCTAAATCGCCAAATCTGGGACACCCACGCTCTGCCACGGCACCACACACATGCATGCGCCTCTGTTCCGGCACCCCCACAACAATTCCGTGGTAATATCTGGCCGCACATGGCAGTCAACTCCGTTCTTGGTCCGCCAAAGTATGGGGAAGATTGCGGAGAGCCAGGCAAATCGAGCGGCGAAACCTAGGCACCCCAACTCCAAGCCTGGAACGCCGAACTGCCGGGGGGCTTTCACAGTCTGACAGGTATTATCGATTGCTATACATTTGTATTTCGCACTATCTCGAGGCTACTGATCTTAATTATTTTAAACTGCCTTGGCAACGATGTTGTTAAAAGGTACAAATACATTTGGCGCATGTGAAAGACAGTGCGCAGGGGAAGTGTTGCGAGCCACTGCTGCTTTCGATGGTCCTCGGCTGATGTCATGGCATATCTGGCCAATGACGGCGGGCCGGATTCCCACCATCGATGAGCCGAGGCAAATTCTGTGAGACCCTGTCACATTGTTCGGCCACAAAAGGTGGACACGCGCTCGACTCATGCATGGAGTGGGCCAAGACTCGAGAAGCTTCACAAGCTTTGCAGCCAGGGCGATTGTTGTCTTTAAAAGTCATGATTGGGCTGCAAAATCAAGGGGGTCAACCCGAACCCTTAGACATATTTCCCCTTAGCCAGCCCATAGTCATTTTATGGTCTTGACCCCAACACCGCTAACGCCGTGCCCTGAGACTGAAGAAAGATGTACAAGTACCTGCAAAGCAAATCATCCAAGAGGATGCACCTCTTTCTCCCAAAAACGCCGTTCAACGGAACGGAGCTCAGCGTCGTCATTCTCAAGCAGCCCCGCGAGGCTTCGCCTTGGCCTTAGCCTTCTCCTTCTTTTCCTCCTTGATCTTCTTCTTCTTGGCCTCGTTCTGCTCCTCAAGCTTGCGCTTGTGTGCCGCGCGCTCGGCCTCCGTTTTGGGAACGACTTTGAAGAATCCCTCGATGCGGGACTGCTGTGAGCTCTTGAGGTTCTTTTCGAGGCGAGCACCTCCCGACCGTACGCGGTCCTCCGAGAACCCCTTCTCCTGGACCAGGAACTTCACCAGTCCCTCCATGTCCGGCTTGTCCCACTTGAAATCGCACAGCGGGTCGTCGGCCTGTCGCACGTCGGGTGAGAAGAAGAGGTCGCGCGCGTCCTCGAACGGCCAGTCATCCGGTACCGTGTAGCGGGATTTGGGGTCGTTCTTCATGAACTCAACAACCTTCTCAAGGCTGCCGTGCTCGCGGATCAGTTTCAGCGCCGTGGACGGGCCAACTTTGGGGATCGGATCGAGGTAGTCGCAGCCCAGAAGGATGCAGAGGTCGACAAACTAGAAAGGGGGTTGGTTTGATAAGTACCTATACTGGAGTGGTCGGGCGTGGAAGAAAATAAGGGGAGCCTACCTGTTTCCTCTCCATGTTTAAGCCCTCCAGAACCTTTTCAACATGGATCTCCTGGATGGGCTCTTTTCGCTGCTCGCTAAAAGTGAGATGGCGCAGTAAGATTGGGGTGTTGAAGCAGAGGGTGTCCATATCCTCGCTAGCGGCGGCGTAGACCTTGCCAGCGCGCGCGAGTACCGCACACTGCGCTTCGGCCTCGGTCGGCGCGAGGATATAGGGGATGCCCATCAGTTTGAGCAGCCGTTGGCACTCTTCATTGTGCTCCCTTGTGACGCGCACTGTCCTGCGTGAGAACTTCTCCACGTCCTCAGCTGTTCCCGTCTCTTTAGCCTCCTCGAGCCCCTCGTTCGCCTCCTGTTTCCGCTGGAACCGCTTCGCCAATTCGCCAGATTTGAGTTTTGGTGGGGCGCCGTCGAAGACGTAGAGCGGCTTGATTCCGTTGTCGACCATGCGAAGCGTACGATAGAACATACCCATCAAATGGGATGTTGTCTCGCCGCTCTCGTTCATGAGTTGTTGGCCGTCGGACCGCACGGCGATGAGGAAGCTGTAAATGCTCATGGAACTATGGACAAGTTAGACGAATGGTATACTTCGTGGATTCAATAGATCCGTACGCATCCTAGAATTTGTTAGCCCGACTCGTTCTGCGATGCGAACGCTCTTCCTTACAATTGCAACCTTGCGGCCGAATTGACTTTTGATGTCGCCTTCCTTGATGGCATCGGGAGCTTCCTCCTTGATGATGGAGAAGAGTTGCTTAATGCCCATCTTGACTGCTTCTCACCGCTGCAAAACCGGCTGGAAAAAGGATTGTCGATTCGTATTCGTGGGTTGGGCAAGAAAAATATGGGCAAAAATTGTCTGCCTGGCTGCTCTTTTCGTGATGTCACGAGAGTTTGGGGGACTGAGCGCTGGACGCGATCCGCTGGCGTGCGACGCGCCCTCCCGCGAAATGGAGTGGGGCTAATTTAAACCCTGGTCAGTTAGGCCAACGCCAACTCGACCATTTGCACAAATGTATGTCATGTATGTGTTCGTACTCCAGGCCATGTCTTCACAAAGGATTGTTATCTACATCGGGAGGTAAGGTATATACGAATCAGCGTTCACCAAAGCAATTGGGTATGGGCAGTTGGCTATCTCATCACCCCAATCCTGTCCAGGCAGTGGCATGCACAGAAAGCACTTGGCGGAACTTGTCTAAAAACCGGGGATGGGCCCCTCAGACGAAAGGCTGGAATCGGATCCCACATTTGGTACAAATTATGTAGGCCAAGCAAAAAGATAGGTAGGTAGATACAGTGTAGGTAGGTATTTTAATCAGTTATGTACCAAAAAACAATAATTCTTGTTGCTCCCTTGCCAAGGAGGAATGGCCCAGTATCTATTAAGCCGTGATCCAAACATGGTATGCAGAAAACAAGAGGCGGCGACGGGCAAATCAATATATGTTTCAAAATATGGACTGGAAGTTCTGATGGGGAAGTGGGTGGTTGTTCGCGCCGGTCCAGCCAGGGGACACCCCTTCCCCCATCACCCGGACCGTTTGTCATGGTTGGCCGAGGTGCCGAACTGGCATCGGTCTCGGTATAGACGCCTTAGATATTGCAGTCGAGGACTCGCAGTTCTAGAACAGGTACGTATGCGGTTTCGGTTGCCGGTGTCCCCCGCCCCGAGTAGAAGTAGTGAATGAAAATCTCTTGTAGGCGGCTTTGATGCTATCCCACGAGGACATCGTCTAGAAGTTCTCCTTGCCCCAGACAAAGTTGAACCTAAAGCCATCCGTTAGCACGAGCAGGAATCGTGTTGCAAAGGCTGTTTTGACTTACCCAGGCTCGCTGTACTTGTTGCAGAAAATATGTAATGTACTGCCCAACCCCTTGGGACCGCAGAAGAACACACCAGCCTCAGAAGGGGTGTGTAGTTTCCTGATACCCCGGAAAATCATATCCCAATTGGGACGACCAAAGTTGGTCGGCGACCGCAAGCCGGTGATGGTATCCTTGTCCGCGTTGGCGTCGTTGATCATGATGTTCGTCGCATCGTCAACCTTGATCTTGGCCGTCAGGTAGGTATGGATTTCAATGCGGTTGTCCACGTCCTGCGCCTCAATGGCGAGGAGCAGGGAGCGGAACCACTCGAACGACCCAAAGTCTCTGCAGATCCAGAAGAAGTACACCTTGCTGAGCCGCGTCTTTTTCTGCGGGTAGTTCATCCGGTACCAGATCGATTTGAGAATGGACGCGAACGGCGTCACACCGATACCGGCACCGCACAGAACCGAGACCTCGTACTTGAAGACGTCCTCGGACGCTGAGCCAAACGGTCCGTCGATATAGACACGCGGCAGCACCCGCCGGAGCGCGGGATCCACTTCGTCGTTGTCCTGGTTGACGCCCACCACCTTGGAGGACTCGCCCTTCTTCTTGTCAAATTCGCAGCCGAGTGTCTCGGCAACCGATCTGGTGAAATCGCCCACGACACGCATGTGGATTGAGATGTAGTCTTCCTCCGGGGCGCTGGTCAAGGTGAAGGGGTGGTATTGCCACAATGACACCGCGGGGCAGCAGAAGAAGATGTACTGGCCAGCTCTTGTCTTGGTGTGCTCCTTCTTGATCTGGATTTCGCAAACGTTGCTCGGGTGCTGGATGACCTTGGAGATGTACGTCTTGTGCCTGCCGCGGATCTCGCGGGCAATACGCTCGGCAAGATAGGCGAAGCCACCGTACATCCAGTACTGCCAGAAGACGCCGATGGCCGAGGTGCCGATCGAGCTGCAAAAGGGCGCAAAATCGGACTGGATCATGCAGAAGGCGCCGTGGATCGACCAGAAGAAAAAGAAAACGATGAACATGTGGTGCGTATACCAGAACCGCTCGTAATTGGCGCGCCGCGTCTTCTCAACCGAGGTGATGACCATGCCCGTCAAGGCAATGAGCATAACATAACCCGTCCAGCCCGGCCCGGACGCGAGGTTGGCCAACAGGAACCCATAAAACCCCAGGTTGTTCTTCGCTGCGATCTGGGCAAAGTTGTTCCAATGGGCAATCGTGTGTACCCAGGAGAAAAAGAAGATGGACCACGCTGTGGTAATGTGAAATGTGATGTTCTTGTCGAACTGGATGATGCCGTTGAGCGGTGTCTGCCTCGCCAGCGAGATGAGGGTGCGGCAGACTGGGAACAGGATCAGCGCGACATCAACGTGGAGAACGAGCGCCGCGGCACGCGCGATCATGAATGTCGGCCCGAAAGTGTCGCGCGCAATCTGCAGACTGTCCTTGAGCGCGTAGTGGACAAAACTGAAGGCGAACACGGTCGCATGGAGTATCATGAATACAAAGACAAAACTGTAGCGGAGAGTCAGCACGGGGTTATCAAGAAGCGACAAACCAAAACCCACATTCGACGGTAGCCTTCGTTCACCATCCATCGGTCGAACTTTTCTCGTGGCGTCAACTCTTTTTGTTTCTCCTGCGTCATCTCACCCGATAGCAACATCCGCGTGAGGGGCGTCCATCTCGACCTTTCCGACTGCTTTAGTGAGCCCGAGCTACTGCGGTTGCCGCCGCCGTAGCCGTCGTATCCTCCGTAGCTCGCCATATCGGGCGTCGTCCGTGTTGCCGCTGTGAATCCCAAGCGCGCTTGTCCCCTTGCCCTCGAGCTTCCCCCCCAAAACCTCTTTCAAGATTTTGGTCTCTTATTCCTTGCTGATTGCCTCGAGCCCTCTCTCCAATGGGCAGCCGCAGCCCCAAAAAACCCTTCCAACAATCCGGCGATTAAAAATGTCGATTGAGAATTGAGACACAATGCGTGAAGAATCGGAATCAGAACCTGCTGAACCGGCGAGATAGACCCATCTAAACGATAGTCGAGAAAAAGATCCGTCGAGCCGCAATACTAAGGAGTGGATATGGAGCCTGCATTTGCCACGGGGGGCGAGGCGGTGATGGTCAGCAACCAAGCACCTGGGAAAGATGCGCAGCACCAACGAGGAAAAAAGGGGACGGAGTGAAGGGGAGACCAGAAGGTCGGGTGCGGGGGCGGGTTTGGTTAAAGTGAAGAGCAAAGCGATCAAGCACCCGGAAACATAAGGTGATTTGTGTAGATCATACCTGTCCACAATGCCTGGTCTCTCCCAGCGGCTGTCGTTTTGCGCAAGAGAGAAAGGAAGAGGATAAATTCTGACCACTGCGCCGGAGCGAGACAGCGTGGAAACGAAGCACGGAAACGTGGTCCAAGAAGCGGACACGATTGGCAAATGAGTCGAAAAAGGGGCACAGCGAACTGGCGCTGAGAGAGCGTCCTTAGGGCAAGAATCGCGAACGTGGAACCCTTCCAGGGGGTGATGTTGCGTCCTGTGTCTGATAATGTGGAGGAGAGGGGATGGGCAAGGACCACGACTAGCAAGCAGTGAAACTCAGGACGCCAAGAAGGGGTAGGGATGCTGTGTTACGGGTAAAACTTTAGCAAAATCGAACGAGATCCCACACCGTCGAAACGGACGCTCTGCCGAGATGCGAGCCAAGAGAAGCCCTGGCAGCGGGAGACTGGGGGAGACGGGGGCTCTGCGGCAAAGGACCATCTCCGCCACTGCAATGGAAGTCCCGCCCCCAACCCTATCCGACCTCCGGGACAGCCCAGTTAAAAACGGCAACAAGGGTCTGCTCACATGCCCGTGGGCATTCGGAGATGGATCCCAACCGCGTGATGCCAACCTCGCGCCGCAGAATCAGTCGGGCGCGTATAATCTGCCCTTGCGTAACCAGCTCGGCACCGGTAATCCGAAGGCCCTTTCTCATCAACCTCCGTTCATACCAAAGTCTAGTGACAATCGGGTGATTCTCAGGTCTCTGGAACGACGGCGACCTCTTGGTTTGACCCCTCCATTAGTCGGGTTGGAGGTGACTGAATGCGGAACCAATGCGTAGGGGAATGAATGATCAGACCGATCTCCCGGTAAGACAGGGTATGGCGGGTGGGTAATGGCGCCATTTTTCGAAGGGAGAAAGCCAGCGCTGCTTCATGTTCTTGATTCGCGGCGTGGTACCAGCGAAGCGCTGCGTTTTGGGTGGGAGCGGCGGCAGTGACAGTCTCACAGGCGTCGCTGCCAAGACCGGGATTCGGTGACCCCACGATCGCCTGCTGAAGAGCTGTGATTGGCCGAGATGGGTCAGAGAGGGCGGCCGCTGTTGCGGTTGCTGTTTCGGCCGGGATCCTGACACACAATGCCCCAATGCCCAGGCTTTGTCACACAACCTCTGGCTCTCGCGACTCGGCGATATGGTTCCACGGAGAACCGCAAACACAACTCATCGAAGACGCAGTCGAGGCCGGAATATGACCCGAAAAAGCTTGACAGTCTGAACTTGGAGGCCCGCTGACAGGTACACACATGCCTGCCTTGCCACTGCCGGCTTCAACAATGGGCGGGCTAGGTAGGTCGTATGGCGATCGGAACAGGGCATTTATCAAACCAAGGCCAAGACAACGTTTGATATCCCCTTTGTAGAACGCGCGTCTCCTGTATGCTATCCCGCCGCACAATTATTACATTCATACATGATGCGCAGACATGATGATTATCCACGCAAGCAGTTGAAATCCCGTCCCCCAACGGCCTCACCCCCCGAGCTGATCGCAGACTGCACGGATTGCCGGCGCAGGGTCAAGGCGCAGGCGGGTTGGCGTCGAAGGTTGGCCTGGGCCTCTCGGACCGCCAACCCAACAACCATCTCGCTCATCCTCGCCGACGGGATTCTACACAGCAACCGGGCCACCAAACCCGGGCCATCACATGACTCAGTCGTTGGCCGTTTATAATCCTTCATCTGAGAGGATCTTGCACGAGGGGAATCTCCCCGCTTCCTGCTCCGTCTCTCGGTAGGCGCAGAGCTCGCTCCTCCCGAGGTTAGGTAACCACGTAACCCCCATCTTGCCCCGACCCCGTGGCGCCTAGGGCCAGCAACACCACCCCCCAACAAGGCACCTACACTACCTCTACAAGCCGCTCCCAGAACAGAGAAAACCACCACTCCAAGCAAGCCTTCTCAAGCCGCGCCACCTGCATGCATACCTAGCGTGGTAGTTTCCCTCCAGCCAGTCGAAGCGGCGTAGAAAGAGAGATATCCACCCATGATTGTGACGGAGTCCAGGGAGGGGGGCGATCAACAACGGGAGCTAGCACAAGTTGCCGATCGACGGAGCTTGTTGGGCGGGTGCTGTGCCTCATCTGATAACCCCCCCCTCGCACCTAACCAGTGGAACGTGGGCGTGGTGCATCCAGGGTAGGTACTAATCTGACGTCGAACTCCTTCCGGGACGATCATGGAATTAATACAGGTATGGGTGCCTGGTATGTTGGCGTGATGGCTTCAGAATCCTGGCCCGGTTGGTATTGGGAAAACGGGGACCAACCTAGTCCCAGAACACATCGTAAAATATCACAGCGGATTCAGGGTTGCAGTGGTGTTTTTATGGACATGATGTATTAATGATTGGATTTTCTCCCAGCAATCCAGGTAAGTAGGTAGGATCACACGTTAGGTTCCAAGCGGCGACGGATAGTCAAAGAGGGTTGCGTGTAGTGACCGAACCCTTCCGGTTCCCAGGCTAGGTGATTCAGTATGAATGATTCGGGAGGATGCTGCCAAACCGTGGTGCTTCTGCCAATCCCATATCACTCCAATCAATCCCGCATAAATGGTACCGTGGATATCCCTCGCGCCTTCTCAGAACTCCCAGAAACTACCCCCCCGCCGCGAAGTCCAAAATGCCAGATTATCCCGGGATGTAGAACCCGAGCCGGCCGTTGAACCACGCTAAGCGCCCCAGAAACCAGTACGATCAACCGCAGTCAGACCGACGCAAAACCCCCGGTTTGCAACCGTTAGACAGCATACTTCCGGGTCCATTCGCGCGCTGTCTGCTCATACTTCGCAATCTCGGTCTTGTATACGTGAGCAATCTCGGGGACAAGCGGGTCATCGGGGTTCGGGTCGGTCAACATCGAGCAGATGGAGAGAAGAACTGTTGGAATGTCAGCTGCTGAAGGTCCAAGAAGGGAAACGGTACGGGCGTTCGCATACCCTTCGAGATGGTCAAGGCAGGGCTCCACTGGTCGCGTAGGATGTCGAGGCAGATGCTGCCATTTGCGTTGATGTTGGGGTGATAGATGCGGGTCGTGAAATGAACCTTTGGGGGCTTGAAGGGATAGTCGGTAGGGAACGTGATCTGAAGGAAGAAAACGCCGCCAGCATATGGGGAGTCACCCTAGTCAGTATCGATTAGCGTCTGTTCTTTTTCCAGTCCAGACATGCCAAAGCCACTTACCGGACCCATGATCGTCGCCTGCCATTGGAACTGAGAAGAATGAAGTTAGCAGAGAACAGGATTTGGTCGCGTCGTGTCGAGAAAGGCGCGTTGCATGTCGACAGATCGGGTCTGTTATGGAGGCACGTACGAGATCATCGCCAGTCGGTCCTGCGGAGCACGAAGAGGGCGGGTCACTGCAAAAGAAAAAAAGAAAAAAAAGTCAGCTTCTGGAATCCTGTGAACTACCGGGGACGACTCCCGATTATCTCGAGATGGCGGCCGGGCCGCCGGGCTGCGGTTTGGACCCCGCCCGGCCTAGCCCCACCATGACGGAGGTGTGCAAAATGAATAAAACTCGGGGACGACTTACCGGCCGAGGTCGGCGAGTTCCTTGTTAATACGCTTCAGCGCCATGTTTGATGATGTGTGATGTTGTGGTTGACGTCGAAGGGCGTCTTGATGGAGAAGGCACGGGCACTGCTGTATTTAAAGAGTGTCAGCAGGTCGCCTGTGGAAGGGCACAGAATCCGAATGAAGCGGCCCGAGATGCCCGCACAGGATGTGGCAACGGTCCACGGCAGGATAATGAAGGACAAATAAAGGGTCGCAAAAAAAGTCGAGGCTTACCAATAAACAGCCGATATGATGGGCGAGGGCGATGTTCGAGGTGTTGGAGATCGGAATGACGGAAAGTCGACGAAGGCTGTTAGGTATTGAGAGGGAAAGAGGGGGGAGGTGGGCGGTCGACAAAGGCGGTTTCGGGCCCCACTTCGCGCAAAGGCTGAACCAGGCAATGCTGGCCCAAGGATTTTTCAGGCAAGAACTGCAGCGGCTGGGTCAGATTTGGCGCCCAATCGCCAATCAGTGCCTTGACAACGGGCGTTCCGTTTGCTCACGCGACGCCACTGCGGGTGACCACAGTGCCACATCAGTTGCTTTAACAGAACAACAAGCAATTCAGCAGCACAACTGTTATCAGACCGCCCCCGGTCCCGTTGCGACCCGAGCAACAAGCGCGCCTCGAATTCCCCATCGACGCGGCTAGCCCGAGGACTTGACTGCGTCTTGTTTATGCTTGGCGAGACCATTGATATCCAATACAAGGAGCACATTCTTGATGTATCGATACCTAGCGGGATACGAGTTCTGCGTTTTCGAAGCCAGCCCGGCCAGGTGCACTCACATGCTTGAGCGCCCGGAACAAACGCAGTCTTGCTGAACAAGTGCCATGAATAGCCCGGCTTATCTGATGACTGACAAACATCTTTGGGAGTTTCTCTTGTCAATGTCTTTGTTTATTTGTATCTATTAACTAGCCCAATGTTGGCGACCCCGAGGCCCGGTAACTCCCGAAGTCCATCAAAGTACATCATGGATCTCGTCAGGGGTCGCAAAGAGTTGTGAGCCCAACCTCGTTCGCCTGGAGGTCCATACCGTTAGGCAATGCCGGGCATCCGGTATTGTGATTGGATATATGCCCACCTCGGAACGTAGCTTCGGAGCACCAAATATCTCCCTACACAAAGGCCTGGACCCCAGTAATGGCCCGCCCGAGAATCAGACCTGCCTCGGGTTAGATCACCATCTTCCGCGCGCTAGCAGCAGCCTCCATGACTTACTATGAATATCGCTCTGGCCCTCATACGTCTGGGTGACATAGAGGTTTGCGACATGGCGACCGATCATGTACTCGTCGCTGACAGCGTTTCCACCAAATATCTCCTGTAACACCCTCGAGTTATGGAGAGCCCTGTCGCAGTTCTGGCGCTTGATCATGCTGATCATCTCGGGGGTCGCCTTCCCTTGGTCCTTCAGCCGGCCGACCTGGATGGCTGCCAGGGTGCCGTAGGCAGCGTCGGTTGCCGCGTCGGCTAGTTTCTTCTGGATCAGCTGGTACTTGGCGAGCAGGTTGCCCTTGAACTGCTTCCGCTCGAGGGCGTACGTCCTTGCCCTGTCGATACAGTCTTCCAACGCACCCATGACGCCGAGGGCGATGCCGTATCTGGCGCTGTTGAGGCAGGTGAACGGTCCTTTGAGGCCCTCGACCTCGGGGAACATGTTCTCCTTGGGTATGGGGCAGTCCTCGAGGTGGATCATACCGGTAATCGATGCGCGGAGCCCCGTCTTGTTCTTGATCGCAGGCGTCTCGACGGTTCCGGCAGGGCATTGCTTCCTATCGACGAGGAAGCCGCGAATCTTGCCCGTCATTCTGGAAGTTTAGCCCACACCACGAGCAGATCAGCAATGGGTGAGTTGGTGATCCAGGTCTTGGACCCTGTGAGCAGGTAGTAACCCTTCTTTTGCGGGTGCTCGCGCGCGACGGCTTCCATGGAACCCGGGTCGCTCCCGTGATTCGGCTCGGTCAGGCCGAAGGCGCCAATAAGTTTGCCCTTGGCCATTTCCGGGAGATATTTTTCCTTCTGCTCTGCCGACCCAAAATCGTGGATGGCCCCCATGGCCAAGGACGACTGAACAGACATGCTACTTCTATAACCACTGTCGACACGCTCAACCGCGCGGGTGATCAGCGCGCCAGCAACAGTCGAGACGCCTGCGCAGCCATATCCATCAATGGTGGCGCCGAGGAGCCCTAGCTTACCCATCTCCTCAAGGATCTTGGGATCATAATGTTCATCCCGGTACGCCTCTGATTGCGTGTGAGTTAAACGCAGATCGAGTTTCGGTTATGAGTTCAGGGGTCCATACGAAGCACTCGCGGCAAGAGTTGTTCCTGGCAATACCGCTCAGCCGTTTCCGAGATAGCCAGCTCCTCCTCTGTCAACAAGTTCTTGGAAGCCAATGGGTCTTCCCAGTTGAACTGCGAGATAGGAGAAGTCGAAGCATATGTTCTGAGAGTTGGGACGGATCGAGCGTGGAACAGCGCCCGCAAAGGCAGTCGTCGTGAAAGAAGCCGCGACATGGTGAATCAATGCCCTGACAAAATGCTGGTTTGGTGCAAAGTGAACTGAGAAAGAAGTAAACACCCACCCCCGCTCTTACCTCGGGATATCACAAAGATCGCCGTCGTATGCGGACCGTATTCCTGTGCCGGCGTGGAGACAACCCGCGGTGCTAACCGGGTTTACTCGGGTGTTCTTGACCGAGGAACAATGAAAGCAGGGGTTAGGGTTAGTTATATACAGGTTTGAGCAGATCGCAGAGGTCGGCAACGTAGACCGTAAGGTTAAGACATCATTGCTGCTGTCTTTTGTCGGTAAGTGAGATTAATATGCGTAGTCCGAACCCGGGAAAGTCTAAAGATGAAAGCCATACATGAAGACCGACACCCCAACCAACGCCGCGCAATGCCCTCTGCTTGGATGCTGTATATAATAAAGCCATGCCAGTCCCACATTCTACTACCTCCCAGCATCGCTAGGCAGCGTCGTCAGCTCGTACTCGCCCGCGCCGTCCCTGCCTCTCCCCCGTCCTCTACCGCGGGAGAAGCCTTCCTCCTCATCCCCATTCATCCTGCCCGCCCCAGCATCGCCGTTTTGTCCCGTGCTCCCTCCGGCCGCCGACGCCCCGCCGCCACCTCCGAACGTAATCGGCTGGAGCTGGCGGTAGCGGCAGCCCCAAGTGGCCAGCGCAACTGACACCGCACTCGCCGCTGCCATCGAAAGCCACCATGCCGTGTGGCGCGGGAGCTGCCCCGTGTACAACGTTACGACGACGAGGTGGATGGCGTGTACCGAGAGCGCGAAGTCGAGCACGAGTTTGGAGCGGCCGACAAGGATTACTATCGCGACGGCCCTGTTGCATTACGTAGAAGTCAGCCATGTGCCTAGCACCCCAAACATCCCAGCGCCTAGCTCCCCAGGAGACGGCGCCGCCAGGTGGAAGTACGTACATCACCAACCCCCCGTCCAGTATCCACACGAAGCCCATCAGCCACCCCTGTGTCGTGTCGCCGCGCACGGCGTCCCAGCCAAAGATGAGCTCCATGCTGAACGCGGAGCCCGCGACCAGCACGGTGAAGAGCATCAGCACCAGCGCCACCGCATAGTACAGCGCTTGGAGCGCGGCGATCTGGCTGAGAATCTTGAGCGGCGGGAGCTCGGCGAGGGCGCCCGGGCGAGGCGGCCGTCGCCGACGCGCCATGGGATCGTTGTGCTCGGGAAGGGACGGAGGGACGCTGTGATTGTGTGCTTATCGTCAAATGCGGGGCAGTCGAAGAAGGCCTTCAGTGCGTAGTTGGGTCGATGCTGGGAGAAATTTGGAGGCCGATCTGTATCGGGATTCGTGCTCAAGAGAATAATAGTTATGCTGGCGGCGCAACCGGTGCTTCGGGGATTCAACAGAGTTATATGCCACGCGGAGGGGAAGGCAGTGACGGGCGCTTCGGGAGTATTCGCGCTGACGTAGTTCCGGCGTGGTGGTCTGGATGTTCGTTAATAACTTCACTGCCTTGGTCGTGGTGTGCGATTGAGAGGAAGGTAATTTGAAACACCTAAACTGAAGAGAGATACCCAGGTAGGCAAGACCGAGATCTCACTTGCGCAATGTCGCACTCTCCCACTTGTAATTACTGTGTACGTAATCTCGTAATCTCTGAGGAACCGGGGCTCAACGGGTGACCCCATAGCCCCGCTAAACTTAGCGTCCCTTTCAGGCTCGGTTTCGGCGTCGCGGGACATTCCGAATTCGATGTTCGAAGCTCTGTCGAAGCTCGAAAGCTACGTTCAGAATACCAACAAAATCAACACCATAACGACCGCCCGTCGTATTTAGGATACCAACCCACCCCCTACCGGCCGATCTCGCCCTTCGCACACCCAAAACAGCCCCCGAAAGCAGAACAACCGAGCAACAAACCCAACAAAAGAACAGAACCCCGAGAAACAAGAAGAACACCAACCGCAACCAAGAATGGGCCTCCTCCCCAGCCTGAACCTCTTCGGCGCGCCCAGCGAAGCCGACAAGCGGGCGACCGAGGTGCGCAGCGGTGCCGTGGCGCCGAGCCGCGCCGAGCGCGCCCGCTGCTGGGAGGCCCGCGACGCCTACTTTGCCTGCCTCGACGCCAGCGGCATCGTCGACGCCGTCAAGGACGACAAGAAGGCCGCCGCCGCGTGCGGGGCTGAGAGCGGCCGCTTCGAGAAGGACTGCGCCGCGCAATGGGTAGGTTTGCCCTTTTTGGGGGCTTCTCCCTCTTTTCCTTTCGGTTTGGAGAGCGGGAGGGAGGGAGGGGTGGGTGATGACGCGGTGTGGAAGAGGGAAAGGGCGGGGTTGAAAGGGTCCCTGCAATGTGGGTTATTCAGTCACTGACGGGGTTTGTGCAGGTCACATACTTCAAAAAGTGGCGGGTACAGGATATCCAGAAAAAGGCGAGGTTGAAGGAGCTCGAGGCGCAAGGGGCGAGTAAGATGGACGTGCAAACAGACTTCGCCGCCAGGAAATAATATCAGCGGCTGACAACGGAGGCACGGGTTTGTGACGATACTGCCAGAGTGTAAAATACGATGTAATATGTTTGTCTAGTCATATGGGACGCCCTGCGGCTCGGCGTTGGCTTAGGTCGGGTATAGAAACATGGGCTCTTTTCTCAAGTTACAACTACATTTGGTAAACGATGGATGATACGCCGGACATTGTCACGCTCAAGTCAAACGGGCCATCTTAATACATGCTCTCGGCTTCAAACAGTATTGCTACGCTAAAGATTATCGCACAAACCACGAAGGTAAAAGAGCATTACAACATAACAATCGAAACTCAGCATTCAGTGCAGAAAAGAAGCTTCCATCGCCGCTAGTATATCCATCGTTCGTAACATTGATCTATTTCTAACGAGCAAGAATGTGACTGTAGCAACCACCCGGCCGGCTATGAGTGATTATGACGAGAAGCGGAAAGATGAATCCAAACAACATAAGAAGAAACAGGTATGAACATGAAGAAGAATAAGAAAGGAGACGACTATAAACGAGACAAAAGAACTTCCTTGGCGTGTATGCTGCTTGATGCGTTGTGGTATCATGTTGTGCAATGAGACAAGTGTGCTAAGAGATGAAACACCACCGGGCTCGTACAGTCTTCCACCGTTTACCCTCTACCCCGCCCCATCCACCACTGGATCGGCCTCGGCAGGTGGTCGGCTTATCGTCCGGGAAGGGCGGAGCTTGCGCAGGGCTCGGCCCAGCTGTATCCTCGGCAGGAACCGACGTCGAACCTGCCCACACTCCTCTGGGCCGCACTGCTCTTCCGACACCGAGACACTTTGCAACCCCTCGTCTGGCACCGGGCCTCCCGTTTGTTCGACGTCATCGCCCTACGACACGTTTTGAGAACGGTGTTGGCCGCCGTTCGGAAGAGGTGGCAAAGCCTTGTCGAGGCTGTCGCGGCTGATCTGTTGTCGAAGGCCTAGCGATCTCTGGGACCCGGTAAGGCTCTTCAGGCCCCCGTTGCTGCTGCTACCACTGACACCAACGCCGTATCCGCTGTCTGCGCTTTCCGGCTTCGAACGCCCAGTGTACCCGTGGCCAGTTTTTGGCGGAGTTGGCGGCGGGCGTGCTTGGAAACTGCTGCCCGTGCTGCCGTTACGGCTACCAAGAAGTGGGTTTCCAAACCCCGGGGCGAGCTCATCACCTTCCTTGGCGGGGGTTAACGGCCTGACCTCGCTATCCGTGGTGAGGCTGCTCACGCGGCTGGTACCGCTGCGGTCTCCGGTTGATGTGCCCTCAATCGCTTCTTCCACCACCGGAAGAACGGTTGTCTCCCTGCGTTCGGCGGCTGGCGCATTCGGGTTGTGACTGGCCTTGCCGGTTCCCGAATTGTTAGGAGGGGCAGTGACAATTGTTCTCAAAACACGTTCTGGAGCATCATCCTCTTCGTCAGCCAACTCAGGGATTCCTGCCTGCTGTCCCACTCGGCTTTGACCGGATGGCGACGAAGAAGGCGGTAAGGGAGGCTGGTAATTGGGCATAGGAGGAATCTCCGCAGCGGCTTCAGCCGCAAGCGCAGCGTCTCGTTCTTGGGCGGCTCGGATAGCTTCTTCTTGTGACATGGCCATGCTCGAGATGAAGCTGATGAACCTCTCGCCGTATTCGTGAGGTGGCAGAGCCGAAATCTGACTGCGATCACTCGATAGGCCTTTCCAGAAGTGCTCTATCTTCTTGATGATACCGTACTAAGAATCGTGTCAGCGTGTTAGTCTTTGGCAAAGGGGGAGGCGTTTAACATACGTGGGTAAGGCAGTCGATCACTCCCAAGTAGTAGATCTCTTCTCCTGGCGAGTTGTCCTCGTGTGTCGCCCGGAAGCCGCCATCGTCCTGGTTGAAGATGAAGCCCGGTCGGTTTTGCCCTTCCTCAAGCTCGTCCGGCATTCTGCTACTTGTTTGCCCCATTGGCACCGGCTTCTCGGACTGGATCATCTGCCGGAGCTCTCTGGCCTTGCGCTGGCTCTCGAGTTTAGAGGGGGTTCGCATAAGAACCGAGTGGGGCTCGAAGTCTTCCGAGGTGTTGCCGCTCCCGCCCGGGTTGAAGACGCGCAAAGTCTTATCCCTCAGGTTCTCTTCATTGCCTCGTTGGAGATCGTGGATGCCTACGAGCAAAGAGTAATCCATAATCTGCAATCTTTGCAATAGCCGCACATCCTTGTAGAGCTGCTCCAAGAAGAGTTGTTTCTTCTGAAGTCCCAGCTCGATATTCCTCTTCCGACGGAGCCAGTTCAGGTCTTTCAGGGTCGCCCGCGGGTTGTTTTCTAAATCGTCTTCTCTGTAGTCCCGACCGATAGTCGAGCCCTTCAAGTCAAAGGTCTGATGGATATCCCGGTGTGGAGGGAATAGGTTGTTCATGACGACGAAATGAATCTTCTTGCCGTACGGCATCTTGACACGGTGCAGGCCGTAGAACTGCGAGAGCAGCGTGTTGGGGTTGTCCTTGACGTGCTGGTAATAATCCTTCAAGATCTTGCGGAGGAACTTATGCTCGGCGTGATGGATTGTCTTGATGATGTACTTGTAGTCCCGCGAAAAGTAGAAAAAACTTCCGCTCTTTCCAGGCGATCCGAGCTCTGACAAGATGTACTTTCCAGTCAGCGACATCAGGTAATCAGCGGGATCCAGGCGGAACAGAGTGCGGAGGTGGCGGAACACCCAGGGAGCGTAGTCCTTAAACTTGAAGTCGTACTTGGCTGACGGGACCAACTCGTTTCCGGCAATGTCGAAGGTGGACTTTTGTTTGACGTCGAAATCGGCGTCGGTCAAGGGTCGGTCGAGCTTTGCGTTGGTTCGTGAGACGGCCACACGGATGCCGGTCAGCATGTTATATGCCGTCACCCAGTTCGCATGCGTCTCGTCGACCTTGGTGCCGACCAACACCCTGTCGTCGTCCTCGATCTCTCTTTTCCTCCGCTTGCTCGCCCGTTTTTGCCTGTACGCCTCCGCCCACCGCATCGCGTCCTCATCTGGGACCACCTCGTCGCGTGGGCCATCCGAATGAAGGGATCGCGTGTTTCTCCGAGCTAAACTTAGCGACGCCCTACGTCCCCCAGCAGCCGCGATGGTAGGAGAGAATCTGCCGCTGGAATGGGCGGTGTCGATTCCGTCTCGTGAGCCGCGCGCGGAGGAAGCCTTGGGGACTTCCAAGGTATGCCGATGTTTGATACCCGGTACAGGTGGGGTCTGCAAAGGGCCGGAGGAGTTCGGCTGGTCGTACACGGGAGGTGACGAGTATCTGTGGGGTGCAGGTTGTTGGTTTCTTTGAATCGAGGACGGGCTCGAGGTTTGAGAGGCGACCGGTCCGGAGCGCTGGCAGCAGGGAATGTGGTCGAGGTAGATCCGCTCTGGGCTGAGCGGACGTCACCTTTACCGATAGGATGCAAGTACACCCCGGCCTCTGGTTGTGCTGGCGGGGTTTTGTTTCCTGAGGGAACACGTGGAATACCGTCGCCCAGATTCCAGCCCATATTCCAGCTCGGTGCATCAGTGGTTGTTCCTCTCGTCCCCGAGCTCGGTACAGTCCGATCCACGAGCGGCGCCGAATGACTGGACGAGAGCGATTTCCGGCCCATAAAATCGGGAGAGCCCAGCCCGTTTACTCCTCCGCCGGCAGTTCCATTTTGTGGTGAGGTCATGCTCTGTGGGAGCGAAAAGTTCTTGGTCGCGCGCCGCTCCGGTTCGATGGACGTCTCGGATGTAGTGGATGATCTGGTGGAATTCGCTGAGCTCCCGTCAAAGCTCTCGTTTGACGTGTGCGATTGTGGCTGGTGAGCGATAGGTCCATTGACCTTGGCCTGGGATAAGCCGTACTCGGCGGCCCGGTCAAGGTGCACGACACCCGAGGACTGCGAGTCGATTGCCGTGTTTTCGTCCGGCACGAAGGAGGGCATTTCGCGGGGACCGGCGGCGAAGGGCGTTCGTCAGGTGCGTTGGACAACTGTGACCCGTCGAACAACGTCCAAGGTCAGGCGCGGTCGGCGGCCGTAGACAGGCTCCGACGCGCCGGAAATTAAGTGTCGGTCAGTTGTCGCGGCTCTAAAAAGGCAGCGTTATGGTTGCGTCAATATTTGAAAAGGGGGGACCAGAGGTCGGCTCGCTTCGCTGGTGATGTGTTGTCGTCGGGGTTGGCTGCGCTTGGCGACTCAGCTGATTTCTGGGCGGCGGAATCTGTAGGGCCCCAAGGTGAGCGGATTGGGGATGAGGTTCGCTTGTTCTTGTGATTTACACAAGCAATCAATTAGATTCGAGGCGGCGCGTACATGCCACGAAACAATTGCGTAGCAGCAGCGTCGGGAATCGGGCTCTTTGCTTGTCTGGAGGCGGAAGCAAAGGACGGCGGAACAGGAACAAGGACGCTAATGACAGTGCGTGGCTGTGTGGCCGGGACGGAGAACCGGGCTCGGGGGTTGGAACTTGGCGCAGCTGAGGAGAAATTGTGCGGGCGGCTCTGCCCAATCGAAGCTCCGCTGACAAGAAGGACCTGGAGCGACCCAAGGCAATCGTTACGAGGCGGGCGGGCGGCAAGGGTCGAATTTCTTGGGTCCCAGCCCAGCAAACAGGCCAAAAGCAGTAATAAAACTGTAACGACTTCGTACTTCGTAATGCATTAACAAAACTCACGGGCAGCTTGAATTCACCACGGACGATGCTTTTCCTATTGCTCTCTCCTCAGCTTCAAAGAGATCAGCTCCATCTTTCAGGTCCCGTGTCACCTAGGACAATCACTCGGTTCGGTGGTTATCTAACCAACTACCTAAACGGCTTGCTCCGTCGATGCTCTCCACCTTCTCTCTCGGTCAAGCGCCCGACCTTGGCAACGGGAAGTGCGTTGACCGGGCAGTCTGTTGGGATATGGACGGTTCTGAAAATCCGGGATTTTGCGCTACCCGTACTTTGTAGGCCCGCCTCTTGGCTCTTGTATCTATAAGGGAAACTCTCCATCTGTTATCACTCAAACGCAGTGGTAAGGGCCTAAACGTTTTGTTGGTTGCCCAATGGTCAAGCATTGCCGTCACTCTTGCTTCACCAAAAGGCTCATTTCAGGATCCTTGTCTGGAGCGCCCGGGGTGAGGCTTGGAATCTTGGATATGTTTGGTGTTCGGGCCCACATTTAAGTCGGAAGAGCGGCAGACCAGGAGCTCCGCGACTTCAAGGTTGCTGTGTTCATGTGTCGTCACTTCTCCCGTAGTTGACGAGAGCAGCACGCAAGGATATTTCACCATAAAGCGTCTGAAGTGAGAACTTGCCATCCTGCGGGTACAAAAAAGCCGAACTCCAAATATAAATGTACCAAACCTTTGACTCCAAACGCGAACCCGTCGTGGAACCCAAAAGTTATCCGCGTGCCCAAATTATTACATTTTCTTTTTTTCCTTATTGTGTAACTACTCGATTATTTTATTTTATTTATTTTTCTCGGTTTTGTTTGACTTTTTTCTCCGTTCTTGCTTTCTTGTCGTTCACTAGTTATTTCTTTTTTTTTTTTTTCGCCGAGCAAACAGGAACAGATGTCATACGCTCAAGTGCCAGAAGTTAACACGGCGGTGCAAGCCACCATCAGGTGGTGCAAACCAACGAAAGACGAAAATCCTCTATAAGCATCTATCAAAACACCGGCTCATGTCCCATGATTCATCAACTCTAGGTCTGGATAGATCATCACTAGGGTATTCGCTGAAGCCCCGAAAGAAAAGAAAAACAGCCCGACACCATCGCGCCACGCCTCGTCCAAGCCACCGTCTAGCTTCGCCTTAAACATATCATAGATGGATGATAGAGAACTCGCTCTCTACTCCGTCCTCCTCTCCACGATCGCCTCCCCCACCGGCAACCCCCCCACAAAGCCGGCATTCTCCCCGCCCAGCTGGAACACCCTTTGGCCACGCACCCACGTCTCATGGACCCGCCCCTGGAAGGTGTGGCCCTCCCAGGGCGAGACGCGGTTCTTCCAGCGCATGTCGCCGGCGCGCAGGGTCCAGACGTCGGCGTCGTCAAAGACGCACACGTCGGCGTCCATGCCCGCGCGCAGGCCGCCCTTGCGGTGCGCCAGCCCCACCTGCCGCGCCGTCGCCTGGCTGCACATGCGCACGATGTCGAGGATGCCCGGCGCCGCGTCCCCGCGCGCCGCCCGCTCCGCCGCTGTGGTGTGCAGGATCGGCAGGCCGAGACCAACGTGACGAGATGCCGCCCCAGGCGGCGAAGAAATCGCCTTGGTTGTTGTTGGTGTTGGCTGCGGGGTTGGTTTTGGGGGGTTGAGTCGACGACGGGGGGTTCAACTTTCTGTTCTTGCTGTGACAGTGTCACGTCCACAGCTGAATCCGCCGTGAGGGCCGGTCTCTTCTGCTCCCCATTCGGTAGTGCCGACGCGTTGATGGAGGGGTTGGTGGACAGTGCCTCCTCCCCTTTCTCCTTCCTTTGCTCCGTTTCCAGCGTCGTCACGCTGATGCCAGAATCAATGGCTGCCGCCTCCTCCTTTTGTTGTTCCCCTTCGGGCGGTGTCATGTCGATACCGGAATCGAAGTGCCGTATCGCTGGCCGTGGTCCATCCTGGTAGATGGTCTGAAGGTGCGACGGCAGCAGCTTGAGTTCAGGCGTGCAGGGGGAGTGGTCCGAGACGATGGTCTTGATGCAGCCATTCGGATCGGCAAGTTCATCCCACAGCTTGTCCTGATTCGTCTGCGAGCGGATCGGCGGGCAGCACTTGTGCCTGGTGTCGCCATCCGGGATGTTGTCCGACGCGAGGCCGAGGTAGTGGAAACACGTCTCGGCCGTGATGTTGATGCCGTCCTGGCGCGCCTTGCGCAGGATCGGGACGCACTCTGTCGCTGAGAGATGCACGATGTGCAGGTGGAGTTGCGGTGCGAGGTGAGCCATCGACAATATCTCCTCTACGGCGCATGTCTCGAACACGGGAGGGCGGGAGTCCAAGAAGGTGCTGTAGCTGTCGAGCTCACCGGTAGGCTGTGCTGGTGGGTCCGACTGCTGGACTGTGTCTCCAACTGAGGCGGCAACGGGAGGAAGCATTTCGGCGTGAAACATCAACGTGGTGGGCGTGTCCTTGAGGGTCGTCATTGCAAGTGCAATGTCCTTTGCCGACACAGCGGGGAACTCATCGACCTGTTGACAGGATTAACGACCCAACCGGCATGATTCATATCAGCACACTCACACCCGAGTCGATGAGAAAACCTTTGAAGCCACGGACACCGGCCCCCACCAGAGGTAGCAACTCATCGGCGTTGCCCGGGACGACACCGCCGTAAAAGCCAACGTCGACCCAGCACTGCCCCTGGCTAGCAGCGAGCTTTTCCTTGAAGCCCATGAGAGTGGTGGTGGGAGGAATGGCGTTCAGGGGCATATCAACGACAGTGGTGACACCGCCGGAAGCCGCAGCCTTGGTGCCCGTGTTGAAGCCCTCCCATTCTGTGCGGCCCGGTTCGTTAAGATGGACATGGGCGTCGACCAAACCCGGGAGTAGGAGTCTGGGACTGTAATCCTGATACAGGGTGTCTGGCGGAAACAGGTTCCTAGGGAGGACCTCTGGGGCTACCGACACGATCTTCCCCGTGGCCAGTGAGATAAGGATGGTTGCAGGGGCGAGGAGGAGCGTGTCGTCTGGGAGCGTGAGAACGGTACGCGTCGACGTCAGGACGACGACAGGACCGCCGTGAGGGGCACTCGAAACCGTCATGTTGAAAAAGATGCTGCAGGTGTGTTGATTCCGGAAGTCAATGAATGAGAGCGGTCCTGGTAACGTCGATAATTATCGTACCTAGGACAAGTCACCCTTCTATCTGGCGAGACGAGGAGGGCTTATCTACGACTCGGACGAAGTGGGTGGACTACGGTAAAGATAGGGCTGATTTCAAGGAACAACACACGTGTGCTGGACAACAGAGAGACAGGGGGTACCAGTGAAGAGATGATCCACGCTGACGTCGAGAGAAGAGAAGTGTGTGATAACGAAGCTGTGGGTAAGGGCCCGAGATAAAAGAATCGGCGGCGGCGGCACATAGGCCACAGTACCCTCCTTAGGAAGGCGCCCCAAAAGGGCGGAAGAGCCTTTGAAACATTCGAAACGGCCCACCGCGGCCTGCAGTTCTCCTCGGCCCCCAGACCGCTCCACCCGAAGCAATTCCCATCCTTCCGGTCCAGATTGCCATGTTGCGTTGGCAAGTTGGCCGGCTGAGCCCTGCGTAGGAGGGGTCCGGGAAGGTTGTGGGGCTAGGACGGGTGAAGGGTTCACCTGCCCTCGCCGCCGCCGCTGTCGGCGAGAGGAAAGGACCCCTGGCCAGCTGGGCTTATCTAGGGACGTTTATTGGTCAGATCTTCGGGATAGGAGACTGCCGCCCTCCGAGCAAACAAACCAGGCCCAGACAAGGGTCAGTCTAGCCAATCATGAAGCCGATGGCTCATATCCCTGTCCACTTGTGGACTTCCAGACACCGCCCCCCTTGTTTCCGTTTTTGGCGGCCATCCGAAGCTATCACGAGCCTGAAGTTTCCATCGAGTAACAATCGAGTAAGCCTGGAGAAGTCTGCATCCGATTCGCCACAGCCCGCCCGCTGAGCTTATGCAGCAGCAACTAACTGCAACGCTGTACGACCTGGAGAGTCCAGAATGCGATCGCTTTTGTCCTCATGGCTCACCTGACGCCGCTGGCATTCGACGCTTTGTCAAACGGCCATGGCTAGATTTTGTTGCGGGCCAGATAGAGCCTTAACACTCAATGAGCCACCCATCTGCAAAACCCGGGAAACTTTAACCCGGGTGGTAATAATGACATGACAGAGATTTACACTTGATACGGTCGGTGAACGAATGAAGAAAATTTCTTCAGGTCTCGGCTGACTCGTGGAAGATTCCGCGTGCCTGACCCGGAGGTCGCCGGAGGGGTTTTACCCGGCCCACCACGGCTTGCCCCGACTAACCAGCTGAGATGACATTCTTTGTCGTTTGGACGAGTATGCCAACCAAGGCCTCAAGGCAATCCCGGCTACAAAGTTCCATGGGTTCTTTCATAACTTTACACTATCGGACGAAGACCAGCTAATCCGTCCCGGCACCGATGTGATACCCTCGGGCTATGCTCCACCAAACCGGGTTGTCAGCCACCGGCCCGGCATACGGCTCTCGGGTGCCAGGACCCAGATCTCACCATTTTCCGGCCCGAAACGTATAGGGGGCGTCCTTGTGGGTATCGCCGTAGCCACCGCCTCAAAGGCCGGAGGCATGCCCGAGCGCTGAGGTTGCCGCCCGTGTCCTTGGCATTTACAAACAGCCGTACGTGGATTATGCTGCGTACGACTCACTAGTATTGACCTATTTGGGACTACCGATTATACGACTCTCACAGGTTCGCTGATTCATAGATCGGCCACCGGCGCGGTCCACATCAAATATCACCGAGGAGCATTCACGGATATGTTAGTTTGTCACGGATTGGGGGATCATGGCACAGCTCATAGACAATGCAGATAGTTGGTAGCGGGCCACAGCTAGATTGGTAACGAGCCTAATTACTCCTATTCTGATCTAACATGCAAGTCACAGCCGTGCCGCGTCCCCCTCTCGGGTTCTTGACCTCGACCATCAGTTTACCTGTTCGAAAGTTAGCCGTGATTCGTATTCCGTTACCCGTCCCCCTTGCTGTTCCTGCTACTTACCAATGTTCCGACCCTGGAACAGATAATCGAGCGCCTCTTCTGAGGCCCCCACGCCGCCCTTGAGGATCGTCTCCTTCCTCTTGAGCTTGCCTTCACCCAGCCACTGCCCAATTTGCGTTCTTGCCGCGGCATACTCTTCCGCATAATCGAAGACGATGAAGCCTTGCATCCTGAGGGGGGGGTTAGCACCGCCGAGCTGGAACGTAACCTATGTACAGCGGAACACTTACTTGATCCGCTGGCCGATGATATTGAAGAAGTTTTTCTGCGGTTGTGGTATTAGCTGCATGTTTCCACGCCAGTGTAAAATATTAGCCGGTGAACAACTTACCGTGGGCCCTGACTTGCTCTCAGAGTTATACTGAGAGATACCGCCGCACATGACGAAGCGGGAAAAGGCGTTGGCCCGGCCAAGCGCCATCTCGAGTTGCTCGCCGCCGACTTAACATCCTTTTTGTCAGCCTTTCCCATCGATTCTGCTTTCACAACCCAGAACGCTGCTTACCATTGTCGAAGAACACGTCAATAAACTTGGGGGTAGCCTCCTTAAACTTCCTGTGGAACTCCGGGTCCTTGTAGTTGAGGGCAACATCCAGACCCAGCTCCTCCTTCAGCCAGCGGCACTTTTCATCGCTGCCGGCGGTGCCGATGACGCGGGCGCCGGCAATCTTTGCGATCTGCGCGGCCACGCTCCCCGTCGCGCCAGCAGCCGCCGAGACGACGACCGTGTCGCCCGCCTTGGGCTCGCCGATCTTGGTCATGCCGAAATACGCCGTCAGGCCCGTCAGGCCGAACACACCGAGCAGGTCGGTGACCTTGGCACCCGCGACAAGTGCCGACGCGGGCTCCACCTGGCTCTCGGGCAGGATGCCGACCTCGCGGATGCCCAGCGGGGCGGTGACGATGTCGCCGGCTTTGGCCTTGGCGGAGCGGGAGGCGAGCACGCGCGAGATGGTGGCGGCGCGCATGACCTCGCCGATCTGCACGGGCGGGATGTAGGAGCGCTTGTCGTCGAGCCAGCCGCGCATGGCCGGGTCGTACGACACGTACAGGCACTCGAGCAGCAGCTGGCCGTCCTGGAGGTCGGCCTCGGTCGGTGCTGCTACGGTCCGCTGCCGGAACGTCTTGCCGGGGACGATGGGCCCCGTCGGCCGCTCCGCTAGTTCGAGCTGCTGAGACTGTCGTGCCATGTTGCCTTGTCTGTGTGGCTAAGGGTGTGTAGTACAACAGGGGGGAGGTCGCCGTCTAATTGGGTGTTACAAGAAGTAGGTCGGTAGCCGTGTGTAATTGAAGTATTGCTGTTTTCGACAGGATGATCCAGGGGTAGAATGCCACTATGTTTAATTTCAAGAGTGACTCAGCTATCTATTAACGTTTACTGATGGACGTTTTCATTGATACTTGTAGTGCCTCCAAGATACCGACGTCGTGGACTTGAAGTGACATTGACAAGCAACCTGACGCACATTAGTAATGCATCCCAGGGAACTTTTCATGTCGGACCTGGCTTTCTGCAACCAAACTCCGCTCTTGCGCTGCAACTACCACTCGGCAGATCCTCCGAGCCGAGGTTGGCCCCAAATCCGGTTCCAGAGCCTCGGACAATCACGAATCCCGGTGGCCACTTCCACCCCGGCGAGTAACAATCCGGGAACGCTTTGCGGGGCTTCTACGGCGGTCACCCTTTTGGTCGCTTCTCCGTGAGTAGCAGCCAATGGCAGTTGTTGTTGCGTGCTGGTAAATCGCCCCGAACCTTTGTGTTTGACAGGACGGGAAAACGAGGTGGACGAGGGTTCCTGGAAAAGATCTATTTCGTGAGGTGGAACCCTAACCGGAATTCCATCCGCTTGAGCTGAATTGGGAATGATATACCGTCCGTTCTCATAGCGCCATATGATGCATTATCATCATACACAAAGCGGCACTGCCCAAGATCACTTGGAGATGCCGAGCCCGTCTGTTATACATCAGCCAAACATATAGCTGTTCGTCTATATTCGCCCCGTTCGTCTCCCGACGCCCCGCGAACATTACATTGCGCGATTGTCGTGTTAGTACATTGGTCAAATCGACCACTGGCGGAGAGCTTTACTTCTTCCGCTGCAGGGTCTTGACAGCCATCTCAACGAGGCCATCCTTGGCCTCGCTATCTGGGAACAAGCTGAGAGAAGCAATCGCCTTCTCGGCGTAATCTTCAGCAAGTGTACGCGTTTGCTGAATACCGTCGCTTTGCATCACCAAGTCTCGTGCCTATATATTTGATTAGCGTCCTCCTCCCGGCCCTGAAAAATATCAGGTCCAAACGCAAGGGAGAGCAAAACCCACCCGGGCAACGTCGCCGTCATTCGCAAATTTCCGCCCTACCAGAGCCCCGAGCTCCGGCATAGTCTTCCAAGCAAATAATAGCGGAGCGGTCGCTAACCCAAGCTCCAAGTCGGCGCCCGCAGGCTTACCCAACTCCTTCTCGCTACGAGTGTAGTCGAGTAAGTCATCGACGAGCTGGAATGCCAGACCAAGATTCCTGCCGTAGCTGTACGCGGCGTCCACCGTCTGCGCGTCCGCGCCACCCAAAAGGGCCGCCGCGCGGCAGCTTTTGCTGATCAGGGACGCCGTCTTGAGGTATGTCTTTTGCAGGTAGTAGGTGAGGGCGTCCTCGGACCACTGCGGGTTGGTCTCGTCCCGTGCCGTGTTCTTGAGCTGCATGAACTCGCCCTCGACGAGGTTGGCGATGACGGTGGCCAGCAGTTCGATTACCTCGGCGTGACGCAGGCGCGCAAGCGCGACAGATGCCCTGCCGAGGAGGAAGTCGCCCGCCAGCACCGCCATCTTGTTACCGAACTCGAGGTTGGCGGACGGTGACCCGCGGCGCGACACGGAATGGTCGATTACATCGTCGTGTAGAAGCGAGGCAGTGTGGATCAGCTCCGTGATCTCGGCCAGCCTCCGCTGCGAGGGGAGGATACCGGCATCGGCGAGAACCGGCTCGCTCTCGGTGCCGGCAGACGGGTTAAAATCGGAAAGAATGGACGGGGGGGAAATGGAGGTGTCGATGGCCGCGGAGACCTGGGCTGTCGCTTGTTGGCGCTGTGGTGCCTTTGGGCAGAGTGATGTTGCCCGCGACATCAGAAGGACTATGAGCGGCCGGACATGCTTTCCCTCGGCTTGGGTGTAGTACTTGGCGGCGCGGTCGAGCGAAGGATGACCGGAGCCGAGTAGCTTCCTGATGTTCCCTGTCAGAAACTTCATCTCCTTCGCCACGATCCGGAGGGGATCTATGGTGGGGAGGTCGCCCTTGGTCGCGCGTGTGACGGCATTGGAGACGATGTTGCCGGCAACCGAGACGGCAGCAGCCCATGCCGACGGGTTGGGTCGGCCAGAGTGAAAGAACACCCTCGACTGCGGTATCCGGGCTCTAACAGATGCTGTCCTAAGGCATTGCGCGCATGTCGGCGGCCGTGACCGGGCAAGTTGTGTGGCGCTCCTGGCCCCGCGAACCACCGAAGCCCCTGTCCCTAACTGCATTTCCTCGCACTTTCCTCCTCAATTATAGCCAGTGGACTGCCGGGCGTCACGGTTCGGTCGTCTGGCGCATTGGGGACGGAATTGAGAGTCGGGGCGGCCGAGATGCGCGCAATTGGGGCCCTGGAGGATGACCTGGCTGTTCTTCCCGTGGGTCCCGAAAACTTCCATTCTGCCCGACAATTTTTTGGGATCTCCGCTCCGGATGGAAGCCCGGTGTGGCTCGAGTCGGGTGGGTACTGGTGGGTTTTGTGGCTGGTCTGGGCCTGGGGGCTGCTCGTGGGGTGTTGAACCCCCCTGGTGTGCCGAGCGGTCTTGGCGTTGCGGATTGGCTGATGTCTCGTTGGTTGTCTGCCTGGGCCTGTTTCGGTGTGAGCATGCGCCAACAAGAAGCCACTAAACCATCTCATCGGAGACCGTTTGCCGTATTACTTTTCATCTCATCACATCCAATCCTCCCTGCTTCATTACCAATTTCACGCCGTCAAAGATGGTTTTACTCACAATGACTCCCCGTATTGTGACGGGGCTGCAGTCCTTGAGCAGAGCACAAAAAGCAGCAACTCAGCCTCAGAACTCCGACGACCACGAGCCGTCTCTCGAAAACCCAGCTATCGGCAACCCTGTTTCTCATTCACAAGTAGTGGATATATGGAAAGCGCTCAACGATAATTGTCATGGAGATTACAGTCTGGAAGAACTTCTAAAAGGATCCAAGGTCTACGTACCGCCTCCAACCCCGAAGTCCGAGCCGGTGAGTCGCATAGTCAGTCATGCAGGTACCACCCCCCTCGTACTAATCATCTCGAAGTCGGACGACTACAAGGCACTCATGGCGCGACTTCGCCGGGAGCAGGAACAGCGGGAGTATGAACGCATGGCGAATCCGCTGCCACCGATGGAGACCTTTTCTCAGCGGTATTCGAACGGCGCAAACATGGCTCAAGCGTTTGCGGCAGTGAATCGACCGACTCATGAAGGGGACTTGGGCGATGACGATGTAACCCACACCGAAGTGCATCGTCAGCTAATGCTGGTTCTAAACTTCGTGGCGAGTATACTGGGGGTTGCGGCGACGCTCTGGATCGTGGCTAGGTGGTGGAGCACGCCAGCCAGGCTGTTTCTGACCATGGGCGGAAGTTTTCTGGTTGGCATTGCGGAGATCGCCGTGTACTCTGGATACATATGGCATCTCAGCGAGGCCAACAAGAAGGACAAGGCTATGAAGGAAGTCAAAGAAGTGCTCCAGACCTGGACGGTCGGGGTTGAAGACGAAGCCGTTGTGGTTGGTGGAAAGCCACGGGACCATGACCCAAGCCTTCGGCAGCGGCAGAAGGATCGCACATAATAAATAAGAGGTCCTGGAAGGTTCTCTCATTGCGCATATTTCAAATTGCCAACTTGAACATCTCCAGTCGGGGTTTGATATTTGTTTCTCCAAGGCCCAGCCAGCACATGCATGGATGCTTGGCTCGAGCAGAACCCGAGATAAGGTACCCACAGGGCTAGGGTGGGGCACCTCAGCCCCACGTCATTGTGCATGGTTGCGCGGGACGGGTCTCACAATTGACCGAGACGCGTAAAACGCGATCCTTTCGATTTTCCCAGCAGTGTGAGGGGTACCACTCAACAAGCCATTGTCATTTTGATAGACTGGAGTCTCCGTCATTACCCTTTTTGGCCACACCAATTGTAATTATTATTTAACTCTTACTTCCTCCTCCCATCACATACTTCTAGAGTGGCGTGTCTCAGCTGCGGCGCCGCGTCGTGTTCTCACTCTCCTTGGGAACTCTGTGAACTACAAATATGTCGACCGACCAGCCAACAGCGCATCCCATCGATCCCGTCGACGTGGCAGCTAAGAAGACACCACCTCGAGGGCGAAAACGACCACTACGGACCTACAGTCGACGATCAATCCAGACGAAGGCGCAAGAACAAGAGGAGGCATTGTCGCAAGGGGACGGGTTTGCCGGTGTCAGCACTCCGGGTCTGGAACGAACAGAGACGCCGGTCCAGCTCCCAGCCCTGCCCGCGCACCGACATACGGAACAAGCGGGGCCAGCGGAGCAGTCAAGTCGCGAATCGATCCTGGCATACTTCAAGCCTCTGCCGCCAAGTTCTAACGCACCTTCTGGCGTTGCATCTTCTGACCCTGCCGAACCCCTGTCGACACCACCGACATCTCCATCGTCCTCCCGGGTAAAGAAACGAAGACGGCTCACTACAAGGCCCCAATTCGGGGAGTTCGAACAGCATATCAGGTCTGATGCTGGAGAGACGGTCGATTGTCGCGATGGCGATGGCGATGGCAAAGGGGATGGCGACCCCCCCGGGAAAGCAGCACTTGGCAAACAATCCCGCTGCTCCCTTGCTGAAAGTACAATTATTGTTGGGGGTGCGAACTATGACACACTGCGACCAGCTTTGAGCGAAGTAGCAGGAAACGCCTTGTGCCACCAAGACGAACCACCAAGCTCTGTGGCGGAGGGAGGGTCGAGGATTAAGAAACGGCTCGAAAAACGACCTGCAAAGGACTTGACGCAAACGACATTGAGTCTTTCTGTTCATAAAGAGCCGGGTTTCACCATGTGCAGTGTCTGCGACATTCTGTATAACCCCTTGAACGAAAAAGACAGGAAAGAGCACAACCGTCGACACGCCGCCTTCTCTCGAAACAAAAAGCGGCGGGCCCTATGATGATTTTGATTGATGTCAAAAACGGCTTTGGAGTGTGTTCTACGATTTCCGGAAGCAGTGGAGATGCAATGATCGACCGATGTGTTGGAGCCTTTGAGAGAAGGGTTGGCGGTACCATGACATCATGATGCCCCTTACAGGCTTGCGCTCTGGAATAGCCCGCCCTATAAGCCGATTCCAAATTATGTTGACCTTGAAATCGAACTCGGTTCAATACACTCGATTGTTGTCAACCTCTTTGGACATTCGGGCTTTCAGCAATTATCCCACTCAGCAATTATCCCACATCGAGTCGGCACTCTACCTGTCAAGCAAGATGGTACACCAACACGGCGACCATGCCGAGATCCCGGACAAGGATCGAGTCAATAGGTAGGTACAGTTTCTGGAGTGATGCTGAACGAGGTGAAAACGCTAACAACTTTCTTTAGACCCGGGGCGTGGCTGCCCGCCGACAATCGTGTTCACCGTGAGTGGTTGGATCGGACAATTGACCACATCGATCAGCATGGAGAGAAGGAGCTCATCCCCGTGCTGCGCGAGTTCAAACAATTGATCGAGGAGAACCCCCGTATCTACATGTACTTCACCGAGATGTGGGATGAGATCCCAAACAAGGCGCCTTATCAGAACGACCCTACGGGAGAATCTCAGATCCGGGATTACCGCCACATGCTGCAAGTCCTGAATCATGTGTTCGGGAGGGCCCCTGAGTGGTAGGTCGCTTCACCGGCCACCGGCCATTTTCTTACATATTACGCAGAGGCTGAGTGGTATCATTCTAGGACGGATGCGGCTGCCAGCGTAGGCATGGTCGGGGTGCCCATGGCCGCCATCTTCGACTATGCCATGGGTACCCCGAGCGGTCACGCCGCCTTCTTGGACCCTGATGTAAATCGCATGTTGAAGAAGATCCTCAACGAATGGGGCAAGTACCTGAAGGTAACCTTTGATCCTTTCATTCCCCGCTGAAGCATTACACTCTCGGTGTGTGTTTCTGACATGTGTTCAGTCTCCCGAGTCTGCAGAAGTACTTCGCGATCACCAAGCCGGTTGGTTTGGCGAGGTGGGTTACAAGGACCTCATGCAGGTAGCCAACGGACCAAATGGTACGTCGTTCAAATTCGAAGAAATGTACAAGTGCGAGCCGTCGCAGAAGCACTTTGGGTTCAAGTCATGGGACGGTAAGCTGTCAGCCCTACAGGGCCCCTACCCACACGCTGCCGCGTTGCTGACAGGGAGCCCTCAGATTTCTTCACCCGCAAGGTCCAGGAATCGGCACGGCCGGTGGCCGCCCCCGACGACGATAACATCATCGCGAACCCGTGCGAGTCCAAGGTGTTCAACGTGACGCGCAACGCCAAGCTGCGCGACAAGTTCTGGGTCAAAGGCCAACCATACTCGGTGATCGACATGCTGGGCAACGACCCGCTGTCTACACAGTTTGCGGGCGCGACCGTGTACCAGGCGTTCCTGTCGGCGCTGTCGTACCACCGGTGGCACGCGCCCGTGTCGGGCACGGTCAAGCGCTGCTTTGTGCGCGACGGTACCTACTTCAGCGAGCCGCTGTTCGAGTCGTCGGCCGAGGGCGGCGACATCGATAGGGGCGGCATCACCGTCGCCCAGGGCTACCTCTCTGCCCTGGCCACCCGCGCGATCATCTTCTTCGAGGCCGACAACCCGGCACTCGGCCTGGTGGCGTTTATCGGGATCGGCATGGACGAGGTCAGCACATGTGAGATCACGGTGCGCGAGGGGCAGCGCGTCAAGAAGGGCGACGAGATTGGCATGTTCCACTTTGGCGGCTCGTCCTTCTGCCTACTGTTTCGTGAAGGGGTCCCCCTGGGCGGGTTTCCTGAGGTCGGGAGGAAGGATAACGTGCCGGTGCGAGGTCCGCTCGCGGTTGTCGGGTCCTCGTGAGGTGGCGAGAGCCGCGGTTGTCCGCCTTCCTCTTTTTCTCTCTCACACACACACACTCTCTCTCAGGTTCTCCGACGCTTGTGTAACGTGAATGAAGTATGGGCAGATTTTATAGGATAGATTGGCGAGTAGTTTTCCGCTTATGGTGGGAGCAACAGGCCCAGAAACTTGTCGCAGTTTTGCATGCATGGAAGCCAAGGTTTCGTTTCTCCGTCTTGCACATTGGTATTCGATTGCACATTGGTATTCGATATATCGCCGGATTCCTCCCACAACAGCCCCAATGAATTACGACGCTCGTCTCCTTTCGGCGACCTTGGCAGCGCCATGTGGACGTCGTGCAACCGCAGCCTACCCTTGCAGTGTGTGGTTTGCGTCTGTCACACGAGCAGCGACGTTGGTGCCGACCCTTGCTTCACATCGTCCGGGCTACACTAGTGTCAGAAAAGGGGGGGTTGCTTTTCTCGTCGGAAGGATCTGGAAAAGCAAAAAGGGTCGCGCATCCGGGTTAGCCATGCCGGAGAACAAAACCTTGAACTACCGGTGTGACAAAGCTCGAGGTGAGTGCTCGCAGCGCCTGAGGCTTGTATCGACCATGGCTCATTGGCCTCGACCCCGCCGTGGCGTCTGGCCGTCACCGACGAGGCCAGCCGTTTCTGTCTCCCTGCTTCAATGCGAGGCGGTTCTCAGGTCCACCATGGCAAGACATGGGGTTCGGCGGGGTTTCGCCTGAAAGGGGATGATGGGAAGAAAGCCAATTCCAACAAATTCCAAGAATACCAGCGAGGCGGTAAGCATGCCTGCCACTCACCGTGCGTCAGAGGAGGCTGCGGCCAAGAGATGGGCGGTCCGGGTGACCTGTCGCCCTACCTGGGCCGGGGCTGCGTGAGTCGGTGTGCCTCAGCCGCTCGATCAAGGGTGTGAGATGAGATGAGATACTACTTGATCTTTTGAGAGAATCGCAGAATGTACGTGTAGAGAAATCCCCGACGTTTCTCTCGGCATGTCCCACCTCACCGCAGACCGGTTTCACAGTCCCACACACCCACTTCGTAGCTTTTTGGTTTGACGGGCCCGGAAAGTCGGTCGAGGTGTCACGCAGCTCCTTCTTCCAGAGAGTTGACGATTTCATTATGTAGGTATTTACGGCATGAAAAACTTTGAAAACTTACACGGTTGGGAATTGGCAATCTTCAATCCCGGAATCAGTTCACACTTGAAGCAACACATCAACAAACTCCGAAGGCTGCCGCATGCGAAGAGTGCGGGGTAGTGTTTGAATGAAACCCCCTCCCCACGCTGCTGCCATCTTTTCACTTCTCGTTAACTAGTCGTTTTCAGTTCCCGTTAGAGACAATCAACAAGCGGACGGATGGGTCCAAGAAGTGCGGTGATCACCGTTTCCCACCACACACGAAACAATCTCGTCTCGCAGAGCACCTCGCTTTGGGGAGGTGGGGCATTGTGCCGAGACTCTTAGCCTCTTTCACGGACTCTCCAGGACTGCGGGGAAGGTTGAGATCTTAGCTGGATGTCGTCATAGGTTGGCGCCCCGCCTTTCCCAAAGTTTCAAGAACGCGAATTTTTATGTTGTCTCTTGACGCCCAAGCAACTTAGGAGGCTGGCCCGAGTCTCAACGGGCCCCTATACGATACCTCCTCTCTCAGTCTTCCGAAGTCAGAAAATATGTCCCCCCGCTGTTATTTCGATATGTGCCTACCTACCAAGGTAGTAGGTACCTGGGTCTGAGCCGTTGCTTGACTGAAGACTTGTGTGTTTCCCTTGTGTGCTTGTAACATGGAAGGGAACATTACGACAAGATTCCTACGCTGGCAGAGTTGAATTGTGTCAACTTCCGAGTTCGGGGCGGGACTTTGACGTCGACGACTCAAATGCAACCTGCCATCGGGACTTGGTAGCCAATGTGCGGTATTGCGCGGCCTGCTTCGGCTACTGACTGATTGGGAAATAAAGTGCTCAGTTTTGATGTATCATCTTTCATATGCACAACCTCGAGGGCTGCAGCGTGGGGGGGAGCCGGACTTGTCGAGTCCTACACAGCAGTTGCCAGAGTCGTAGTGAGCAAACAAATGCGGAGAAACAGGCAGACGGGAATAACCAAGACTGACGCGTCCAAATAGTAATGCTCCGAAACAACAGACACCAGTGGTGTTTCTTGTGCCAGTGAAGCGAAGATTACACATTGTCAGTCTATCTCTGAGTGAATGAGAGCCGAGCTCACACAGATAGTGAGACTGAACACCCAGCTTTTACGCATGAGGTTGACTGAGCAGTCGTTTTGAGCCATTCATTAACGAGCGTGTCGGATGATCGGCATGCAGCACACATGCCCCTCGACGGGGACCCTACATCACATGTAAAGCATCTCGATCAAGTCAGCATGAGAACATTCCTGCGCGGCGGAATACCAATGACTGGGACGATGAGGCAGGCTCGGTCTTCCAGATGGTGTGAGCTGCGAGCGTTGGGCACACATGCACCCCACACGATGAGTGCCTCATTCATTCGCTGCGCGGAGCAACGCGCAGCCCCGACAGTGCAGGTCTGAGATGAGAGATCAGGTTGCAATGGGGCAGGGCCCGCCAATTTCCCAACATGTCCAACAGGCCTGCCCCGCACCCAGTGCCACTGCCAATGCCTGCCCAACAGCCACAGCTCCCGAGAGAAGCCCGGTGCCGAGCAAGATTGGTGGCACAGCATGCGCGTCGGCCGCTGCCAGAGGCCAAGGCTTGCCGAGCACTGGCCGTCGAGGTCGGATGAGGCTCACTGGGGTGTGCCTCACCCCAGAGAATGGATGTCCTTCCTCTGGTATACGTACCGAAGCCACGAGTCGAAGCCGCCTCCGGGCGGGAGGCACGACAGAAGATGCGCGCCAGTCGCTGGCGATCCGTGTCAAGGTGCAAGAGATGTGCACGGGGAGACCCGAGCCGGGCGGTCCTATGTGGCCATGTTTGCCCTCGTTCGTCGAGAGCTGCTTGCCCCGGGCTTGTCTGGTGGTCTGCTCCCTTTTCAGCTGGGTACATATGCATGAAGGGATCGGGCTACTTCCCACATGTGCGAAGAGGAGACCTTGAAAGCCCGTTATGGTGCTATCACGAAGCATTGTGCAAGAAGTCACCGGAAATTGTGCTCTCGGCGTCTTGAAGCCCGCCACGCGTTTTTCCTGAAGAGGGCGTCCCCCCTCTTTATTAGGTTAGGATAGGATTGCCGAGTTGACTGACGATCGAAGGTTGAAAAGGTGCCTGGCCGATGGTCTGAAACATGCGATGCTCAAACGAACGAACGGCTTCGCACGATGCGGCAGACGGGGTCGGCGGCAGCTCCCCGTCCACACTGGGTACCTTGTTGGTGTTAGACTGTCGTTGACTGAAACATGGGTCGGACGAATCATGAGGGACGCAGGGATACCCGCAGCATTCGTATGTACTGTAACTATGCACAGATTACAGATTACCAGCAACAAGCAGCGACAAGCAGCAAAAAAACAAGCGTGCAGGTCACTTGCAGAGTTGCAGGGCAATCTTGTCGATCAAAGATGGGACGTAGAATCGTCAAAAAAGTCCCGGGGCGGGGCTGCCAAGCGCTGAAAGACTCTCGCTCATGTCTCGCTCCCTCGCTCCCTCGCTCGCTCCTCCCTCCCACTGTGGCCCGCCAGCCCGCCCATGCTTTGGAAAGAGCACCACTCCAGTGGAGGTCCCCACATCTCCCGCTTTCCATTTCTGGTTCTTTTGGTCAAATTTCCGCCCCTCTCCGCGCCATCCCGCGTCGCCGACGCGCCTCCTCAACCCCATTCTTCCATTCTTGCGAGGACTGATTGGAGACAAGACTCGGGAGGAAAATGAGATTGTCAATTCTCTCTTTCCAACGTAAAGGTTTGTTTTGTCCCGCTCTCAACCCCATGCAGGATCAAATAACGACCGCTTAACGCTAGAGGGAGCTACCAATGAAAGATTTCTTCTAAGGTTGTTTTCTCGTCGTTGAAACTCAAACGATGAATAACTAACTCTCACCCCTACTTGGTGCACAGTCGGCTCTCAGAAGCCAGAGAGGGGAGGGGAATGGATGGAATGTCGGATGCCCCCCATGCCCTGAGACGGGACGATGGCACTGTGGAGAAGCCGAGCTGGGACCCATGCAGCAGCGCCTCCATGCAAGAGACCCTGGTTCTGCCGCCGAACATGGACTAGGGCGTGGGCGGCATCGCTGCTCTCCTCTCTCGCGCTCCCTCTCTCACGACCCCAGCCCACCCCAGCGAAGCGCCGGCCATTCACATCCTCCTTGCGTACCACCTTGCTTGGCCTCAGACGAAGCCCCCTCTGCGACGGTCGATAGTCCCTCTGGTTGCCTCGAGACGGGCTGTCCGTTCATGTGAAGAAACGAACGAACGAACGAACAAATAACTAACCACAGGTTGCAAATCGCCGAGGGCTGGGGGGCATGTGCTCGCTGCTGTCTTTCCCTTGTCTCACTTCTTACCTCTAACCTCGTCCTATTTCGTCTTGTCTCTCTCTGCATGCGCCATCCGTAGCCCTCTGCCCAGCTCCCGAGATATCTGATCGGCGAGCCAACCAGACTCGGCGCCGCCCGGCCCCAAAGCGGCTCTCCCACACCTCTCCCCGCCCTGCGCGCTTTCTGCCATTCGCCTTAAGACCCTAGGGCCCTCTCCAACCGGAGCTGCCCATTTCCATCCCGGCCGCTGTGTTGGCATGGTCTCGTTATTGACGAGCCATGGACTGCCCTCTTCCCGTCGTGCAAGGCGGCGGGGACTTACGATGGTCGGATAGCCACAGCATGGACTCCGAGGAAGCCCAGTCTGTCGCCATGCCCTCGCCGTGGTTGGGCTCCTTCTCGAGGGGCTCCACCTCAGTCTCAGTATCCTCCTCCGCCGTGGGGTTCGCCCACACGGGCCAGCTCTCGCCCATCAGCAACGGCGTGGACCGACCCCGTGGACCCGTCCACAGCTCCGCCGGCAGCCTCGCATCCCCGTCTCAGTCGCCCCCGGTGACGGCCGAGCCTCTCTCGGCATCGTCGTCCGTCCGCCCCGACGCTCCCTGGCCGCTGGCCTACACTACACAAGAACACATCTCCGAGTTCCCCCGCGCCCTCGACAGCAATGGCGCCCTCCACCGCGAGCCCTCCTGGGAAGAGGGCTCGGACGGGATCTTGACGGTCCCCAAGTTAGAACCTCTGGATGACGAAGACTTTTGCATGGACGACTTCCAGGAGGCCCCCTCCCCCCCTACTCCCACTCTCCCCTGCCACTCGCAAGGAGGCCTAGATCAGCCGAAGCCCAAGAGACCTAGAGGGCGGCCACGGAAACATCCCCTCATACCAAGCATTACCGCAAACAAGATCACCAAAGGCCGGTCCAAGACAGGATGTCTGACGTGCCGGAAGCGAAAGAAGAAGTGCGATGAAGCGAAACCGCGATGTAAGATAGGATCGGAGCGGGCGGTCCCCCCCTTCCGCAAGATGGTGCTGACCACTGCCACAGGTATGAATTGCGAGAAGAATGCAGTCGTTTGCGAAGGCTATCCGGAGAAGCAAATCTGGAAGAGCGGCAAGGAGAGGGCTGAGGAGGGTACGGCAGAACCACTAGTTTTCCGCTATTCAACCTCTCTAACCCCGAACACAGAACGCAGCAAATATCGCAGCTTCCCCTCCATCACCATGCGCCCCCTTTTCCACGGCCTAGAGACCGTCGAAGACAGGATATTCTGGAAGCATTATAACGAACACCTCAGCGCCGTGCTCACAGTTGAAGGAGAGCACAAGAACGCCTTCAAAGACATGATGATCCCCATCGCGGTGAAGCACCAGGGCCTCATGCACTCCATCCTGTCTTTGGCCAGCAAGCACATCGACTTCAGCACTCCGTATGGGCTCAATGTCTTGAGGAACAACCCCAGCACAAACACGGTGGCATTGAAAGAACGCTCCCTTTTTCACCACGACCAAGCCCGGCTCAAGTTCTACCATGACATCAAGTTCACGAACTCCACACCGGAAACGGACGACAAGACCGTGGCCGCAGCCCGGTACGGCCAAATGCTCTGCTTCCTACTCGAAGCGCTAGTCGAGGGTAGTCCACGCGGTGAGCACAGGATCCATCTTGCCGTGTATCGCAACCTGGTTTCAACCTCGCCACCGGACGACTCTGCCTTCATGTCCTTCATCGCCGAGATCTTCCAGTATCATATCTTCGCCGACGAACTTATCCACTCCGCTCACCAGGATACCTCTTCAGCCGAGCCTCTCCCACCAATTCCAGCCATGCACCAACCTAGGTTACTCGGCGTGGCCGACGGCCTTTTGGGCTACCTATCACAGATTACAGCTATTCGGAATAGGATTAGGAGCAGGCTAATGGCACAAACGGACCTTGCCGTAGATTACGAAGATCTTTATTCCGCCGCCGACATCTACGGTGCCTTCCAGGAATGGACCCCTCATTGGCCACCCGGAGACAACCGCGACCAAGTCAGCCTCTTATACAAGCAGATGCTGTGGATTTATCTCAATCGGACCGTCCACCTACCGTCGTCGCCAGCGTCGTCGTCATTAGCATCCTCTGCGGCGTCCCTCTCGTTCATCCACAGCTCACCCTCCCAAGGCCGGCCCCCGCCCTCGGTGGTAAACACTCCTCCCCAGTCTGCGTCGACAAGCTGTGCCTCCTCCCCGAAATTTTCTGCCTACGGTACCAGCCATAGGACTAGCCGACCGGACTCGCGCTTGACCACGTCATCCCGCCCCCAATACGGCAACCGTGATACCGGAGAAACCGCGGCAGCGGGCGGCAACCGAGCCGAATCCCCTCCGCCTGCCCGGCGACCACCCAACCTCGACCCGGCCCTCTCCCTCGCCGTCGAGGAGTCGCTGGCCCTCTTAGAATCGTTCAAATCCAGCGATTCCTGCCAGACCTTGCTCCTTCTGCCGTGCTTCCTAGTGGGGACTGCCTGCTTCAGTCCCACTCAACAAAAGCGCGTGCGCGCCGCCATCAAAACCGTGCGCGGCTACACGGGGCTTCGAAATGCGGACCGCGTCGTCGAGCTCCTCGAGGAGATCTGGCGGCTTATGGAAGCGGGCGACTGGGTCGCTGCCTGGGACTGGCCTGGCGTTGCGGACAGGCTCGAGTTAGACTTCATCCCCGCTTAACTCAGACCCGCTGAACTCAAAACCGGGGGATCCAGACCCCATTACCTACTTTTCTCACCATGATGGGATAGCTGCTTGCAGCTTTTGTCTCTTGTGCGGCCCTCATCGCAAAACCCAAGAACAGTTCTCTCAAGTCTTGGGCCTCTGTCTCTACGTACAGGATGTCGTTCTACAGGGCCAGTACACGCTTCGGCCCTTGTACTTGTAATCAGGACACTCGTTGTCTTACCTGCTTCTTACTGTCTTTTTCGGCGATTGTATCATTTTGGGAACTATGGCATGGGGTACGGGGTTTCACAGTTAAGGATTTTGGAATGCAGGAGTCATCATCCAGTCACCCGTTTCAGGAAGGGCGTGGGGTTAACAAACAGCATGCAGTTTTTTGGAGTCAGGATATTTTCGAAGGGATCGGGAATTCGGGCATACGGACACGATACTGAACAGGACTACAGGACGCAACGAAAGAGGGTAGGGTGAAACCGGCGAAACAGAAAGGGGATTGAACATGACGGATGGCGTTTGTTCTGGGGAACGGGAGAGACTTGTTTCTTGCTTATAACTCGGGAATAAATGATTGACGAATGGGATCTTGGCCCCTGGCAAGTTCTTCACATTTTTTTCTGCTGCGCTTTGCATGGTGCTCTCAATGGGACTGTGATTTGCGCCGGCATGGTAGCGTGATGCGCCTTCCAGCATTTGGTGCTTTTCTCGATCTCCTGTTCCGCTTTCTTCAGCCTGTTGTGAAAAAAAAAAAAAAAAAAAAAAAAAGGAAGAAGAAGAAGAAGAAAAGAAGAAGAAAAGGGGAAAGAAAGGGGGGAAGGAACTTAAAAATCAAGCCGGAGAAAAAAAAAGAAATCGAGCAAAACGAATTTAAATCAAAATATGAGCAACCAGAGAGTCTGCCCATGGTGTAACCCTCAACATCCGCACTCAATGCTTGAGATTTTGGTTGTTTTCTGATACCTCCACCCCTCGACATATGCCCCAACCTCTCACCTCGCCGTAACGAAACTCATCCTCATCGACATATCATATCAATTGTACATACATGTATCTTACGAGAATTACACTATCCAACTCTTTCCAATCAGTCCTTACCACCCCCATCTCCATCCCCATCTTCCTTTTCCTGCAGTGTCACGTCAATGCCGCCCGGCACCTTCCGTATCCCGTACTTTCCGCCGAGAACTAGATCCTTCGCGACCAATTCCCTCGTACGTCCGAGGCTCTCAATGGCGGCGATACGGTCGATGGTGCCTTGGAGGTGCTCCCGGAAGCCCGGCTGGGCTACGATCTCCTGGAAGGCGAGGTGCATGGGCACGGAGCTGGCGCGGACTTGGGCGTCGCTGGTGATGCTGAAGAGGTTCAAGCGGTCGAAGGCGCGCACAAAGTCGACGCGCGTCATGATCTCCTGGGCCTTGTAGAGGGGGTACGACGGGAGCACGTGGCCTACTACGGGGTCATACGTGGTCTCCATCTCTTTCTCCTTGTCTACAAGGGCGGTAGCGAGGACAACGGCCGCCGCCTGAGGAGTATGGTTAGCACGATGTAAGAGGGATGGGGTGCTGGGCACATGAAGGCGGCGGTGAGGGCTAGGGGTGGAGGATGGGATGACTTACCGCCCACTTCTGCTGGTCCATCACATCGTCGTCCATCTCCTCGCCAAGGATCCAGCATTGGTTCAAAAACCAGGTTTTTTCCAACTCTTTAATCTTGTCACAGGCCAAGAGCATGTCGTCGCTCTTTGCGACGCGGTTCAAGAAGTTCAATCGCCCGCCGACGCGGTCATAGACTTGCTCGAGGATCTCAGAACTTGGGTGCTCATTGAAGTACCGCTGACGGTAGTTCTTGAGAGCGGCCGTCGCCTGCGTCTTAGGCAGGTCTAGAATCGTGAGGACATCCATCCGCGTCGCCAATTGCTTTAGCCGTTCATAGACCCAGTAGTCGTCGCTGTTGAAGACCATCGTCACGAGGTTTGAGGCCGCCCATTGCTCGGCTCGTTGTTGCAATAGTTCAATCAGGTCCTTGCCATCGTCGTCATCCCGGATCAGGTGCATTTGGTTGATGATGACCACCAGCGGTGCCTTAACCTTGGCCCGCCTCCGGAGGGCCACCTTTTCAAGTTTGTTGAGGGCGCGTTCAATATCGAGAAGGGCGGTGGTATCCCTCGGGCCGCGCTCGCTGAAGTAACCGCCAATGTAATCCTCGTGAAACTCATAGTCCAGGGCCTTGCCTAGGCGAATCCTGAAGATCTCGAGGTCGGCGTGCGCCTCAAACATGGCCACGCCGTCGCCGTCGATCTTGCGCATCGCTTCCAGGAGCATGCTGCTCTTGCCGGTGCCCTTCTCGCCGATGAATAGATGATAGTGACCTTTACTGCGGCCGGCAACAATGTCGTCCACAATGGGCTGCTCGGGCCTCTCCACCCAGTGGGTGGCCGCGGCGGTGTGCGCCAGCGGAAGATCCTTCCCTATCGCCGCAAGCTCGAGGACGGGGTCGCCAGGTTCGAAGGCGTTGGACATTTTGTGGAGCACCATGTACTTGTATGACTTGTGGTAAGCATACGCCGCCAAGCCAAAACCGGCTCCCAAGACGAGTATCGAGGCGAACGAGGTGGCAGCGGCCTCCACCATTTTGAAAAAGATAGAAGCGTTGGCATCCTGGTCTGGAGGCGGCGGTGGCGGCGGTGGTGGTGGTGGCGGTGGGCGAGTATGTGATTCTGATATTGATATTAGCGACCTAGTACGAAATAATACCAAATCCGGCAATGAGAGGAAGAGAAAGAGGGTCGTTCTTGGTTGGAGCCCGGATCATGGCCGCAGGGCCGTGAAAACATGTGACCATCCAAGGCTGAAACCAGCTGCATGATTGGTTACACAAGGTGCTGACCGTGTTGCCATTGGCTTAACCAGCCCTAAGGAACACCCAAATCTGGGAGTTGGTCAAGTGGCCCGGTGGCGCAAACGGCAGAGGACTCCTGGGACCTGTTTGTTCGGGACTGTGGTGATGGCGAACGGGGCAGCAGAGGGGGTGGTGGAAGATGAAGGCACACGCACCGTGTGGTCGGGGAGGCTCGCTTGAGAAGGGCCTGCGACTTCCTAATCCCGCGCATGAAACCGTCGACTCCCTTGGGATGCCGATACGCTGGGTCCTCGCTGCCGTCAGCGCAAATCGACACCCTGCCCTTGCTGAGAACATGTTTCAGGAATCGAGAAGAAATAGAATAAACCAGAACAAAAAAAAGGATTATTCTGTCTGATGGAAATAAGAAAATAGAAAACCAATCGGGATATTCGAGTGAGCGACTTTAAAATGAAGGTGGGAAGCGAAGTAAAGAAAGTAAAGAGCGAGTGAAAACGGCGGACTCCGCGCCACGAGGATGAGAAAACGAGGTGTTGTGAGAGCGGCGTCGTTGGTTCCAGGCTATCCCTGGATAGCGCTGTGCACGGCAGCTGAAGCCCCTGGCCTGGCTAGGTCTTGGCAGGAACCGACCGCCTCCATCATCCCATCAGCTGTCGCGCAGTTGTTCACAGCTGTCATAGACCTCCCTCCTGCCAACCACGGTGAAATTGTCTCCTCTCTCTCAGAAGACTTAGTTTTTTTGTTGTTGGTTTTGGTGAAAGGCTTGTTTTTCCCTCGGTTTTTTCTGCTTCTTGTGTCTTCTAGCCTAACCATCATCTTTCTCAGGTTCCTTCCTTCTTTATTCTTCGCTTTCCTGCTTGTACTGGGAGCCCACCATCTTCAAAGTTCAACCACATTTGTGTGAAGGCGGGTCGTCAAACAGGAAGGCTATATTCATCTCTCAAGAAAATCAACAATGCAATCAAGTTATTGTATATCTTTGGAGACCTTGGAAGGGTTATCTGTAGACCCAGATAGAACTTGGCTGAGCAAAACCAGATCACCCATGTTTCTTCTTGAGATATGCTGAAGTTCCTGTCAATTCTCCTGTTGTATTTGTGGCGCATAGTTACAATCAATAGTTGCGATGCGGCTGCCTTGTGGGTGTTTGTTTGCCTCTATCAACCACTACAGTCTTCGGAGCTAACAACTTTGTTAACTTCCATTCTTACAACTTGGAGCAGCTAGTCCTACGCGGGCTTTTCTATCTGCGGCTGTGAGGTTAATTTGCCCTGTGTAAAGGCTAGAAACCTGAAATAACAATGGATGCTTGCATTATATACACAAGAGGTGTGAATGTTACAGGGGTCCACGGCAAAGAGCTTGACTTAAAGACACTGCGTTGCAGACATACAGATCCAATCCGAGCAACACACTGAGTTATGGCACTAAAGCACACATTTAGTCAAGATTCTATATAGCTACCTACAATCTTCGGTTAAGCTCCTCTGTTGGAAACCATGTGTTGTCTGAACAAGACGCGCTTCTGCTCCTGCCCCTGCCATTTCGTGTGATGGAATATTATACCGTCTGAACAAAACGCGCTCTTGCTCTTGCTCTTGCTCTTGCTCCTGCTCTTGACATTGCGTGCAATTACCATGGAAACTGTCTCCCGCACTGTCTGGTCCCTGGCGAGTCTCTTTCCAGAGCAAGCCCAACAACCCCGCGGTCAGCGATCTCACGATACTTCCTTTCCACCGATCGTCCGGATCCCCAGCTTTGGTCGTGCGCTGAAGAACCTTCTCGTCACTCTTCATTATAGACCTTGTCACATCTAGGACTTCCAGCTTTACCTCACTTTTCCAATTATAGTACAGGCACCAGGGACAGCGGTATGCCAAACTGACGGCATGTGTTTATCCGCTTCACTGCTGAATATGTGACCAGCGAAAAAGCTAACACCTATAGGTTAGACTTGTTATGGGAACATGAACCGAAAGGAACGGCGTCTCCCCCGGCTTACAGCAGAGGAATTAGCCAACCCCTGCACACGAATCTCACTTGATGGGGTTGAGGTGCAGCTGTGGCAAGTCGCGCACGTCTATGGAATCAGCCACGATATGCCCAGCCCAGATCTGAGAGGTGGTGCTTCTTCCCAGGATTTCCGGGCTTTGTACTCGACCACGACCCAGAATGACAGAGGAATCGCTTCCTCTAGTACTTCCACAGACACCCGTGCCAGCGATGTCACAGAACAGCGTCTGTTGCCCAGTTTGCCGGTGCTGCCATTGAACATCCCTACAAGACGAGAAGCACAGCGTTCAAAACGACGAGGCGATGGTCGACGAGGCGATGGTCGACGAGACCATGCTCGCCCTGACCCTGATACGAACGAACTCCTCCGCCTCATAGATGACTTTGCAGACACAAGTTGGCCTACTGAAGTGCAGCTTGAAGAACCACGGATTGAGACCACAGAACCAGCAGCGACATCCATCGGAAATGCACCAAAGCTCAAAGGGGTGATATGGGTGGATTGTTCCTTTCCTCCTCCCCCGTACCCTCCGCCCAATAGGTCTTTACCCCCACTGCCGCCACAGCCGGCTAGGAACAGACATTCCGGCCCGCAGCAGAGGCTGCGCTTGACCACGGGGCCAGTCGTGGCACCGGACACGGTACCGGCTACAGCACCCCGACTCCTGCCCCGAGCTGTTGATAAGTCGCTAGAGTATCCAGAGTCGGACCGTGATGACGACGCAGGATCAGAGCGAACCATCACGCCAAGAGCCTCTCAGAAGCAACTTGTACCCACGGCACGACCACAGCCACGGCCACAGCCACGGCCACGAGATGTGTCAATGCCCATCGGACAGGTGGCATCCAAATCGCCCGTGGTGGCCAGACCCGTGACAACCGCAAGAGCCGCATCGGCTTCGATTCTTCGGAATCGAGGCGAAGAGATTTATCGTCCCCGCCGCCAGGAGTTTGGGTCGACTGAAACTCGGCCAAAGGCGGCATCTCCGACCTTGCCGTATCCGCTTCCCGACTTGTTGTTGAATCCTCCGAGCTTCCTGCAGCATCCTCCCGATTTGTCCCAGCAGCCATATCTGAACCAACAGCCGGGTGCTACAGCGAGAGAAAGCCCGCAGCCGAATAAAGCCAAGTCTTCGTCAAATGTCGCGACTCCAGTGACTAGCCCGGTGGCGCCTACATCAGATGATGATGCAGCTGTCACATCCCGCTGGAGCTCCGATAGTGAGCAGGAGGCGGAGTCGAAGTTGAAGAAGCTGAAGAGAGCTCTCAGTTTCTCGAGATTGCGGCCTCGAAAGCCCAGTCTGTTCCAGAAGCAGACAGGGAGCGAAGCAAACAAATCGATGGCTTCCATTGGAGGAAAACACACTCCCGGCCCGTCGGGATCCCGCAGAGGCAGCAAGACTGGTAACTGACAGAGAGATCGGGAATTTGGGCCGCGTCCTTATGACTGTTGAATCTTGAAATCATGTACTTTCCCGTCGGGAACATGCTTGTTTTGGTGGCACTCGATGCTAAATTATTTACATCAAACGAACCAGATTCATGGCAAGGTTGCAGGGCTGAAAACAGCATACTGATATGTATCGATGTGAGCTTTACATAGGGGCATACTTCGGTTCATCTTAGGAACATGAGGGAAAAAAAAAATGGAAGTGAGACTCATTCTAGCTTCTTTTTTGTGATGTTTTGCCGAGTAACAGAATCAAGTCGAGCTCTCGGACATTATTAGTGGGGGGAAGTGGGGTCAAAGTGTCTCCACAATTCCTGCAGCGCGTGAACCTTCAATGCCTGCCAAAACCAAAAAAACGCCAAAATCCGCGTCTCCCCGCCTACCTCTCTCATTATCGCCTTGTTTGCGACGATTAGCCATCGTTGCCGCCACCTGCTTGCCTCAAATTCCGTCCCATTCCAAGCCATTCATTTACCGGTACACATTTCCGTTGTTGGCTAAATTTTTTAAAAAAAATGCACCATGGGAAATGAATCTAGTAGACCCGAGCTGCCTGATGGCAGGTCCCGATCGCTATCTCCACTTCCGCGCGACGACCAGCTATCTCCGGATAGCGCTGACGACTTACCGCCCCCTCCATCGACAATGCCTACATCGTTCAGAGTCACCGATAAAGGGCCGGGTCCTCCGGGCGCGCGGGGTTCGCTTGCTTGGCATCGGCGACGAAAACGGTCGTCTCGTGGTCTTTCTCCCGAGTCAACTCGCGCGACATCTTCCTCTCCTCCCCCCGAAGACCGAATCATAAACGGCAGTCAACCCACCCGGCCGGCCCGCGTGGTGTCTCCAGAACAAGTTCCCCGACCGGCAACCCAGCCCACGTCGTCAACTCGCAAGCGCGGCCGGGAGACTTTTTCCGAGAAGAAGCGGAGGGAGCTCAAAGAGGCTGCCGCAGCTGCACACGTTATAATCGACAAAAGAGAAGCCGAAATCGAAGAGTTCAACAAGCGCATGGGCCGTTCTGTCGCGCTTTCCCCATTTCTCCGAGAAAATGCAGACCAGCCGCTCGACGAGTTTGGGTTCGCAAGTGATGCAGAGGAGGCCGCACCTCCACAGACTCTCTCGGCGGCTAGGTTGAGCAACAAGAGCAAGAGAAAGGGCAAAGAGGCCATCAGAGATGTCATACAGGAAGAAGCTGCGGCCGTTACCGACGACTCAATAATCGATGACGACCCCCCACCGAGCACACTGCCACAAGGAAAGCGCGGTCGGCGTGATAGTAATTCCAAATCGCGTGAAAAACGGAAGTCGCGGGTGTCGAAGGGGAGCTTGGACGATGCGATGGAGGTGGGGGCGACAGAAGAGCACCTCAACCAATCAACATCGATCCATGCTGACGAGAGCGTTCGGCCCGATGATATTGCCGCTGCAAACCAGGAAAATGAAAATGGACATTCCGGAACGACGACGCGCTTAATGCCCAACAAATATCAATCCGACGACAGTGTATCTCCCGAACCATCAAGAGCGTCAGCGACCGACTCCCACGGCTCCCACTCTGACCGTGGATACGCCAAACCGGGTGGGCAGGGGCCGTTGGTGCCCAAGCCTGGGATGGGCATGGACGGCACGAATGGCTCACCTCATTCTGAGGACGACCACCATTCTACAACGGGTGACGAAGCAAGCGAAGAGGGCGATGATAGAGTGTCGGTGGTTTCCGCACCCGATGGCTCCCTTGTCGCGTCTGACTCAGACAACCAGAATAATGCAAGCGCTCCTCTTTCGCCTGTCGCCTCCGATACAGGCAGCGATGCAGAAGAAAGTAGTCCCCCCCTACCGCGCAACCGGGAGTCGGTTTCGCCGCCTCCCGGCTCGTCCGTCAAGAGTTCCCGTCATAGCGCCAAGAGGCAGGCAAAGCTGCCCTTTTTCTCTCGCCAGCAGGAAGACAACGTGCAAGCTTTTGCCGAACTTCCACACGAGAACGCCGCATCCCCGTCCCAACTAAGGCGTTCAACAAGGCGCCGGCCAGCTCCACGTGTGGAGGTCGACGCTGTCGCAGAGGTTTCGGATGGGCAGAATTCGGATGGGCAGACCAACAACATAGGGGCATCGCAGTACCGGACCGGTCCTCTTTCCTCCTCCGAGCGGGATCGGGTCACTAGGGCGGTCGAGCGCTTCCGGGAAGACGAGGGTTTGACGCAGGAAGAGATCAACCAAGTGATTCACGACAATCCCCAGACAAGTAACCGGCCGATTCACCGCCAACTATGGGCTACGATCCAGGATGCCTGCCCGTTTCGCACCCGAAGGAAGCTTATCAGTTGGTGTCGGCAACATTTTCACAACTGGGCCGGCCGGGGCACCTGGACCCAAGCACAGGACGATGAGTTGGCAGATCTGATAGAGATTCATGGGAAGAAGTGGAGTCACATCGCAGGCCTCATAAACCGCTACCCAGGAGATGTACGTGACCGATGGAGGAACTACTTGGTTTGTCGCGAGGTTGTCAAGACCGATGTATGGTCCGAGGGCGAAGAAGAACGGTTCCGCGAGTTGGTGGAAAATTCTATCGATAAGATCCGCCAACAAAGTGGGGAGCACAGCAACAAAGCTCCCGACGAGCTCCTCAACTGGCTCCACATAAGCGAAGCAATGGGCCACACCAGATCGCGTTTGCAGTGCATCCAGAAATGGAAGAGGATGTGCGAAGCTGCGCCACTGGCCGACAACGTTCCCACGGTACTGCCCCCAGGTAGATCGTGGCGATTGGAGAAGGCTCGCGAGGAGTTGCGCAGGATTACGGCAGAAGACAAGTACCGTTTAATGTGTGCGGTTCGCGACTTGGGTGTCGGGACAGACACGAAGATCAACTGGAAGCAGATTGTCAATGGCACGTTTCGCAAACGGTACGAGCGCCAGGCTCTTGTGGTTACATGGGGACGGTTACGGAAGGCTGTGCCTGATTGGCAGTGGAAGGCGACTCGCGATTGCGCTCGGTACCTCTGCGAAATGTACGAGCGTGAGGGTAATTTTGGCTCTGTCGACGAGGCCGAAGGCGAGAACGACGCAATCGCTCCCACCAACAAACATCGGAAAGGCAAAAAAAAGTCTCACCGTCTAGCGCCGGCGGATGACTCGGCCCCAGAGTCACAGGAACAAACCCCGGCCGAGATGGAGTCCAACAGCGACGCGCAGTTATCACCTGTGGCGGACGACGAGAACAACTTTGCGTCTGCGGAACCTCGTCGAAAGAGTGGTAAGAAGCGGCGCGAGGCAAAGAGCGACACACCACCCTCCCAAAACGAAGACGTTGAGATGGAGGATTCAATGCATGCAGCGTCGCGTACCAAATCTACCAAATCTACCAAGAACAGGCCGCGTTCTGAGGATGAGCAGAACCACCAACTCGACACCGTCCGGCGGGAGTCGTCGCCAAGTGTGGGCGCTCATGCGGCTCGAACGAGAAGACGGGAGAGGAGAGAGAGTATGACGGAGGACACAGGCACTAAGGAAAAGAGGAAGGGACTTTTATCGCCTGCGTCCAAGGCCACCCTCTCCAAGCCTGCGAAGAGGCCGCGTCGCGATTCTTTGCCGAACGGTGGCGCGGAGGACCTCGGATCCAAGAAGCGGAAGATGATGAGTTTGCAGGCAATGGCAAAAACCAACAGCGCGTCGAAAAGCAATGGGAAGTCTTGGAGTGTGGTCAGCAGCGATATGGAGGATATGGAGGATATACCCGCGACATTGCCTTGAGAGTTGCGCACGGGTCTGGGAAACCGTCGTCTTGCATTGCTAGAGACTCTCGTCATGTTGAGTGTATTGTGAAGATCGGGAAGAAGCAGGCGCTGACGAGTATATTTTATGACTAATGCTGTGACCGCGGGAGGTTATCATCGCTGTAAATAATATGTTGCCGAACCGTTGATTGCTCTATAATATCCCGAATTGACCAGAATCCTAGCGATGAATGTAGGAACTGATCCGAATGATACATGATTGAGGTTCTAGGGGATGCAAACACGCTGCAGCAGCCTCTGTGAACCTGAGCTACCTAATAATACACCAGTAAACGCCAGTCACGCTACCTATACGACGAACCCTCGCAAAAGACCCGCAACCGTAACCCCCATGACACAGCCAGTCGTTTTGTGTCTTCCCAACCTCGGCCCAGAACTCAAGCCCAAACACTGATGGAAACACACGACGAGGTATTAGACATGTGACATGTGAACAAAAGAAACAACTCAACAAGACTCAGAAGAGGACGACCGGTCGGATGAGACACTCAAGCCTGTCGTTCTTCAAAATAGAATTTCCCCAGCCTTTCCCCTGCTCTAGGACTCCCCAAGGCCGCGTTTCCCAATCCTACCCTCGCCCTGGTCGAGTCTCTCCCGAACGATGCGTTCTGCCGCTTCGCGGGGTGACGTCGGTGCGGTGGGTTCGAGGTGGCGCAATTGCGAGGTGGCATGTGGATGGTGAGGCGCGCCATGGCGCCGTCTTCTCTCCTGCGCTGGGTTGGCAGTAGCCGGCGCAGCTGTAGTGGCCGGGGTTGTGGGCTGTACGGGCAAGGGGCCACGCGTTGTCGTGTCGACAAAAACGTCGCCCGCGGTTCCTGACGACGCGGCAGAAACCGGCGGGTCGGTGTTGTCGAGCGTTACACCGTCCATCATACGGGCCTCCCGCCTTTCTCGCACCGCTGACTGGCTGACGGGAGTATCGCTGCCTGTATCACGCTCTGTGGGGGCCCGTACTGCAAAGTCTCGACGGCCGCTGCCGCTGCCGGTATGGTGAGGGTTAGGTGATGCCATGGCGGTCTCGCTGAGACCCGAGCTGCTCCTTTCCAGGCCCCAGTTTGGGGCCGGCCCGGTTCCAGAAGCGCCGCTATTTTGCCAGGGAAGAGGTCGGCGATGATATATGGGTCCCGAGAGGGTGCTGCCGGCGCCCTCGCCGAAGCCGACTAGGCTGGCGTTGCCGTCGTCGGACATGCGGTCCTCGTACCCGCCCACGCTGCGCGACGTCAGGTTGTCCAGGTCCTCGTCCATGGCGTCGTTGTCGCCTCCCATGTAGCCGCTTGCGCTGACCGAGTCCATCTCGGTCAACATGTCCTCATCACGGTCTTCCCCGAGTGTAGAGTTGTCGTCGCCCACCTCGGTAGTGGTGTTGGTACGCCCGCCGACGCTTTCGGTTGCGCTCGCTGAGCCGACGGTGCTCACTTTTGTGGCGGCGACTGGCTGTCCAGCCGCGTTGAAGTAGGCTGGTGAAAGCCCCGCGGCGGTGGCAGCGGAAATGGCGTTGGCATTGAACCCCGCTAATGTCGGTGTTGTCTGGAAGGCATTGTCGTTGTATTGCGCAAGTCCTGGGGGTGGACCTCGAAGTGTCGAGACACTAGACAAGCCTGTGAGCCTACTGATCCGATCGGCCCGTTCGGCTTCGAGGCTGTTCGCTGAGGGGCTGTGTTGGTGACCACGGTGATGGAGGGCACCACGATGGCCATCCTTGATAGCAGTGGTCGATAAGGCAGATAAGGAAGTGGTCGTGCTCGTTGGGGTGCCGCTGGTTGCAACAGGCATGGTCAGCAAAGCGGCTTGGTATTTCCCAGCTGCATTGGCAGGTACGAGACCTACGGTATCTCAGAAGGCGTGTCGGGACGCGACGGCGGTGGTGGAAGATTGATTAGGGTTGGTTGCGATGGTTGTGATGATTGTTGCGGCATCGTAGCGAAAGTTGGTCGTGATCCCAATTGAAAATCAGGGTAAGGATTGGAGGTGAAGTGTGCTCGAATCCGTCGTGCTAGCTCGTGGTTTTTCTTTTTTAAGGTTTAACGAGACGGTACGAAGTATTTCTTACCTAACGTATGGTAAGTGACTACCTTACCTACCTCAGGTAACCAAAAATTGGGATTGGGGTCATGTATGTCCAAGCTTAACAGCAGCCGGTAAACCTTGGAAATGCTTGTGCTTGAATGACTGTTTTTCCCGCCCTGGCACATGAAACGCGATAGCAATGAACCACGGAAGCGGGGGATGACGTTGCAAGGGTCAGAGCGTGCTGTTACAAGGACCCACTTGGAAATTAAAGTTTCCCTGAGGTGGGGGGAGGGGTCCAGTGATCGACACCAACCAAATATCCATTTTCCTACTTTTTTTTCTGGAGCCACCACTTATCAAGATCATGCATGAGTGGAGAGATTGATAGCAACAACAACCCTAGACACCAAACCAGGTCCTCTGTGGTCAGGATGGGCATCCTGTTCAATTCTGGCCATTATCTTACCAACTCCTCCCAATCCCTAGGCAGGCAAGCATCGATTTCCATGCTTACCTAGGTATTGACATTGTCAAGCACTTCCACTCCCACTTCCATGTGACGCGTAGCAGGAGCTTAAGTGCTCTCCCTCACCCCCCAGCGACATACCTGCCAGCGATTCTTCCAAGCCATCCCCCGGTTTGTTTAAACTGACACTACAGTTCACCGCCTGCTTACTCGACGGCACATCAATGGCTGGGTTCCGATCGAAGAAGTTGACCGGCCTGAGCATGACACGCAGTGTCTCGGCCGGCATTACGGGGAAATCCTCGACGCGCGGGATGTGGTTGATGCCAAACTGCACCCAGAGGACGGGGTCACCGCCCGTGAGGCTGTCCTTCCGGTTTGCCCAGCCGCGCACTCCCGCCCCGCCCCTGCTCTGGTTGGTGTAGAGGCCGCCGGCGTACAGCTCCCCCTCGGCATAGCGTGTCACGTAGATGTTGTGGTCGGCGAACTCGGCGCGCTTGTTGTGGAAGCTTTCCGAATCGGCGAGGATCGTCTGCATCGGTGGGACCATGACCTTGTACCCGACCGCCGCGTGGTTGACCGGGTTATGGACAGCGGGGTTGATGATTTTAAAGGTGCGGTTTTTGTCCACGTCCAGGTCGAAGCCGCCCGAGGATTTGATCTCGGTCTTGCGTATGGTATATCCGACGCCGTGCGGGTTGAGCTTCGGGTCCCGAGGAACGGGTACCGCTTCGTCATATACGATCGAGTTGCCGTGACCCGCAACCATGGGATCGATACGCAGGCTAAACAAGTGCTGGTGGAAGCTTCCCAAGACTCCCGGGTGTACGACGGTGCCAAATGGATGAGGCGACTTGGTCAATTCGAGGTCGAGAGGCTGCGTGGACAAGATTCCCGTAGCACGCGCCTCGTAAGCGAGGTCACCGGCCGTGTTGAAGACGAACGACAAGATGTATTCGTAGTTGCTCACCGTCAGGATGGTCTGCAGTACCAACTCACGGTTTCGAACCACCACGGCGCGGTTCGTCCGATAGTTGGTGTGTTTCCACAGAATGCCGGCGTCCTGTTCGTGGACACAAATCACATTCGGCATGTTTACCGGCTTCCCATAGGTGTCGGACAACACTCCCCCGATGTAGTAGATGCTGCCAAGACAGTCACAGCCAAGCTGCAGGTTGTTGGCCATGATGCCGGCCCCGGCGTCTCCAAGGTCGAAAGCGGCCTTGCGGTGGAAGGGATGGCGCGGGTCTGCATATGGGATCGACATGTCGGACAAGCTCAGCCGGTAGAAGAGGGGCTTGTTGTCGTAGTGAACATCATACAAGACCATGCCTTCCCGCTGGTTGAAACCGACCTTCAAGTCCCACTTCTGCCAGCGGATCAAGCGGCCTAACTCGGAAAAGTTCTCGACCGTGAAGGACGCCCCTTCCGGCTGCACGACCTGCAGCGGTTTCAGATCGGTGCGCAGTATCTGGGCTTCGGGGATGTACTCGGCCGCACTTGTTGCTTGCCATGGAGCCAGGGGTTTCACTTTCTCGTCGTGGCCCGTAGGTAAAATATCGATCCGGATCAGTTCCATGGTGGTGGGGTCCATGACGGGCGAAATAGGGAGAGGGAAGGCGTAATGGCAGCTATCTGGCTCAGCCGAGTTCTGAGGGTCTCGCATGTAGAGAAAGCATTGCAGCACGCGCTTGTCATCGTAGAAGTTACCCTCCTTCAAGCCGTCCGAACCTAAAAATACCAAACGTAAGAGACAATTCCACACCCCGAGGAGAAGAATCTCACCGTAAATCCACGGATCAGAGACAACTACGGTCCCCTCAGGAAGTTCGAGTTTGGCTAGCTCGGCTTGGACGTCTGGGTGGGCCAGCAAGGCTTTCTCGACCGCGATAAGTTCTTCGCCATCGCCGTTTGCGTGGGTGAACGGGCCGAGTTTCACATTCGCCTCGATCTTGCCCGTCGTGAGGTTTACTACCGCCTCGTGAAGGTTGTGCTTGAGACATTGTCAATAAGTCTACGGATTTGTATTACAAGGAAATTCTTTGACTCACGGTGCCCCTGAAGTAGTAGACAACGAACGCTCGCCTGTCGATGCTACCCGGATGCTGTCCAGCCCGCTCCGCAGCCAGATAGGGGATGAGTTGAGCCTTGGCAGGCTCGAGAAGCGTGACAACCTTGAAGTGATATTCGATATTATCCGGCCAACATGCCCTTGTGAGGGTCGCAGCTTCGGTGATCTCATGTGCGGTTAGAGGCCCAAGAGGATGGGATTTGGGCTGCAATGCATCAGCACGGTTTGTTTGGTACCTACTCAACGTTCCTTTCGGGAACGTATCCGACTTACCTTGGGGTCGGCCTTCAGAGGGTCCAATACCCGAGAAGATCCGGGATTTTGCGCACCAGTCATGGCTCCTGCGGCTGATCGTTATTTGGAGGGGGGGGGGACTGGGATCGGTTCTGAAAGTCGATGGATTAAAATAGGTACCTAAGTAATTATTAGGATCAAGGGGGTTGGTTGGCAGCGTTTGCAAAAGCCCTAAAGTTTGAACTCAGGAAAGAGGCTAGATGACACCCGAGGAGATACCTACCTAGGCAGACCGCAGGAGTGATGGAGGGGGGGGAGCGCAGGTTGAAGTGGGAGGGGTAACATTCCAGGTTCACTCATCAATGAACGGTCGTCCAAATGCCCTTTCTTGACGGTAACACGGTGACACCGTGGCTTATCAGACCATTTGGACCGCGAATACCCGTTCCATTGTGGCGCCCGCCTAGGCTCAATCTAGGTAGCCCCTATCAGGAGATACCTAGGTACGATTCTGCTGCCCCAACCCGGGATGCCCACGTACGGTCCAGTCGTGATATGGCACTCTGCTTAACCCTCATCTGTGACAAGCATTCTTGGCTCTGCTTGGGGGACCCCCAAATTCCCCGCATTCCCCCACTCCCCGCATGGAGTCCTGGACCACTCACAGTAACACAACGAATGAGAACTGGGTGCCGGGAAAGCAGAAGCTGTGGAACGGCACGTGCCTCTCGCACCAATGCGTGCCACGCTGTAACCTATGAATGGCTGAGGTCAGACGCAGACTTTGATATCTCTGTACACACAAGGGCGTCACCCCCCACGACCCCGTCAGTATGGGCTTACGTGCTGGAACTGCTTTCTGATGATTGAAACGGCAGGTAGGTAATCAGGGAACGCGTTTGCGATTAGCCTTTAGTTATGTAGGTATGTACTGGGCAGTTTTCACTACCTATTCTGTTTTCACCCAAGTCCCGTTTTCCAACTCTTGCTGTGATGGAATCTTACCTAGATAGGTATGTTGCCTTGTTGTGACCGCAAGCTACAAAGTCATGCTCTTCGCCAACCAAACGCGTTTGTGACCCTCGACACCTCTCTGCTAATAGCCGCGTTCTTGTTCATGGTGTTGAGTTGGTGAAATTAGGTAAGCTGGCTGGGGGCGAGAGGGACCTGGATACGCTGGGCCGATATGCTGGACGGATGTACGCTGCTGTGTGGGCCGTGTCGCGCGAAGGATGCGGCCCCACAGGCCGCCGTCCCCGACCCTCTCAAACTTGTGCAACGGTTCTGCTCGACGATCGCCTCGACGACATATGCATTATGCAGTCAAATGTTGGCGATGCATTTCCGCCAATCATTGGTGAACCCCGATGAGGCCGCGCAATTTGACGAAGAGGCTAAGGTTGAGAACCCCTCATGGGGTACTGTACAATGGAGATCAGCTCTTGCGGCGATTTTTGGTTGTCGAACTGTGCATGCACTCAATGAGTCAACAGGTAGTCAAAGGCCTGGGGCTTACCATTTCGACAGCAAGTTGTAGGGTGCTTTTCGGACCTTCGTTAGCTGTAGAGGTTTTTTTTTTTTTGGCGATCCCTGGTTCCGGCAAGTCGCTGGACTTATCGGAATCGCATACGTCGAACAACCTTATTCTCGAACAAAGGGATGAAGTGAGGAAGTCTGGCAGGCGCGTCTTGGACCGGGCAATGCAGCTTTTTCTCGGATATGGCACGGGCATTGTTGGTCTAGGGAGTGTGAGACTTGTCTCGCCTGCCTGAGGTTGGTCTGCGGCACTGGTCTGGTGACATGTTTTTAGGCAAAACGAAACTTTGGAATGCGTTGGAATTCGGGATCCCTCGTTACCGCCTGGCCGCCACGCAAAACACAGCCAAATGAGTTTTGCGGGATTGGGTTCTTCCACCGTCACCCCACTCCATGTTTTTGTCAATAACCGAGACGCTGTAAGGCCAGTGTGCTCCACAGCGAGCGTGTCGGTTCCAGGTTGTCGATTTTGCTGTCGGCGATTTGCCCCGAAGAGCTCCGAGGGGCTGGGCATACCGTTTTTCTTGTGCTTGGAACTACTTTGACGCTCCTTGGTGATGCGCTCGAGAGCTTGAGCGACACTGGCACGGGCAACTGCATGTACCTTGCCTAGGTTATTACCTACCTGGGTACCTCGGCCTAGGTATGTACCGTATTTTCCCAGACGGCCAGGCAAGCTAGGACAGCATTTCTTCATTGAGCTGTTCGGGTTCCTAGTAAGCTAGAAAGTGTAGTGGAAATGGCGAAAAGATTAATGATACGAACGTTTTACTTGGAGCAGTCAGCGTCGTATCCCGGGCCCCTGGGTCTCAGACTGGACCGCAGCTCTTTGCAACGCTTACTTGCCATTTTGGCCCATTCTGACGGGCTTCCCCGGGGATCAACTTGTTGCAGTTATCTCGCGCAGTAAGATAACGAGGTTGTGTGTGTGCCGTTATGGTACTGATCATCCATATGCATGGACCATGTTCCGGTCCAGTCGCGATCCCGGTTCAGCTGTTCTCTTAAGCTTTGTCAGATCGGAGGCTAAACGGGCCGAGCGGGCCAGCCCAAGGCCCCTACATATGGACCCCACGAATGATTTGGAACGGTATTAAAGGGCGGGCAGCCCAGCCCGGGGTGTTGGACTGTGCAACCTTCCTAAAGAAAGGTAAGGATTTCGCCCGTCTTGTAGATACTCGCGTAATCCTCCCGATAGTTCCTTGTTTGAGGCTCTGCTGATAGCGCTCCGAGGAGACGAAGGGGGTTACCCGTGCAGTTGATTGACTCGGAGATTGCGGACGATAGGCTACCCCCCTTCATTCCCTCCCTCCCTAGGTACCTTGGTACTTGCTCGGTATCCAAGGTAGACTTTGTAAACAACTGTAACGATTATTGCCACTTACGAGCCCCGGTCTGCTTTGTTCACCGGAGTGCCCCTGGAATCTGGAATTCTGGATATACTCTACCTGGATGTTGTATACAAGTACTCTACCAGCGCATCATGCTCTGATGGACTATGAGTGACGCTCCTTTGACCGCCTTGAGACCGGCAAACCCGGTCGGGCAGCTACCCCTGTGGGTCAATGTCAGCATGGAGGAAAGGTTGCACTCCAGGTCAACCACACCTTGATTAACTTCCATCCCTTGAATTCCCTTCGCTGAGGACCTGAGGTTACACACATATGGACCCCTGTATATGTGGCGCAGCGGCACGAGGAACGCCATCAGAAGCTAAAAGAATGCGACTGCCCCGTGCAGCCTCGTTTTTTGCCGAGCCTTTCCCCAGCTTTTCCGCCCCATCCTTTTTGTCGACAAGCTTTCCCACCCAAGGAGGCTAGCCTACCAAGTAACTCCCTCTCAAGGTTTCATAAGCCTGAATCCTGAATACCAAGCCCTTGGCAAGCCATGAGCAATCCTCGCCAGCACCCGGGCCTGGCCTGCGAAGAGTGCCGCAGGCGAAAAGCAAGATGCGACCGTGTTCGTCCCAAGTGCGGCATCTGTGCTGAGGCTGGCCATGATTGCGTGATTTTAGACAAGAGACCGCCACGGGGTCCCAAAAAGGGTCAGATTCGGGAGCTACAGTCACGACTCGGTAAGTTCCAGGCGAACATTCATACGAGCTCGGAGCGGTGCAGCGTGCTCATGGACGGGGCGGTTCTTTAACTTCTTTTTAACATTCCCCTATCTACTACGCTCCTGCACGTGCTAGTCGAGCGGTGCGCCTGTTTATATCCAAGATTCCGAGTTGCCATAATGATGCACTCCTCCATGCTGATCGATTATTCTATTCTCAGCCCAGCTAGAGCGACTGGTAACCCAGGCTCCTGTTGAGTTCGAGAATCCGACTTTAGATGCGTCGGTGCATGCACTTCTGGCATTGGACAACGGGATTGCTATCGACGCCTTAGGGACTCACGAATTTACCTTGAGCGGTAATGTGCCAGGCTCGCAAGGCTCCCACTTCGAGACGACCGACATCTGGCCTGGCCATGGGGACATATCCATAACAAACACGCAAACAGGCCCAAGCGGCCTCACACCGGCCTCGGTGGGGACGACATTCTCCGAAAACGAGTGGTACAAGGCCGGCCTGATTGGAAATGATCTGTAAGTTGCTTTCCTTCAATATTCCACACACGACCAATGCCATACATGATTAGGTTGGGGGCATATGCCTCTGGATTTGAATTTCGGGGGTCCACGATGGCTTACATACCTATGCTTTGGCGGATAAATCTAGGGATTCACTCTACTTTGAAAGAGTACATGCCATCATCCCCATGATCCACAGGAAGGGCTATGCTGCATGGGCGGCGGGTGACGAAGGCCTCTCGCCCGCCCGGGCTTGTCTGCGTTCGGCCATGCGAACTCTTGCCGCAGCCACGTCGGCGGGATACCGTGCCATGGGCGACGGGATGTACAACACAACGCGCCGGATGCTCGAGTCGCTCGATGTCCACGATGATAACCACCTTCCTTGGTTGAGGAGATCAAGTCAGGCGCCCGGGAACACGCGCCCGGAAATCGAGCACGAGTGCATCCAGGCCTGGCTTCTCTTAGCTTACTATGACTTCATGCACAAATCTGAGAGCCAGGCGCTCCTGACCGCTGGACGCGCGTTCCGGCTGCTGCAGTTGTCCGGGCTTTTTAGCTTAGACCCGGTGCATGATGCGAGCAGTGATCGAGCCATAACGGCCAACGAGGCCGTCTTTGCTCACCAGCCCGGGACGCCGGATGGTTCTTGGAGGGAGACGGAAGAAAAGAGGCGGACCCTCTGGGCTGCCTTCATTCTTGATCGGCTTTCTGGTATGCTTAGTGATCGACCCTGGGCGCTGCACGAAGAATTGGTAGGTCCCGTCCCTTGGTTTTCCGCGGAAAGGGCTCTCGTTCTTGGGTACTATGTGCATAAGGAGATAAGTGACCGACTTACACGTAGGTACTTGTCCATCCATAAGATCAACACGCGTCTTCCCATACCCGAGGCGGACTTCCAGACCGGCCAGCAACCCCCTCTGATGGGCTTTCTCTTGGACGTTATGGGCGAGACGTGCCCTACCGACGGCAACACCGGCACAACCGGCTGCGACACGCTATCCCCATTTGCCGAATGCGTCATCCTGGCGAGCCTCTGCGGACATAGCGTGGCACACCGGCAGCTCGTGAAGTCCAGCACCTTTGCCGACCGCACCCCTGAGTCGCAAGTCTTTTGGAGGCGCCACGAGCGCCTTGCCGCGGCAACGAGGACGCGCGTCGAGGAGCATACCCGGAGGATTAACGAGGCCGCGAGCCGTGGCGTTGCGACGCCAAAGTGTGACCCGATGTGGGCCTTCAACCGCGTTTTGGCCTGCGGCGCGTCCGTCGCCATCAGCGACACGGCCGAGGCCAATCCGTGGCAGACCTTCGAGGATTCAACCACGGCCATGGCGTCCACACAGCTCTCATACCAAAGTGTTGCCGAGGTGGTCCTTTACCTGCAGAACGTGCCGCGGCTTGCGTTCCCAAAGGTACGTCGGCTTCTTTTAGAATATGATATTGATATCCAGATCGCGCTCTCGGCCCGGGCGACTATCGCCCATATGCCCCTTAGCTCTTCGAGTCCTCCCTTCCACTGGGATGTTGCATACCTACTCACAGAGAATTCATAAATATAGATTCACCCCTTCCTTCCCATACCAACATCGTTAGTGGCGAGCTCCCTTAACTCTTCCATAACATGTATTACAATACCAAGTGAAGAAAGGTCGAATAGCGTCAAGGTTCTGTTGGGTTTCTTGAGGTATATGAGCTATTATAATCACCTGGCAAGCACAATTCTTCAAAAGCTAGAGACAGACATCGCGGAAAGACATGTCGCATGAGGGCCACCATAGATGAAAGTGGTTCATGCCTTGGGGGTAATCAGCAAGCAGTCAGCAAACAGCCAAACATCGTCTTGTGGTCTGCCTCGGCCTCGAGATACACACAGACACTCTATCACACACTCTTGTTCCCATAACGTGGTTCACACATTTTCTTTCCTTCTTCACATACACGGACTTTCGATGCTAAGGTGCATGGGGAAGATAGGAGCATTCTAACAGACTAGATAGAACCTATTGGATCATGAATGCAATGGACCACTATACTGTCTCGTCTACCTAGGTACCTAGATACTAAGTGTGCATGGACCGGTGGATAGGTAGGTACTCAGCCGACAGCACAGGAAACACCAGACTCGGAGCATTCTATCGCATCAAACTCTCTCTCTCCCAACCCCCGGCCGCCACTTGTCTTCCACATTGGAACACTGCCTCTCCTCCCTCACCTGTACAGGCCACGTGCAGAGGAAGACTTGAATAGACTCTCAGCAGCCGTGGGAAGTGCTGTAGGATCGACCTTGCGCAAGCTCAGACTGCCACGAACCAATTGGGGCGCAAAACCGTTAATTGATACCTGCTCGAAGCCATGCATGTTGACCGACTCCTCGGCGCTCAGGATCTGGCGCGCACGGATCGTGCGTAGGATGCGCAATTCCTCATCGTTAAGCTTTTCGAGGTCTTCCAGCGTTTCGGTGCCCGGCTCGACTTGCACACTTCGGAGCTTCTGGAGCACCTCCTGGTGCTTTTCGGGCGCGACTTCGTCAAAGGCGTGCAGGCAAAAGTCGACCGATTTGGAGACGAGACCTTGTGTGAGCTTCCCGCCTACGTCGGTATCGGCATGACCTTGAATGACTAGGTTTTCGGAGTGTGAGCTGGCAACCTAGGTAGGAAGCTAACAGAAGAGTAAGGGGCTCCCTGGGGCTGTTCTCATGCACGATTTGGAATGGATCTGGCAGAAGCCGAGGTGGGTAAAAGGAACTCACTTGGTTTGAAGAATCCAAATGCTCGGTCGAACCCGTCCTCATCAAAGTCGCTGAGCACCGGTTCGTCCCCTTTACGGATCTGCCGAAGCGCCGCCAACACAACGAGGAGGAAGCGTGAGTAGCTCTCAGCCACCCTGGTAGAGTGCCACTTAGCGGCCTCATACTCGGTACAGTCGCCCCGGCGGACTGCCTGGATAGTCATGGCAGCCGAAAGCGCGCCAGCCGAGGCGAGGTGCACTCCGGAGCTGAAGTACGGGTCAATGAAGCAACCCGCATCGCCCACCAAGCGTAGATTTGGACCCGCGTACGAAGACGCACTGTACGACCAATCTGCCGCCGCCTTGACGTTGGATACGAGCTCGGCATCAGCCAGGCGCTCGTGGATGTGCGTCGAGAGGCTCACGCAGTGCTTGTAAAAGTCCACCATAGAAGGGGATCCTAGGGCTTTCTTGTGCGCCACGGATAAGTCCTGGCGTATAACGACGCCAACAGACATGGTGCCGTCGTGTAGAGGGATTGCCCAGCACCAGCCACTGCCGTCCGTCAAGGCTTCGAAAAACGGGGAGCCTTCCTGCCGAGTGCCTGGGGCATAGGTCTTACACCCCTTCCAGTAACCCCAGGTCGCGGCGTTCTTGAGCGCCTGGTTGTGCTTGCGGTTCTTGAGATACTTGGTGGAAATCAAGCCGTGGCGCCCACTGGCATCGATGATATAGTCACACTTGATGGAGCCCGTGGTACCGTCGGCCTTACGCACCCATGACGCCGAAGTCACCCGTCCTGGGTTGCAGACCTTCTCGTCGGCGGGAAAGTCGGGATCGGGTGGTGCGAATTCGAGTGACTCGACCTTAACGCCTTGAAATACGATGGCGCCCATCTTTTCCGAATGATCTAACATTAGTTTATCTGATTCGGAGCGGATCACATTCCACGAGTAGCCATGTTCGCCGTTGACGGCGCGAAAGTCGGTATCTGTATTCGGGACGGATTGAGTTAGCTATCTCTTCTGTATGTTTGAGCAGATGTTGTTTTTACTTACAGCCAACTCGCTTGTTGTTCAATTTGAACGCCGCGCCGTTCTGCCAGTATTGATATGTTAGTATCTAGGTGGCTAGCCAGCTGAATATCTCTCTGGCCGGTGTAGACGCTCACCTTGTGGCAGAACCCATAGTCGTCAAATGTCTTCTCAAGGTCGATGAAGCGCAAATGGTGCCTCAGAGACGCCAACATCGTCTCGCCAATGTGATACCTCGGAAAATGATCGGCCTCGAGCACCACAACGTTTACCCCTTCCCGAGCAAGCGTTGATGCTGCGTACGACCCACCAGGTCCTCCTCCAATCACTAGAACTGAACAGGACTCGGGGATAGACATGTTACCTATGTATGATATGAACAGGAATGGAAGGATCTCTTAGCAACGAATTTGATCAGTGGGGTGACACGACCAGGTCAGGCTGTGAAAAGGCTCGAGCCTAAAATAGAGGAAAGCATACCTTATTTAAGAGATGAAAAGAATACCTTGACAGGAATCAAAGTATTAATCACCTCCAGTGTCACTTAGCACAGTACAGCCAGCCGCATCTGGTCAAAGCATAGGTAACAAACCATGTCCCGGAGAAAAAGAAAACATCACATAACGTTGCGCTGTCTAAGATTGTACCCTATGCACTGTGGTGGCAGCGCTCAGGATTAACCACGCTTGTGATGGTTTGTCAGCTTCGAACATTATTTTGATCTTGACCCAAGTCAACCATCCGGTGCAATACTTCGCGCCTCCACCCGTGCCCTTGGCCTTGCTTCTGCACCTTGGAACTACCTACACACTTCCTTGGCCGGGCCAGTGCATTCGAGATTTCCAGTTCCTTCACGGCAACCGGGACTCAGGTAGGTAACGGTAGGTACACGAATCGTCGTGTTTGTGGAACTCGGAGTTCCGTCAACGCGAGCCGGCCGCAAAGATTCAAGTTTAGCCTCCCTGTCTGTAGGCGTAGCACCATCCATGTAGAAGAATAACAAAGTACACAATAGATAACCTACCTGATATTGCACAAAACGCCGAGTTTTCCCGGGCGTACGGTTAATTGTGTACCTAGGTACCTAAGAAACTCCTACCGTGTAATGAGCACGGTGAGTTATGTCCGTCGGGTCTGGGTCAATGAACTGAGGCCCAACCTGTCCGGTTACTAATTGCAATAATGTGAGAAACTCCGGAACTCCGTGCCGATTACCTCATCTCCCCTGATTTGCCAACAAAGAAATTGTGATACATCAGTTCACGCCAGACTTCACAGGTCCGCGAAGCAATATTTTCTCCGGTCCTCACTGCACAGTTGTCGGGTGCAAACTTGAATGCGTCTATCGGGCTGGGCACCAGGGGCTTCTGAAGTTCTGACCAGGAAGAGAAACACTGCCACCTTCGAGTCCTTGAGACCTTGACCGTTTGACGCGACCGGCTCGGACCGACACATCCAAGCTGCTGGGGCTTTTCGGGACGAGGCCTTGACTCTCAGTGTCCCGCTTGCTGGCGCAAACGTGGTGCCTCCAAAGGTCTTTGCAATCATGTCGCGACAAGCCGAACCCAACCCCAACACATCCATGTCGCCTGGCTCGAGCGACATGGAGAAAAATCATCACCATGAAGGCCAGGGCACCGAGCAAGAACCCATTATTGTCGAATTTCAAAAGGACGATCCCGGAAATCCCATGAATTGGGGTCAGACTCGGAAATGGTTCGTTGCTTGCATCGCTACCTTGTCGGTCTTCGTCGTCACCTTCACTTCATCGGCATACTCAGAATCCTCCCGCGAAATCCTCCGAGAATTTGGCACCAGCAGCGAAGTATTTGTCGTGGGTGTCTCCGTCTATGTGCTCGGGTTCGCCATCGGCCCGGTAATATGGGCTCCTTTGGTGAGTGAGCACACCTCTCTACCAACCCTCAGAGGGCGTTAATTGGGTGCGAATGCTAACAGATATGATTTAGTGCGTCTAACTCCTTTTTCCCAATGGCTCCCCGCCATATTTCCGCCACTGACAGTATTGATCTCCCAGGTCCGAGTTTTATGGTAGGAGGATGCTCTGGATCATCTCCCACATCGCCATGGTAGCTTTCATTGGGGGGTCAGCTGGAAGCCAAAACATTGAGACTCTCATGGTCCTTCGATTCCTCACGGGCACCTTTGGCGGCTCCCCCATTGTCAACTCGGGCGGTGTCCTCGCCGATATATTCCCTCCCGCCCAGAGGGGTCTCGCCCTTACGCTGTACGCCCTCGCCCCCTTTTTCGGTCCCATCTTGGGTCCCATCATTGGCGGCTTCATCTCAGAGAATGTCGGATGGCGATGGGTACAAGGAGTCTGCTGTATCGCCATCGGCGTCATCGGTACGTGTTCTCGGCCTTTTTGCCCATTGAAAAAAAAAAAAAAAAGGAAATGCGGGCCCGTGGAAGCTAATATGGCCTAATAGGCATTCTCGGCATCATCTTCATCCCCGAGACATACGGGCCGACAATTCTCCTCCGGAGGGCAAGTCGCTTGTCCAAGGCTGACGGCAAGACCTACATCAGTATCCTCGAAAAGAACCAAGGCAAGAAGAAGCCGTCCGAGGTGTTCAAGAAAGCCTTGGTACGGCCTTGGGTACTCCTATTCCTAGAGCCCATCGTGTTGGTTGCTTCACTTTACATTGCCGTCATCTACGCCATCATCTACATGTTCCTGCCTGGGATGACCATTGTCTTCAACGTTGGCCGTGGATGGAGCGAGGGCGTCGGCGGCCTGGCGTTTCTTGGCATGGCCGTCGGCATCATTTTCGGAGGGGCTTACGCCATTTACGACAACAAACGGTACATGAGACTGTTCGTGGCCAAGACTGCAACTGCGGAATCTCGCTTGCCACCAGCAATGCTTGGTGCTGTCGCCCTCCCGGTCGGCATATTTGCCTTTGCATGGACCAACTATCCCAGTATTCACTGGGCAGTTTGTATTGTTCTTTCAGCCCCCTTTGGTTTCGGCTGTATCCTCGTCGTCCTTCCGGTGGTCAACTACCTCATCGACTCGTACACCATCTACGCCGCTTCGGTTCTCGCAGCATCCGCCATCCTGCGCTCTGTTCTCGCAGCCGCATTTCCCCTGTTTACCGCCCAGATGTACGCCAACCTTGGAATCCATTGGGCGAGCTCCGTGCCGGGGTTCCTAACATTGGCTTGCATGCCATTCCCATTCATCATGTACCGCTACGGGAAGGCCTTGAGGATGAAGTGCAAGTATTCCTTCGAGGCTGCCGAGATAATGAAGCAGATGCAGAAGCAGCAAGAGGCGGCCACAAACCCTAACGATGAAGGCGCCGGTGCAAAGTAAAGAGAGGTGCATGGTTCTAGCTGGGAGTGTGGGCGCTACTGGCAAGGAGATGACTGGCAGCGCTATTCATGTAGAACACCTGTCTACGTCTTCGGAAGGAATGCAGGTGGATTTGTATTTCTACATAGATAATGGGATCACGGGGCATACTTCATGTCACATTTACACATTCCTTCTTTTGCTTGGACTTCTAATAAAAGCATGGGGTATTCTTTCTAGATCTCTTCAGTGTTGAACAATGGCATATAGCAGCTACATGTACATGGGAAACAAGAAGACTATCACCAATTCGACAGTTTTCCTTCTCACATGGCATACATGTGTTCAATCAGTGTGATTATCCGGTTGCTCTGCCTTACAGAAGGAAATGTGTGAAACTAAGTACAGACCCTCCAACCTTGTTTCAACGCAGGAATCCTGTAGTCTTCCAGACCTCAACATACTTTCTGATCAGCTCATCACTCACCGGTTGCGCAGCTCTCAAGGTTGGTGAGTGCCTACACGCTCTGGTAGTGGCCATAGTCACCCCTCCACAAGACATGAGCTCGAACTTGTGTTCGAAAAAGTCTTGGGCCTTTGCCGCCGGGTTGTCCCAGGGATTCTCTCCCGGAAACTCGGCCACCCGCCTGCGCCATTCCTGCAGGGACACTATGCCCTTGTCTTGAGGCACGCCTAGCGCCTCGGCAAACACGGGCACCACATCCGCCCATGCCCGGGGGACTGGGTTGTCCACGTGATAGACGGGATACCATTCATCATCACTGGGCCGGAGGAGAAGCTCCGCCAGCGCCGTGGAGGCTTCTTCGAGAGGGAGCCAGTTCAAGACGCCTTCGACGGCGGGGAACGCCCGTAGTGTCTGTGCCGACTTGAACAGGAAGGCCAGCACCTCCACGTGGTTCCAGTACCCCGTCCGCTTCGAGCCCGACACCTGACCCAGCCGCACTGTCATTGCGCGGAAGCGGTCTGGATGGCGGCCCAGCGTGTCATTTAGGATTCGTTCGCATATAATCTTGGCGCCTCCGTATCCATTGGGGAGGGAACATTCGATATCCATGGGGGCCTCGGGCACTTGGCGGCCATTTCCCTGTCTAAAGGGATACTTGCCCACGGCTGAGAGGGAGGAGATCTGTTGAAAGGTACACTTGAAATTTTCGTCCCGGGCCTTTCGGTGTGCCGAGATGCCTGCTGCGAGGTCAACGAGGTTGCGCATGACGATGAATTGTGGCTCGTTCTGTTCGAGGGCGCGCAGTCCGTTGACGGGGAAGGCGTTGTGAATGATGTGCGTCACACGCCCCACGAGTCGGCCGTACTGGGCCACGTCGAGACCTAGTTGTGGCTGCGAAGTGTCCGTCTCTATGACCTCTAGTTTGGCACGCATCGTTTCGTTCAGCTCGATGCCCCTGGACTCGAATGCTTCCCGCTGGCGTTGCTGTGGGCTGATAGGCTGTTCATCCTTCCTGGTGGGCCGCGTGCGGTTGAGGCAGAACACGGTGCCAATCGAGGGTAGGCTGGCGAGGTGCGACACGATGTGGCTGCCCAGACTGCCTGTTGCACCAGTCACGAGAACAGAGTGGATAGAGGAGTCGGAGGGGTCGTCAGTTGTAGGTCCCTGGACGACTGGCGAGACCTCGGGTATCGCGAAGCCTCGAGTTGCGCTCGCTATGTATTTGTCCGCAGCTAGCTTTCGACCCTTGAGATACTCCTCGCTATCATGCTCGTCGTGCTCGGGTGAGGGAGGAATGCTTGGTTGCTTGGCCAGGCCCGGCTCGAGATCAGCTGCCATAGCGATGACAAACCGTTGAACGCCAACTTCAGGCAGATTGCCGTCTGTCCACTCGACGTGCTTGAAGCCTGCGTTGAGGAGGCTCTGCTCCCACCTCTTTTCCTTCACAATGGCATGCGTCCGGCCGTCGTCAAAAAGCCACCAGCCCTCTAGAGTCCCCCAGACGACATCAACCCAGTGCAATGTGCCCATCATCTCGAGCAGCATCAGAACGCCATCTGAGCGCAGGAACTTGCGGATGTTGCGCGTCGAAGCGTCAATGGAGTGCGTGGCATGTACGGCATTGGTAGCCACGACAATATGCTGCGATCCCATCAGTTCTGGGTCCGGGGGCTGTTCGATGTCGTGGACGGCGAATTTCATAAAAGGGTACTGCTTAAACTTCTTCTTGGCTTGGGATACGAGGGATGGCGAGAGATCGGTGAAGGTGTACTCGACGGGGATCCCGAATTCTGCCAGTATGGGCGCAAGCACCCTTGTAGTGCCGCCCGTCCCAGCACCCATCTCCATGATCTTCAAGGGGGTACTGAGACCGCTCTGGGACAACAAGCCCCCCTTGCGAGCCAGCCGGGTCAGGAAATCGCCCATTTGCTCAATGTAGGCCTTGTTAAACGGAAACTCGCCGTAGAAATGGGCTGCCGATTCACGATTTTTGGCATCTCCAAAGATCAGGGCTGGACCATCGACCTTGCCAGCCAAGACGTCCGCCATCCTCGAGCCAACTTTATATAGCAGCTGGTGGGACGACGAGTAGCCTTTGGGGTTTTTCATGAGACCCTCAATGATTGCGTCGGCAGACTGAGAAGGAAGCGGAAGGCCGGTCCGTCGGACCACGCCCCCCTCCTCGATATCAATGATTCGCGTCTCTTCCAGCATCTTGTACAGGTACTCGTGGAAGCGCCGGTGGTGCGCGACAAATGGAACAGGCTGTAACACATCGCCGGGCTGGGCTGCCTCAAGATCACAGCCCAGTTCCTTGAACGCCTGGGTAGTAAGTACCAGGCACAGCCTAACTTGCTTTTGATACACGCCGTCAAGATAACCTGCGCATCCCTGGCTCTTCAGGAAGGAGTCGGTGTGGTCTTTGGATTCGCGGAAGGCTTCAATGGTTATAGATGCCGGTAGGCTAAGAGCCGTGTCAGAACTCTTCTCGGCCGTCGACGGCGTGTCGGAAAGCGAGGTTCCACGGCTGGCTGCTGATACAGCACTGTTTGGTTCCGAAGACGCTGTGTCGGAAGAATCGGAGGAAGCAGCGATTTCCTCGAGGTCAAGCACAGACTGGAGAAGATCCAGAATGCCTGTTATGTCGACGATGCTGATGAGCTGGGATTGCTCCAGGGTACAGTCAAATTCTGTCTCAATATCCCGTGCCAGCTCTAGCCCCATCAAAGAGTCGATCCCAACATCAGCGAGTGAATCAGCTCGCGTAATCTCATCAAGCTCGAGGCCAGATATCTCTGCTAAGACCCGTTGGAGCCTGGGCCACAGAGCATCCTTTGCCTTCTTGACATTGCTGACATTCCTCACATGTGGTGGCGCGATGGCCGGCTGAGAATCCGATTGCCGATCAATGCTTTCACCGACGAGCACAGGGTTCAACGGTGGAGCTCCCGTCGTTAGGGGCTTTATTGATGGTTCCGCAAGAGGGTATGCGCTTCTAGGGGGGATAGGAACACCCGTGAGCAGCTGGCCACTATTCTGTGCGTCAGTACAAGTCTCACATTGACACTGACGGAACGCAAATGTCCGAGGTGAGATCGAGAACCACTTACACTGGAACTGATTTGTATCGAATCCCGAGCATGACCTCCTCAAGAGATTGGCTTGCCGAGCCGAAGACAAAGATATCCGTCAAGAAGTCGCCAGATGGAAGTCGCTTATGCTGTGCCAAGATATCCCACTCCCCTTGGCTGTCAACGTCCCGCGGGCTCTCAAGATCTGGTGACCTGATCCATTGCTCCATCTCGCTGACAAGATAGATAGAAGTAGGCCGATCCCGGGCCATACAGTTGGCCCAGATGCTGCCAACTTGTTCGAAGGCATCTGCTAGGGTAGGATCGAAGACGAATGCCTCCGCAGACCTTCCCCGAGCGAGCCGGCCGGCCGACTCGCTGGATCGCCCAACCAGTTTTTGAAGGCCCCTGAACCTGTCGCCGTAGTGGAAAAGATTGTCGCCGACTTTGTAGATACTCCGCCCCTGGATGACCTCTTCGGACCCGTCGTTGCTTTCCAAGGCTCGCAGACAGCGCTCGTGGGTTACAAAGCGTTCAAGCTTGCCGAGTTCAGCATGGAGGCGACCGTCGTCGCGAGACTGGAAGGACAGTTTCCCGTGCATATGCAAGGTCTCCTCACCGGTCTCTCTGAGTTTGCTCACAAACTTGAAGATCCAGCTTCTCTCTGCGCCTCCATTATCATCGTGGCGTTCAAAATCGATGAATACAGTTCTAGGTGGGTCAGTGTGAATCAAGGGACTGTGGTTCACAATCTCGTAGATTCTGGGCTGCAACTTGTTGTTGATGTTGGTCAGCTCTGGACAGATGCTCGTGATGGCCTGAATCGCCAAGTCGATTGCGAATGGTACCGGGAGCACGGGCGCCTGTTTCGCAATTACATGCCCAGATACGATGCCGACGTATGACTTTATTGAATTGTTGATGAGAAACCGGGATTCCTTCTTGGTCTTGTTGTCTTTGTAGCCAACAAACGTGTAGGGGCCCGAAGGTGGGAGGAATCCTCCCTCCGCACCGCTTTTGGCCTGTTCGGATGGCTGCGTCTCCTGCCCAACTTGTTTCAAGGGCGGCTTAAAGTCAAGCCAGTGGCGATTTCTCTCAAACTGGTAGGGAGGAAGCATGATGGGCGCATATTGATGTGTTTGTGCGCGCGAGTGCGGCCAGAAGGCAACATGTACGCCAGCCCTCCAAAGTCCCATGGTGATGTCGACCAAATGTTGTAAACACCTATCGTCGCCTGTTATGTTGACTGGTAGGAAGGTTGCACTCCTTGGCATCCCAAGCGCCTTGCTTGCCATGTTGGTGATGGTGGAGTTGGAGCCAGCCTCCAGCCAGATGGCGTCGGGATACTTGCTGGCCAGCCTTTCGACGGCTTGAAGCCAGTACACAGGGTCTCTCATATGTTCGGCAACGTAGGAGGCGTCGGAAGGGCATTTGCGGTATCCTTCAGTTTCCCGCTCGAGCGGGATCCTAGGCTGGCGGAACGTGAGCTGGCTGCCGACAGCCAGCAGCTCTGGCTTCAAGGGCTCGACGAGCCCAGAATGGAAGGCGTTTGTTACATGGATTCTCTTGTGCTTGATGGTTGGACGGATCGAGTCTGCATCCCGGGCCTCGATGTGCTGTTGCACCGCGTCGCACGCAGCGACAGACCCAGCAAGCGTGAAGCTTCGTGGACCGTTGACGCACGCAATACACGCCATGCCATGTCGGCCGTCACCTTTGTTGTCTAGCTGTGCATTGACAGCGGCGATGACGTTTTCGACATCTGCCGGATCACCCTCCACTGCCACCATGGACCCAGGCTCTGCGCCCCAGCTGTCTCGAATAACCTTAGACCTGCCGTGGACCATTCGTAAGGTATCCTCCAGACTCAAGACGCCCGAAATGCAGAGCGCGGTGAGCTCTCCAAACGAATGCCCGACAAGAGCGGCTGGCTCGACGCCACAGTCGATCCAGCTTTTGGCACATGCATACTGCAAAGAGAAGAGCACCGGCTGCAGGACCGAGGGGTCGTTTATGGGCTCGCGTTGAAAGATTGTAGGGTAAATACTGCCCGCCTGAATTGACTTGCAAGCCCTATCACAATCGTCGAGATGATGTCGCAGGATAGTGGATTTGTCAAACACCTCGCGGTCAAGTCCAACAACCTTGCCGACCTGCCCGCCAAACGCCAGGATGACGGGTCGTGTAGAGACAGGAGTAGCGGCAGTCTCCAAAGAACCCAGCTGTTGTTCCAGTTCGTCGATGGACCCGGCAGCAAACATGGCAGCTCGGCCAAGGGACCCGTTCATCGATTGTCGATTTACGTTGAATGACACATTCTCGATGTCAAGGTGATGTCCAGAGACCGGCCTCTCTCGCAAAAATAGGTGGAGTTTGGCTGCGTATGCTTGGATGGCCTTGTCGTCGAGCCCGGAAATGTAGAAAGGCCACCGACAGGAGGAAGCAGAGCCTGTTGACATGGCATTCTCGCCTTGGGTCATTTTTGGCGCCTGCTGAATGAGTATGGAGGCATTGGAACCTGCTGCTCCGTAGTTGTTGATCATGGCTACCTTGCGGTCGTCCGTCCAAGGAAGGGAAGCTTTGGCAATCTCCATGTTGTCCGAGGGTGAGTATTGAATGGCGGGGTTGAGCGTATTGAAACTGGCTTGCAACGGGATGCGGCTTTCCAGAATCATCAGCAAAACCTTGATCAATGCTACAATCCCCGAGGCGCCTTCTGTATGGCCAACCAAGCCCTTTGCGGAGCCAATCTGCAACGGCTTCATGCCCGCGCGGGCAGAACCCCCAAAGATCTGTCGAATGCTGTCGTATTCAACTGGGTCGCCCACCGGGGTGCCTGTTCCGTGGGCTTCGACGTAGGAGATGTCGCGGGGGTGCAGCCCAGATTTGGCGAGGGCCGTTTGGAACACGTTTGTCAGTGAGTTGGAATTCGGTACAAAGATCGGGGTGATATTCTGGTTCTGGTTGACCGCGGTCGCCGATATGATGCCCAGGATTTGGTCGCCGTCAGCAATAGCATCCGTCGCCTTTTTGAGGAGCACGGCGCCGATGGCCTCGCCCCGACAGTACCCATCCGCTTGTGCGTCAAAGGGTTTGCATTGTCCAGTCGGGCTGAGAAACGACCCTGCTGCCAGATTCTGGAAGTATAGAGGCGTGCTGTAAAGATTGGTTCCGCCGGCCCTGTGATGTTGACATTGGCGCTTCCCGTTAGCATAACAAGGACAAAAGACATGCTGGAGCGGTATAGACCGTATACATGGAGTGTGGGGAAGAGGCAACATGGAACGTACAGGGCCGCAGAGCATTCGCCACTGAGAATAGCCTGGATGGCCAAATCAATGGCCACCGTGGATGCCGAACACGCAGTATCAAGGGTCATTGCCGGTCCTGTCCAGCCAAAGAAATGGCTGACCTTTCCAGCGATATAGCTTCGCAAGGCGCCTGTAGCTGAAAATGCGTTCGGGATAGCATGCGAGATGTTGTACTCATAGTCGTTGGTAACTGCGCCAATGTAGCAACCAATCCGGCGGTCGGACGACTTGTTGCCTTTGGGCTGAAAGTAATAGCCCGCCTGCGCGACAGCCTGATAGGCCGTCTGCAGAATGAGTCTCTGCTGCGGGTCCATATGGAGGGCCTCACGAGGAGACTTCTTGAAGAATTTGTGGTCAAAGACGGCCGTGTCGTCAAGAAAGTTGCCGTACCATTTCTTCTTCTCGCTGCCCTCCTCGCCAGGCCGATGTGTGGTCTCCATGACAAACCGGTCGTTGGGTATGAGTTCGCGGTGCTGCGACGTGCCATCCAGCATTATCTGCCAGTACTGTCCTAGATCCTGAGCCCCAGCCACGTTACAAGCCATGCCGATAACAGCAATATCGGTCTCGGATACAACTGGCCGCGCATCCGGGTTTGAATCACCACCGAGAGATCTGCGGAGGCTCTCCTCGAGGTCGAAGTGAGTTACCTGTCTGCTCAATCTGCGGAGGAGCGTCGGGGGGATACAACGTTCCGGCCCAAACTCCAGGACAAGGGCATTTTTGTCTTTCAAGCAGCCGGCAGCAGCTGCACGAAAGGTTCCGATCCAGTTGAACTGTTGCGCAAGGAATGCGCGTGTAGCCGCTTCAAGGGGATTTTCTTGACCACTGATCGGAGTCTCCGCGTTGATCCGCGTAGGCATGGTGAAATGGGCAGCATCTGGAACTTGAAACGTGGGGCAAGTTTGACAGAAGCTGAATAGGGCTTGGATGTCACGTTCATAGACTTCCGGGGTGTGGAAACGGCCGTGGAATTCAGACAGGCTGGCTTTGATCCCGACGGTTTCAAGATATGTCGCCAGAGCAGGAGCAGTGCCCGCGGAGGTTGTTATAGTTGCCCGATTCTCGTCGTATAGGACAGCGACGTAAGCCTGACAGCATCTTGCGTTAGCAATAAACTCCAAGGGACGGATAGACACACTATAGATAACATTTTCCAAAAAGAAGCAAGCAAAACTTACGTTGGGATAGGCTTCCAAAGCCGTCGTCAGAGTGGACGCTGATTGTGTCCCTCTCCAAAAGGCGTTCAGGCATGTAGACGGTCCAGTCTCGTCAGGGCTATCTTGCGCATCAGATAGAGCGCAGATTACAAACATCACCCGGAGTGCAGCAGCGGCATTGTGGCAGAACTGGGCCCAGGACGAACTGCCGGATACCACAATGGCACTGAAACATCCCAGACAGCAACCGACTGCTTCTGTCTGCGGGCCGGGAGGCATCCACTTGAGGAACCCTCGCTCGGTTCCGTTGACGGATTTCAGATGCTGAATGTACTCGATAAGCTGTGCCAGAAGGACCAGCGGACCGAGGATCGCATTTGGCAAATTCGCAACAGTCGACCCGGGTGGTATGGTTCCAGCTCGAAGCCAGTCAGCTAATGTCCGAGCATGCTTCCGGCCATCAACGCGTTGCAGCTTCGGAATCGATTTGCACAAGGAGTCCCAACAACTCTCAAGGTCCTCCGCAGCATGCAGAGCCCATTGGCTGTGATGGGCGTCGTCCTTGATACATGTGAAGATGCGGTTGAAGTAGGGTTCGTCCAAGGTCATAACACCAGGCCCAAACAGAATCAATGTACTGGCAGAAGCCATGGCTGTGACCAGGAGACGTCCTGGAATACGAACTCGAATTATTAGACATGGTCTTCTCCAAAGAGGCTGAGACAGGGGGCGATGCTCACTCGCGCCAAAGTGACTTTGTGTTGTGATGCAGTTGTGATGTTGAATGTGCAAATTGCCTCAGTTTGGAAAGTAGATTATCGATCTCGGCCGGTTCTGTTACCTCGGTGTGTAGATAGGTGGGTAGGCAAGGCGCGAAAGCGTGATAGGGAGACCACATAAGAAGTAAGTAGGTGTGTACATGTAAGGTAGTTACGGTTATTCCATCACTTTAACACAACCGCATTTGACGAGTACTGTAGGTGTAATAAGCCGGTCAATTGGGAGAAGAACAGTCAGGCTTGCTCCGCACCAGGCGCACACCGAAACTGTGCCAGTAGAATGACCAAGTTGTGCCAAATGCTTACTATTACTGTATAAACTGCTCCTAAACACCGGACCTGGAGATGACATGGACATAGAGTTTATGGATGTGGACGCCTAGCAGCAGTTTCTCCACTGCCCTTTGCCGATCCCGGAGTTACCCTACTTCCAAGTATAATGCGAGATTTCTGCTGTGGAAACATATGCGGATGTTGGTTGACTCGCATGCTCGAAAGCTTCCAGGTTGGTACGTACCTACCGAGGTAACCTTGTCGAATCTGCGAGCCGGAGTTAGTATAAGTCCTATTATAGGAAGCTGACAAAAGCTTTGCCGAGGCCGAGCAGCAGGTAGTACGTACCTTAAGCCAGGTTGCAATTCCTGATTTTTCCGTGCAGCCAAAGGAGGCATAACGTTACAGTAGGTATCATGGCCAATCGTAATGTCCTCTGCCCTTGCTGCCTCTGAATACATGCACAAGATTCAATGTTTGATAACACTGCAGCCGCCTGCATACTCGAAGGGAACCATAGTTTTGTTTTTATTTTCTTATTTTTCATAGTAGCCGGTATATCAGCGAGCTCATCACGCTATTGTTCTAGAATTGTTCATTACTCTCACCCAGGTAAATACTGATTACCTAGCGAAGATGGGAAGCACCGGTCACACGATGTCGGACGGCTGGATGAGCGAGCCCATCGCCATCATCGGCATGAGCTCAAAATTTGCAGGAGAAGCCACAGACAACGAGGGACTTTGGCGTATGCTCGCAAATGGAAGAAGTGGTTGGACCCCATTTCCTCATTCGAGGTTCGGATCAAAAGGAGTTTACCATCCCAACAATGAGAGACTCAACAGTGTAAGTCATATCGTACTCCCACCCCTCTTCACCTAAAACTTCGCACCACGTCGTAGTTTGCACCATGACTTGAACACCGGCCAAAATATCTCATACACATTTCCGCAGACACACGTAAAAGGTGCGCATTTCCTCGAGGAGGATGTTGGACTGTTTGATGCCAACTTCTTTGGTTACTCGGCTGAGACTGCCTCGGTAAGCACTGGAACCTTTTTGCCTTTCTTGTCATATTTTTGGTGCACTCGCCGAGTCACGCTATTCCAGGCTAACATACTTGTGTGTATCTAGTCTCTTGATCCTCAATACCGGCTACAACTGGAGTCTGTCTATGAGGCCATAGAAAGTGGTAAGATGCATGATGGCTGGGAGCTCCGGAACCATTTGGTTCGATGAAGTCATATCATATACCTATACTGATCTGTCGCATCGGCAGCTGGTCTTCCATTAGCCCAAATCGCAGGCTCGAATACGTCTGTATTTACGGGAGTCTTTGTCCACGATTACAGGGATGGCCTCCTCCGTGACGCAGACAACCTGCCTAGGCTCATGGCAACGGGCACGGGCGTGCCTATGATGTCGAACCGCATCTCTCATTTTTTTGATCTTCATGGAACGAGCATGACGATCGAAACCGCCTGTGCGTTGCCTTGCATACTATGCCCCTCCTGACTACTGAGACTTTTCTTAAAGCACCTCTTCAAATTTGTTTCTTGCTGAGAAAACTATGCTAACGGAGGGGCTGGTAGGCTCTTCGGGCATGGTTGCGTTACACCAGGGCATTCAGAGCCTGAGAACCCACGAGGCCGATCTCTCTATTGTTGGCGGTGCCAATCTGACTCTCAACCCCGACATGTTCAAGGCGCTGTCATCCTCAGGGTTAGTGCATCCCTGAACTCCCCAACACAAAGCCTGGAGAGTACAAGAAGAGATGTGGAGGACACAGACTAATGACGCATTTTCGGCAAGATTCTTATCCGGAGATGGAAAATGCTACGCCTTTGACTCCCGTGCAAGTGGATACGGACGCGGCGAGGGTGTGGCGACGTTGTTGATCAAACGCCTGAGAGAAGCGCTGGCCGATGGCGATCCAATCCGAGCCGTCATTCGTGAATCGTTGCTTAACCAGGACGGCAGGACAGAAACGATCACAGCGCCTAGTGTAGAGGCACAGGAAGCCTTGATTCGCGACTGCTACCGCAGAGCAGGCCTGCGTCCAGAAGACACGCAGTACTTTGAAAGCACACGGCACAGGCACACAAGCTGGAGATACCATTGAGGCCCGGGCTATTGCAACAGTCTTTGGGGGGTCTGGCCGCCGGCGTGAGAACCCATTGCTAATGGGGTCTATCAAAACCAACATCGGCCACACGGAGGCAGCGAGTGGACTGGCAAGCATTATCAAGACAGCACTGGCAATGGAGCGTGGAGTCATCCCACCGTCTATCAACTTCGAGAAGCCCAATCCGAAGATCGCCTTGGACGACTGGAATCTCAAGCTCGTTACGGAGTTGGTGAACTGGCCACCAGGGTCAAGTCGCCGAGCATCTGTAAACAATTTTGGGTATGGGGGCACTAACGCACACATCATTATGGAAAGCAGTACCTCTTGGAGACCAGAGCCTGTCGCCGAGAGTGGATCTACCAATGGGTATTCGAATGGGCTGGATGATGAGGCCCAGCGGGTTCTCATCCTCAGCGCAAAAGACCAGTCAGCGTGTCAACGGATGGTTTCCAATCTGAAGAAAAACCTAGTTGCACAAAAGGAGTCAATAGAGCGGGCGGACCCAACCGGAAATTCCTGGTCAATCTTGCATACACCCTAGGTCAGCGCCGCAGCAGGTATTCGGTACGTAGGAGCGCCTTTATTCTTCTTGCCGTACATGTAGGCACACAGTGTCTGTTCAGATGGCTAACTCCTCGATGAATGAATCTTGCAGTGTGTTGCGGTATACCCAGTACCTGTCACTAAAGGCGTTGACGCCGTCGTCCGAGCACTAGACTCGCCTGCATTCAAACCCAGCCGCAACTCGCGTCGGCCCAGAATCGGTATGGTATTTACAGGGCAGGGCGCACAGTGGTATGCTAGTAGGTGTTCTTTCCGATCCGATTATCCGTCCAAACAAACCAAAGGGGGAAAAGAGAAGATGAGGCGCTAACTTCAACCAGTGGGTAGAGAGCTCGTGAATGCCTATCCCACATACAAAAGCCTCGCTCGAAATGGCTGGGGCATATCTTGAAGAATTCACTGGCGCCAACTGGTCTTTGCTGGAAGAACTTTCACGCGACGCCGACACGTCTCGCATCAATGAGGTCGCGTTGAGCACACCCATCTGCATCGCAGTGCAAATATCGCTCCTGCGTCTCTGCATTGCGCGCTTGGGGCGTCGTGCCCGTTGCCGTCACAAGCCACTCGAGCGGGGAGATTGCCGCAGCGTACGCCGCGGGGGCACTGAGTTTTCGCGAGGCCATGGCTGTCTCATACTACCGCGCCGTGTTGGCGGCCGGCGAGCATCCGGGAAGAGCTCCTGGCAAAGAGGAAGGCGCCATGATAGCTGTCGGACTCGGTGTCGACGAGACAGAGTCGTACCTCAGGCGGCTGACACAGGCAAACGGCAAAGCCGTGGTCGCGTGCATAAACAGCCCGTCCAGCACTACAGTTTCCGGGGACGTTTCTGCCGTCAAGGAGCTCGAGGAGCTTGCCAACATAGACGGCGTTTTTGCCCGTCGCTTGAGGATCAACACCGCCTGGCATTCTCACCATATGGTGTCTGTAGCGGAGGCCTACATCGAGTCCATCGACCGTGCCACAACGCCCGCCGGAAAGAAGGATGCTACGGCCCGGCGTGATGATGATCATCTAGTCGCATTCTCGTCACCTGTTACTGGTGGGCGCATTTCCCGGATGGAAACGCTAGCGCGGTCAATCTCATTGGGCTGATAGCTTGCTTTCGTCCTGTCCAGTTTCGTGGATGCTCTTCACCGATATGGTCATGGGGCAGCGCCGAGCCTAATACTTTCTCCTCCAATGTGGACGTTATAATCGAGGTGGGCTCCGCACTACGGCTCTCCGGGGGGTTCCTATTCAGGAGATTCTTGCACTACCTGAGTTTCATGGGCTGCAGATTCCTTACTATGGCTGTCTAGTCCGCAAAACGGACGCACTGGGTAGTATGCAGGCACTGGCCGCCGGCTTGCTAAGAGAAGGGTATCCGGTTGACATGGACGCCGTGAATTTCCCTCACGGCAGAAGTCAACAAGACATCAAGGTGCTGACCACGCTGCCCTTGTACCCCTGGAACCACCAGAATAAGCATTGGATCGAACCAAGATTCAACCGCGCTCTTCGGGCCCGCTCGGAGCCGCCCCACGACCTGTTGGGCTCCCTCGTCGACGGCTCGAACCCGGACGCGCCTTCGTGGCGACATATCCTACGCATTACCGACGCGCCGTGGACTCAGGACCACGTGATTCAATCCAGCATTGTTTTCCCCGCGGCGGGCTACATTTGCTTGGCCATAGAAGCTGTCAGACAACTCTCCATGATAGAGGGCGCCAGCGACAGGTCGATATCTGGCTACCGGTTACGTGACATCGACTTCATGCAAGCCCTTTTGATACCAAGCAGCTCAGACGGCATCGAGATCCAGACACAGCTGCGCACTGCCAGTAATAGAGACCTCGGCGCCCGAGGCTGGAAGCATTTCGAGGTCTGGACCGTTACGGCGGACAACAGGTGGACACAACATGCCAAAGGCTTGGTCTCTGTTGAGTTTGACAAGACGCCCACCGCTGAGGCTGTCGAGCCAGTCTTGCAAAGGCTACGCACGGCGGGTCCGCACCGACGACTTCTTTTCTGGTCTGCGAGCCCTTGGAATCGCTCATGGGCCTATGTTCCAGAACATGAGGGAAATCTTGCAGTCAGGATCAGGATCTGGCAGCAGCCACAGCGTGGTGACCATGGCCATACCCGATACGTCGGTGCCCAACGATCTTGTCAGGGATCCCGTAGTGCACCCCGTCACATTGGACAGTATCATCACGGCTCCTTACTCGACGCTTTCTGCAGCGGCTGCTCGCCAGGCCACCGCCAAGGTCCCTAGGGCTGTGGAAAGCTTCTGGGTATCCAGTGCGATCAGTCATAGTCCGGGCCATCTTCTCAGGGCGCACTCTTGGCTCGTCCGAGATGACAGCCAAGGCATGGAGGCCGGCGTGTCAGTGTTTGATCACGACAGTGGAAGCCTGGTCCTGGAAATGGGGCGATTCTCGTATCAGTCTTTGGGTCGGGGTGTTGCATCTGCCCAACAAACTACTGAGCCATGGGAGAAAGAGCTGAACAGCCTGGTAAAATGGGCCCCCGACATCTCTACTGGTTCGCCAGCTACGTTTGCTTTCTTAAAGAAGCAACTGAGTTTGAAGAAAACAGAAGACTGGCACGATGATGTTGATGAGACGACAAAGATATGGCAAATCTGCATGTCTTTCATGCAACAGGCTATCGCCAATCTGGATTCGCGCGATGCAGACCGCGTGGAGCCACGGTACGCAAAGTATTACGCGTGGCTGGTTGACACAGTACAACAGGCAGCATCGGGGCAACTGTGCATCGGCGGTGCTACGTGGCTCCCTGACAAAGCGCCGGGGAACCCACAGCGACATATGGACCAAGAGACCGGCGAGACGAGAAATGTAAACGTGGAGATCGTATGCCGCCTGGGCGCCCATTTGGTGGACATCTTGCGCGGCGAGGTGCCACCGCTTCCATTGATGGTACAGGATAACCTGTTGGCCCGATTCTACGACAATATTCCCGCTCTCAAACGGACGGGGTCACAGCTTTCCGGACTACTTGCCCACCTAGTACACAAGAACCCCCGTGCTCGCATCTTGGAGATCGGGGCAGGCACCGGCACCATGACGCGTTTCGCCCTCTCGGCTTTGGGGACCCCTCAATCTGGCGGCCCGGCTGCCGACTCGTATCACTACACTGACGCTTCAGCGGCCTTGTTCGACACAGCACGAGAGACACTTGCTCCCTGGAGTGACCTTCTGGTGTTTGATGTGCTTGATCCCCAACGTGAGCCCGCTGCGCAGGGCTTTGCGCACGGTACCTACGATGTTGTCATCGCCTCTGGTGTCGTGTCCGCTGAGACCAACTCCGTCTCTCGTACTCTAGGCAGTGCACGGAACCTACTCAAACCCGGCGGTGTCCTGCTGCTCACAGAGGTCGTGCAAGACAAGGTGCTTGTACCATTCGTACAGGCCCTTCTGCTTCCCGAGCGCCAGATCGAGTCCAACACGGTCCTTGCTACAGACGTATGGGATCGACACCTGCGCGACGCTGGTTTTAGCGGAGTGTCTCTCGAGCTGCGGGATTGCAGTGACAGTCGAGCCAGTACCTCGGTTACCATAATGTCGACGGTACCGCTGCCAACACTACCGGAGCCGTATGTGGAGCCAGAGAACGTACTGATTGTTACAAGCAGAAGGGCTGCCCCTCCTCCTGTTCCTTGGCTCAAGGGCTTACAAGCCTTGATAGGAGAAGGTATCTTGGGGCGGGGAAACATATCAGTCGCGACGCAGGATCTCGAATCGGCCACTGCATCATCGTACGCCCACAAGTTCTGCATATTTATTGGCGAGGTGAATAAGCCCATTTTGCACGACCTGGATCCCGCAGCTTTGGAAGGCATCCAAACAATGTGCACTGCCTGCAAGGGCTTGCTCTGGTTGACGCGTGGAGGTGCCGTGGACTGTGAGAGACCGGAATTCAGTCTCGCGTCCGGATTCATTCGCACACTGCGCACCGAACACGTCGCACGCAGACTGCTCACACTAGATCTGGACCCCGCGGGCGCACCTTGGTCGGACTCAAGTGCATCTGCCATTGTGCAAGTGTTGCGAGCCGCATTGTTTGACAAGGCTGAGGCCGGGTCTATAGTAGAGCCTGAGTACGCGGAGCGCGACGGCGTGATGCTGGTCCCACGTTTCTACCACGATACGGAAAGAGACCAAGTGCTATCATCTCGTGGCGTTCTGGAGCCTGGCCCTGGCCCAACACTCGAGCCGGCACCTAAAACAAGTATTGAGCCGTTCCACCAGCAAGACCGTCTCTTGTGCCTGCGGCCAGAGACACTGGCTTTCGGTGACGACGAAGCCGGGGCCACTTATCACGACTCCCCCCTCCCCCCCAACTTGCTGGAAGTGGAGCCCCGGGCATATGGCGTCAGTTCTGGGCCTGCAGACAGGGAGAATCATATTCGAGGTCTCGAGTGTGCGGGAATTGTTACCCGAGTCGGGAGCGGCGCGGCGGTGCAGGACTACAAGGTTGGCGATAGCGTCGTGTGCGTACTGCACCAAGAGAAGCAGTCGTCTTTCCCGAACCGCGTTGCCGTTGAGCCGACTGCGACGGTGCACAAACCGGCCAACCTGAGCTTTCAGGAGGCCGTGTCCGTTCCACTGGCCTTCCTCACCGCATACTTCTCCCTCGTCGAGGTTGCAAGACTACAACGTGCCCAGTGGGTCCTAATTCACGCCGCGGCAGAGCCCACCGGGCAGGCCGCTATCATGATTGCACAACACGTCGAGGCAAAAGTGTTGGCCACTGTTGGTAACCCCGAACAACGGGTTACGTTAACGGAAAAGTATGGCATTCCTGCGGAGAGTATCTTCATGTTGGATACCTCCGATCTGCCGTCATTTGAGTCCACTATCCTCGCAGCCACTCAAGGCCACGGGGTGGATGTGGTCTTGAACTCACTGGGCGGTCCACTCCTCCAGCACAGCTTCAATCTGGTGGCACCATTCGGCCACTTCGTGGAAGTCAGCGGCCGTGATTCGAAGGCAAACAGCAACCTCGAGATGCGCCCCTTTTCCCGGTCGATTTCATTCACATCGGTCGATCTCGACCTCATGTTGGAACACAGAGTGGCCGATGTCCATCGCTGTCTAAGGGAGATTATGCGCATGATTGAGGTGCGGGCGTTCGCCCCTGTGCACCCCATTGTCTCATATGCGCTGGGAGACGTGCTGGAAGCCTCTCGTCTGTTGCAAGAAAAATCGGAGCCACGTTTCACCGGCAAGGTGGTCCTCTCGGTTGACCAGGACGCGAGAGTGCCTGTGCTCCAGGTTCCACGCCGTGCGAAGCTCGCTGGTGATGCGTCGTACTTGATCGTGGGTGGCAATGGTGGCCTGGGGCAGTCGGTAGCACACTGGATGGCATCTCGCGGGGCCAGAAACCTGATTCTTCTATCACGCAGCGCTTCAAAGAGCGGCAAGATGGTGGCGTTGGTCAAGGAACTGCGAGAGACCGGGTGTCGTGTCCTGCCCGTGGACTGCGACATCGCCGACGAAGATGACTTGGCTCAGGCAGTCCAAAAATCCGCAGCAGAGGGGCTTCCACCTATCCGGGGGATTGTCCACGCTGCCTTCGTCCTGCGCGACGCCTTTGTCGAAAAGATGACGTTCCAAGACTGGAAGGACACCACCCAAAGCAAGGTCGCAGGCGCCTGGAATTTACACAGTTGCTTCAACCTGCCCGACGATCTCGATTTCTTCGTCCTATTCTCTTCCATCAATGGTCTTCTTGGGTATGCCAGCCAGGCCGCCTACTCGGCTGGTGGTGCGTACGAAGACGCCCTGGCCCATTGGCGCGTTAAGCAGTGCGGCCTTCCCGCTGTATCTATCGATCTTCCGGTCGTCGACACCGTCGGTTACGTGGCCGAGGCCTCCTCCTCCGAGAAACTACGAAGATCACTTATCAAAGCTGGACACCGGCCTATTGACGTAAACGGTGTGTTGGCATCGCTCGAGTCGGCTATCCAGAGGCCGTTCGACCCGCAGTTCGCCGTGGGTATCAACTCTGGGCCGGGATCCCATTGGGACGTTGACGGTGCCCTCGGGCGCGATCCGCGTTCCCTGGCGCTCAAGTATCGCCCGCTCACGCAAGCCGCCGCACAGCAGCAGCAGCAACAGCAACAGCAGTCCTTGGAAGAGGAGGGCGGCTCGCTGGCCGCCAAGATGACGGCCTGTACATCACGAGACGACGGTATCCGCGTGGTTGGCGAGGCCATCGCCGAGGTGCTGGCTGAAATGTTTCTTGTCCCGGTCGAGGATATCGATTTGACCGAGTCGCCCGCGCACCAGGGCGTCGACTCTCTTATGGCAGTCGAGCTGCGTAATGTGCTCTTTAGCCAAGCGGGCGCCGAGATCTCCATCTTCAACATCATGCAGGCTCCAAGTCTGGTGTCGCTGGCGACTGCTGTCGTGGGTTGCAGTCGTTATATTAAGTTTGCTGCTGATTCGCTGTAGATTGGAATTGTCGCGTCGCGTTTAGAGCGAGTTGGGACAGCATTTAGATAGAGAAAGTCTCAGCATGGAATACGGGGTCAAAGTCTCGAATGGACGATGACGGTTATTCTGTGGTCCTAATCCTCACACAGCAGCTTTGTTGCTCTTTCTCTTGCCTCTCTTTTCAGGCAGTCCTACAGAATTGTGAATGTGGTGTCAGTTAGGAAGGGGTGTACGGTTTCTATTTATTCTACGTGCGTGTATGTGTCAACAAGACAGAAACACGACACCCAAAACCTACTGGTACGAACTTAGCTATCAAATAGCCAGTGGTGTCAAGCGCACACAACCTAGAAGAAGGATATTATATTTATTTATGGTCTTCTCGTTGAAGACGCAGTGAAGAAACAGCTTAATCCAGCCCATCGAAAGATCAGACTACCTACCTAGGTACATGTACTTAAGTACCTATTTAATTACTACTTCAAGGGCTCTGACACCAGGGTCAATTCTAGGCGCCTCTTATAGTCTCCGCACCGAGACATCTTTCAAGACGACTTCAGGTTCGGTATTGTTCCCCACGTCAGACTTTAAGCAACATAGCCCCCTTACTGAAGCAACGATCCGCCTTCCGTACTAACAGTGCTACCTGTACAGTTCGAATCCTTCATAAGATAGATGTAAGCTTCAGCGACATCCTCAGCGGTCCCAACCTTCCCCAGAAGAGAGGCTTTAGCAACGGCTGCCATCTTGGGAATGCGCACTTCGGGGGGGCCGTGGTGGTCGGTGTCGGTCGAGCCGGGGCTGACGAGGTTGACGCGAATAGGCGCGATCTCAACGGCCAACGAGCGCGCGAAGCCGGTCAGAGCAGTTGCCCATCCGGCCAAGATGGCCAGGCCTTTGATGGGCTTGTCTGTGATGCGGCCGTTCGTGAAGACCAGCGACGATGTCGGGAGTGATGTTCATGAACCGAGGCGCAAGTTTTCCCAGGAGCGCCGGGACCACAAAAGGAAGCTGGCCGGAGGTCTGGGTTATCCATTCCATCGTAACCTCGCTTACGGATTTGAACTCGAGCAAAGATGCCGTGTATGCAATATGGTCGAGGGGACCACCCAGAGCGGCCGTAACATCTGTGAGGAGTTTCTCAAGCCGGTCTTCGGCATCGTTATGGCTCACATCGCAAACGAAGCCGGAGATGTTGATAGCCTTCATCGGCAGAGCATCCTTTATCGCCTTAATCGTTTTTTCGATGCGGTCCGGGTTCGAGGACGCGATAGCAACGTTCACACCATCCGCGGCGGCAAGTTTGGCAACCGCTGCACCGATCCCTGCAGACCCGCCAATAATCAAGAGGTTGTGGCCGCTGATGGAAGGCATATTGAGAATTGGCGATGTTAAAAAGCTGACCTGCGCCGTGGGCTGAGGGAGACACTGGCAATTTAAGCTGGAAACGAAACAGAACAATCAGATCAGTGAAATTGAAGCGCGTTTATTTTCGAACCAGGCAATTACACTGCAGGTGGTTTGCATCTTTGAATATATCTATTTCTAAATTGATTGATTCGGCCGGAGACGCTGGAGGAGCGGAAATGAAGTATTGCCGAGAGCTTAAACGTGGTTTGTTGACTGACTCACGAATCTGTATCACATTGTGTGGAGGTGTTTTCCGGAATACCGGAGTTTTGTTGTGTGCGGCCACAGAGGACGCCGGAGGCTTGAGCTTTCAATAAGTCCGTACATCCCCACAGTGCAGTGCAAGGGTGCAGTGATGCAGCTGATCAAGCAAAACGGCACCTCCCCTATGTTTCATCCACTGCTTTTTGGTTTCTCCTTTCGCCTCCACTTTCCTTTCTCTTGCCAGCAGCCACAACTTACAAGATACAACCAACCACTCACAGTTTAGTCCCTGCTTCTATTATAGAAGAGCATAATAGAGCAAGAAAAAAAAACATACAACACTCGGAATTCGCTGGTCGTCACCGAGCCAACTACTAATCGAGCTCTTGCGAGTTTATCGAAGGGAGAGCGGACGGGATCCCGAGTTCTCTCGCAGATATGGTCGTATGTGACAGAAAAGGGTGGAGAGCATGTTCATATTCTCTGTCAGATGCCACGCTGTTGAAACTCGATCACGCATCCTTTTGCTGAAGCCAGGCAGACAGGGCCGCCACGGAAAAGCAAACTAGGTGCGGACCCAGAATTTTATATTCACATGTACCTAGGTATGTACTAGCGCGTCACCCTCCACGACCCCGTCTCCATCCAAAGCCGTGCATACCACCTATGCAGCATCTCCATCCAGCCAGGCATGGGCCCTTGAATGCCCTCAACCTTGTTGTTGCTGATGAACAAGCAACTCGTGAGCTTTAGCACCGCCTCACCGCGCTCCCGATCGACGGCCGCGCCAATGGAAAACAAACCATCCGAGTCGCGGGGGTTCGGATTCCTCGGGGAATCGCCACAGCGAACCACTACCTCGGAAGGAGTCTTCTCGACAACCTCGAAGTGGTCCGTGAGCTGCGTGCCGGGCTCATACGCGGACCGAGCCAGCTGATTAACTGTCCAGAGCTGAGAAGCGGTTGCGGGACCGTGGTACTTGCGAGCTAAATACGCCCGCTGGAACCGGTAACCTAATGAAAACCCGTGTCAATGTTTGAGAAAAGTCTCATATTCTGTGGTCTCTCACGCACCTAAGCCGGCCCAGACTCCTCGGCAGAATTCAAGCGCAAGGTCACCCTCACGCTCGAGAAGTTCGGGCTTAATTTTGGTCAAGGGAATTCTCTTGATGCAGACATCCTGGGTCGACGGGTTCCGATGCGAGTTGTACTTGGTATAGCTCTTTGAGCGCCACAGGGGGTCGTCTTCCGGAATGGGACTGACGATGCTCGTTGAGGCGCCGAGATACCCCAAAACGCCCGTTCCGAGTCCCAACGTAGTGAGCGTCACCTTCTTAATGATGCCCATGGTGGTGGTAGCCGTTGAAAAGTTTCGTGAACGCTTTGGAGAGGCGTGTGTTTGGTCGAGACTCGAGAGGGACAGACAGCTCCAAGTTAATTGGAAAGCAGGTCGCACCACCACTTCGTCTTGGGTGGCCCTTGCCGAAACAAATGCGAGATTTCCCGCTCACGCGAGTCCCAGCTCCGCCGAGCATCAGATCTACGTCATGATTGGTTGTCACGAGGAAACCCCAGTCCACCCAAGCCGCCTTCGGTCGGGCCGTCGGGGGATGGATGGGTGGAGCGCCCGGATGGAATTACTGTTCGTAATCTGCCCAGATTGCATGCCCGCATCGGGAGGAAAGTTTGGGAATTGTGAAAAATGCAGAATTGTACCCGCCATGTCTCGCCATTTACAAATACAACCATTAATCATCGCAGTCTGAAACGCCCGAAATACTGCCATATAACCCCCCTCGAATGCAACCCGGATACAATCCGACATCATTGATGTCGCCGGTTGCTTCATGTCTCCTGATTTTATTCCCGATTCCAGCGAGACGATGTAGCAGCCAGTCAGTCCTTTTGAGGTTTTATTCAAATCGATTTCCCTTCCTCTCCGCAAGTCTGTGAAAATAAATCAGGCTCGAAATACAACGTCGATTTCGCCTCCCCGAGCTACACACTCCCGGGCCAACGTTGCTCTTGGAAGAGAGGTGTGGCCTGCAACCAACCGAGGTGATTGATCAAGACATCGGCATTCCCGCGGCAGCCCGGCTGTGGCGCCTGAGCAGATCGGGCATGTCACCATCGAGCAGGGTGTCGAAGCAGTCGTCGATGATACTGCCGTCGCTGATGTTCTGCGCGCGAGTCCTCCGAAGCCAGTACTCGAACGGACCACCTGGTATTTCAAGTTAGCATTAATAGAACACAATCGAAAGCCGGGAATGGGGATGTACGTACGGTTCTGAGCGAGCGCCGAGCCAAGCTCGACACATCGCTCGGCGGGCGTGTGCTCGCTGTGCATTTCCGTAAAGTGGGTGATCATCTTGGAGATGTCCTTCAGCGGCCATTTGCACGGCGCTGCTGGAGACCGACCGGCACCGGCCAGCAAGTACTTGGGGGCGGAGCAAAGTCGACATTTCCAGAAACCGAGACGCTGCAATGCCGTGTTGACGCCGTCCTCCATCACACCTCCCATAAGGTCCAAGCCGGGCGATGACGCCTTGACACGTTTCGCGCTCCCGTGGTCCTCGTCTGGGGTCGGGCGCTTTGCTGCAGCGTGAGCTGGTGTTGCAGACATGAGCCGGGCCGGGACCATGGCGGCGCCTTGTCCATTGGCTACGGCATGCGGTTGCTTGCCACTGCCGTTAGCCCCATGCACCGAGTAAGATATCGCGCCAGAGGTGTTGTAAGTAGGGCGGAAAGTCGTGCGTTTCCGCGACTGCGCTTTGATGGTTTCAATTCGGTGCGTACAATGCCGAATCTGATGCCCGAGATCGAGGGTGCGTAGCTGCAACGTCCTAGTCTCTTGGGGAGTCAAGTCCGCCTCCTCCAGCTGCGCCCTGCAATAATCGAGATCGTATCGGTAGGCCAGAATGTCTTCATTCAACTGGCGCACTGTGATCTCATCGAGGTCTGAAAATTCATATTCATGATGGTAGTCTCGGCCAGATGGCCGGGTCGCAACTGGTGGCATCATGTGCCCGTTACCGCTGGCCTCTAGGCCGTCACTGTCCTTGCTGGCACGGAAGGGGATGCTGGGCCTGTCAACCTGCTCGGCAGGCTGTGCGGTCGCCGCCGGGCTGCTAGGGGCCGATTCCGTTTCACTCTCCAAGCTGCTTGTAGGGGGAACAGTGGCGTCGGCGGCTACGGTGATGCTGCTTTGGGGAAGTGATTCGTTCTCAAGTTCCTGTGAAAGCTATTAGCTCACGGCTTCAATGTTCTTTGCATTTGATATCGCAGTGTGACTCTTCGTAGTCCCATGCAACGCGAGACATAGAAAAGTAGGAAACGAGTAATTCCTCTGAGGGGGTCGAAAAAACACGGGTTGGCGAGGGAAACGGGTGATGTGCACAAAAAAAAAGAAAAGAAAAGCAAGAAGAAAAAAGGGAAGAAAACAAAAAATATACATACCATGCCCTCTGTGTCCGGTGATCGTTTTGAAGCCGGTGCCATGGCAGGAAAGAAAAGTGTGTTATGGATTGAAAGACAGAAAAGCCAATTGCTCCTGATTCAATTCGAGCGAAGTCGATTTGATCGATCGATTGATTAATTGAAATGAAAAATGAAAAAGGGAAAGGGAGATGGAGATGGTGGTTAGCATGGGGAAGAGGTCGTCAAAAAAAAACGAGTGGGAAAAAAAAGAAAGGGAGAGGAAAAACGAAGATGTGGGAAACGCGATGGATTATTATTACGCGAAAGAGCGATTTTGATAAAGGATGGAGGGGAAGATGGAGACTAGCTTTGTCCTTCCTCTTTCTTTCTTTCTCCCTTTTCCTTTCTCTCTTTTTCTCTTTTTCCGGCTTCCTGGCTCGCCCATTGGCTGAAACCCTTCCCCACCCTCGGCCGCCCTGGTTTGCGATTGGATAAGGTAAGCAGCAGCCCATAGTTAGTTAAGGTGGCTTTGTGCCTGTGCCATCCCGTTTGCCAGCTCGACCCAGCTTGAAAGGGAACGATGTGCTCTGCGGCCCTGCCTGACTGACCTCAGCCACATTTTGCCACTCTCGCCTTTGAAGCACTCCGCGTACCCCTCGACCAACATCTTATTTTTGGTTAGTTAGCATGAGTCTGTGGTCTACTTTGTACTGAATGGCCTTTGTTTGCTTGATGATTGACTTCGGCCTTCGAGTCATCAACCTATTATTAGACATTAGACCTCTAATGGGTGCAAGAATGTAAAAGAGAAGACAGGGTTCTATTACATGTATGCATGTGAGCTCAGTTGCACTTGACATGGAAACATTGGTGACCTCGAGATCTTGACAAAACACGAATCGAAGTACAGAATAATTTTCATTAGCGGCGGCCAGCCAGGCAGGCACGAAGCATTAAAATAAGAGTTTTAAGATAAAATCGTACCAAAACTGTACACCGGCTAAATCTACCACCTGCTGCTCCTTGATACGTCGGTCCTTTACCATCGTATTATTAGATACTTTTATCCGACCGGCTCTAGTTAGGTAGGCATGGTACCAACAGCTCAATTTGGTAATGGATCGTTCTTGGTACCTATGGTTGGGTTGGGCGACTGAAAAAGAAACATGCGTCACGCGTGACGTGTCCTGTTTCTGCTCGATTTGTCCAGACGACTAAGCTGCAAAAACACCGCTTTATTTTCACATTTGAAGTCCGCTTGATGGCACGGTGACTCGACTTCAACATGGTGGTCTCTATGAGGTCCTGGCGCAACCAAAGAGGATCTCGAATTCGAATCCTGCTTCTTCTGGCTCTTTTCATTCACTTTCGGCCACTAGGAGCTTTAAAGCAGAAACCCATGAGAGATTGGACTGTGTGCTCCTGGGATGCGTACGTTGGGCCATTGGTTCTTCAGTCACAGGAGCGAGCATGCCCACTCACAAACGATTGGTCCCTCTGGTCACATCAGCCCATTTGCCCCGGGCCTGTAGGGGATGATTACAACTCGGAGCCCTTCTCCCCCGACTGTGTCTTCACCCTGACCACCTTCCGGGGCAACCAAGGCATCAGCTTGATTACTACCCCTCAGCTTGCCGCCAACCTCGCTGACAAACTCGATGACTCACGCGTGTCACCAAGCTCGAGAAGTCAGTTGACAAACACGGGACAAGTCCAACGAGATGGGGAGGCCCCTTATGAAGTCCGGGAGATACCGGGACGTGGCAAGGGGGTGCTTGCAAAGCGCAAGTACCGAGAACATAAGACTGTCATGGTCGGGTTCCCCGTGCTCATGGTTAGATTGGACTTCATCAACGAAGACCGATATGGTACGAGGCAAAAACAGTACATGATGCAGGCCAGTGTGAGGCAGCTCCCACCGGAGCAGAGGGAGTCAATTCAGGCGCTGGCACGGAGCACAGGCGGCGAACCCATTCTGGATGCTCTCCGTACAAATGGCTTCGGTGTTGAGATCGACGGAGTTCAACACTTGGCGCTTTTTATTGACGGTTCAGTACGTACGCTTTTTTCCCCAGCGAACTAAGGCAAGACGAGCTGATAGTTGACCTACAATGGCTTAGAGAGTCAACCACAATTGTCGGCCAAAGTAGGTAGCCATCGTACCCTGGGGAGAGACAGAAGTAATTCTCTAAGACACAAAATGCAGTTCCTATTGGCGCTACATCAATGACGAGATGGCGATGGAAGTCGTGGCACTCCGAGACATTCAACCTGGGCAAGAAGTTGCACACAGTTGTAAGAGCCGACTCCAGCCCATGGACAACCTGAGAGAATGATGACTCACCACTAACAGATGCGCCGTTGGGGTATACTTACGAATAACGTAAAACCATTCTCCAAGCCTAGAGTCTTCGGTGTAGGTGCCCGCTATGCTCCCAGCATCTCGAAGAGCGAGACGCATCCGACGGACGGCGAGAGCGCTTGCTGGAAATTTATCAATCCCTGATCCAAGCAGAGAGACTCGGCCACCAACGCGTCGGGCAGCTCATAACGGAAGCCATGGAGCTGATAGAGCAAAAAGAATTACGCCCCCAACTTGTCGAGTATTATCAACAATTTGCGAAAGCATACCTAATGGTAAATGATCTTATAAGAGCCCGAGCATTCGTCACTGAAGCTGATAGGGCATGGGTGTGGTACGGGGGAGAGCAACACGACAATATTGATGGTATGCGAGAGTTGTGGCAAGCTTTGGAAGAAGCGGAAAGGGGTGCTGGAGACAAATGATGTTAATATGTGAAACGTACATAGTAGATCAGAATTGTGAACGACGTCACGGGAGTCTCCGGAGCTAAGATAATATCTCACGGAAAGTTGACTTAGCATAGATAGTTTTTCAAGCTTAGCATCATACCTAATGAACCAGTATCAAACAACACTTGATCAATGAGCGCGCGGTTATTATATGTTTTGGGAAACGTAACGCCTCGGGTTGAAGGATATTGTCCTCGTGGAAGCGTGGGAGGTCATACTATGGACGGAGAAATGAACACCTGTTCCACCTATCATGGTAAAAGACAATGATTCCACCGCCGTCCTTCCCGTCCACGATTGGCGGAAACTTTCTCTATATTTCATTAAAGTTTCACCTAACTGCTATCGCACGTATGAATGACGGTTCACACGTTGCCTGTCGACAAGCAAGCCATCGGCCTTGGATAGATACATGTACGGAGAACAAACACTATCGCCGGTGTACTACCAGACACCAATGACGCAGTGGCTCAACTAATGTAAACCAAAGTGATTTCCGGCATTTCAGCATGGCAAATCTTGGTCTCCTCTCCCTATATGTGTAGAATTATCGAGTCCGGGGCTGTATAACGGTAGGGAATTGTCGCGGCAAACGGCGTCCCGATGCGAACCACATCCCGCGCGGGAACGGTTCGTGCGACTCTGGCCATGCTTAAATGAGCATAAGAAACTCAAGATACTCTATTCCTCTTTATTATCACCCCAATCCTCAAGTCGTTCCACAGTCTGGTGTGAAAGTTACACTAGACTTCGATTTTCATAACTTAGTGTCATAAAACCCCATGCTCTCCATTGCGGTCGGTAACAGTTCCTCCCATTGGAAACGCATGAAACTCAGATAAGGCGCTATTTGTTTTTGACATAGCATAGATGCATCCGTCTCTGACCTGTAGTCGTCTGTTTCTTTTTGTAAATGCACGATGATTTTGTCATGCTCGGGACAGGTGGAGGAGCAAAGATCCGAAGTGCGCGTCCTTGTTTATATCATACCGTAACTAATTAAATGGCTTTAAGGCCTCTTTAACTGATGTTTTGCGATTGGCGATCGTCAGAGAGACGATCGCTTGTCCCGGGTAACCATATGCAGCGGATACCCAGTGCACAACTCCCGTTGCAACGTTTCGTCTGTTTGGGACTAACTTGGCCTTTGAAATGTCTCAGCACCGAGGGATTGAGATGGGGGAGGGCGTAAAGGTTTAATATCCTTGAACCTATGAGATTTTTGTTTAATGTGAATGGCGGCCGAACATAAAATGAAGTCATCTCCTCGTTGGTTTGTCGATTAAACGTTGGCACACCTCTCACCGCCCATCTCCCTACTCCTCTTCCACTCCCCACAATGAAGGCTGCTCGAGTAGTGTCGGTTTTGGCCTTTGCGGCCAGCGCCCTGGCTCACGGATACATTTACCGCGTGACGTCAGACAACACGGTGTAAGGAGATGCAAGGTAATCACCTACCATTTCCGAGCTAAACTAATCTTTGATACTCTTCCAAATAGTTACCCTGGATACGACATCTTTATCGATCCGGTTCTTAGACCTGCACCATCGCGGATCGCATACGGCGGCGGCTCCACGGGCCCCGTTTTCGACGCTACGAAAGCTGACGTCGCTTGCAACACCGTCCATAATCCCGCGCCTGGATACATTGCCCAAGCCCGTGCCGGGAGCAGCGTCACTTTCCACTGGTCTCGATGGTTGTACAGCCATAAGGGGCCCATGACAGCTTGGATGGCCCCGTACAGTGGAGATGTCGCGGATGTCAATGTCAATGAACTAGAGTTCTTCAAGTTTGCCGAGGAGGCAGTCGACGAGGAAGGTGTCTGGGGCACAGTAAAGTTGCTAGACGAAACCAATGGCACATGGACGGCCACTATTCCCGCCGACATCAAGCCTGGCACTTACATCATCAGGCAAGAGGTAAGTTAGCGCTTGTCTAAGTGTGCTCCGGATGTGATCTAACGTGGTCTACATATCATCGCACTACACTTCGCAGTGAGGGACAACCCTGGTTTTGAGTACAACCCGGTCGGTCCGCAGTTTTACATGACCTGCTTCAACTTCAACATTACGGGGAATGGTAACGCGACTCCCCAAGGTTTCAAATTCCCAGGCGCCTACGACATGGCTGACCCAGCTTTGAACTGGGACCTGAACTCAACTG